AAAATAAAATAATCATTATACCATTATTCAAAATGTAATATTTTTCTGTATTGTTTAAAATAAAATTATCTATTATCTCTCTGATTTTTCGTATCCATGAGATCATTTTCAATTGTTATTATAGTTAAAATTATCTATTAAACTCATCATCATACTCATAATCAATCAATCATGCACTAAAAATACAACCTACAATCAATAACTAACGAATCTAAATGTAGACCCCTAATATTCGGAGGCCCTATGCCGGAGGGCGTGCCGGCACACCCTTTTAGCCGGCCTTGCATGAGAGCCCCAGTTTCCTGTCAAAATTTTAAATATAATATGTAAATATATCAAAAAAAATTACAAATTACGTATAAAAAATTTCTTATTATGAAAAAGAACTAAAAACTGACTAAGCTCGGAAGTCGGAATGACTTTCACTAATTGGTTAACAAGCATTTGATTTTTTTCCTCTACCAAACAGTAACGGAGCTAAAAATATATTTAAGAAGGGACTATAGCTCTTCCTGACTTTTAACTTCAACTCCAACAGACTAATAAAAAACCGGCCGGTTTGAAGTAAATGTGCATGGCGTTTCACAAAATAACTAGGCAGGCGGGAACTCATCATCAATGGCGAAACTGAACGCAACAGAGCAGCACAAATAAAACAAACCATTTTTTTTTTCTCCGGCGGACGTGGTACTTAACACGTGACGTGACGCTCTAAAGTGCATGTAACAGTTCTGGTCTTCTTCTAGCTGGATATGCGGACTTTACAGTGCTTTTTGGACTACATGAAACAAACTCTGGAAAAAAAAAAAGGGTGCATGTGCAATTGTGCATGGTGGTCTCTTCCATAAATACAGCAGTTTCTTCTTCGAAGCTGTCTATTCTGCATGGACTGCTCCTTTTTGGCTTTGGCAGTCGCTTCCATTTGTCACCACAAGTCAACACCCAAAACAACACAACACAACACAACAACAACAAACTACACGTTGGTGCAATTCCGTAATTTAATGGAGATCGACTTCATATATGCATGCCATTATGCCAACCACATCTTTACTGCACTGGTAGTACCTCGCTAGAATTAGAGTGCTATACGGTCCGGTTCGATTAAATTGGACCAAATTGATCCGGTTCTAGTTCGTTCTTTTCAGGAATATAAGGATCAAATATTGGATTGGATACAGTCCGGTCTTGATCCAGTCCGGTCTTGACCCGGTCCGGTCCCAATTTTATCTTGATTTTAGGTGTTGGGGGTCTCTTATCCGGTCTTTATCCGATTTTTTACCTCAAATCTAAGCCCGAATATGAGATTGCATTATTTGCTATCCGATCCCAGTCCGGTCCTGGTCCGGGTTATACGGTCCGGTTTCGAGTAAAACCAAACAGTCCGGGACCAAATAGCCAACCCTAGCTAGAATCGTGCTCAAGTATCTTAGAGTAGTAATGACCATTTTTTATCTGACTCGTGTAATCTGACCTATTTCTACTTGTTTAAGACAGACATTACTTGAGATATGGACAGTGACGGACCCATAAAATTTATTAAGGGTATTCAATAAAAAATCTAAATAAAATTAAATATTAATTCATTTATTTCATAAAGTACATCAATTTGTTATTTTTCTTTACGGTGAATCACGACGTATTTTTTATTTTATAAAAATTTATATAATATCTAAAAACAATGGTAAGACATAAATAGTAAGCGTATTAAGTTTTAAGTGCGATTTTGATTATATTAGTAAAGAAAAGTGCGACACTACATAGAAGCATTTTGGTACCCATAAGTGTAAAAGGATAAACTTTTAAATTTTAAATAGCGATGTTGACTATATTGGTTCTGGCAATAAATTGGAAAATTGTAATTGAGAATGATAATTTATAATTTGTGGAGTCAAAGGCGACGTTCGTGGGTGGAGAGTTTTTTTTTTTTTTTTTACTTGGAAGACTTTTTAATCTCCAATGAGGAAAAGAAATTTTAATTAAAAATTAAAGAGATTTGCTTCGGCAAATAGGTTTAGGGATTCACCTTAATGTGGTTAAGACGAAGATTTTTTGGCCTACTAAGGATCCGAGGAGTCGAGTTTTGGGTATTTTCCTGTTTCTATTGCTCGACTTTCTCATGGTGTCACAGTTCTAGGAGGGCCTGTCAGTACTTGTCCTAATTTTAGCATTGATCTCATGGCGAAGAGAGTTACCAGGACCGTCGAGCTGATGGACTTGGTTGCGAGGATTGATGACCCACAATGTGAGTTGCTTTTGCTTCAGGCTTGCACTGGTATTTCAAAACTCTACTTTGCTTTGCGTACTTGCTCCATCGTGTTTTTGGGCCGGCCCAGCTCTCTTTTGACACAGCCCTTCGTTCCAGTTTAGAACGTATTGTCACTGCTTCTGGGCCAGGGTTCGGTGATTGGCAGTAGCAACTTGCCACCTTCCCTTTTCATTTAGGTGGGCTTGGGGTTTATGCTGCTGGAGATGTGATGCATTGTGCTTTTTTGGCATCTCGTCTGCAGTCTGCTGGGTTGCAGGCTAAGCTACTACGTCCTTCTGGTATTCACTCTCCTGGCCCTACTTTTGATGATGGCTTACGCACATTCAATGAGTTTACAGGTTTTGATATCTTACGTGACCCTAGCAAAGTTGCTGACCAAAACTTATGAAGAAATTGGCAGACATATATTTCGCGAAGGTTGCTGCTTCTTCAGACTCTGTTTTCTCGTTGACAACGCGGCAGGTTTCTTTGTGGAAGTCCCAGCAGAGTGCGCACTCGTCTGATTGGTTGCGTGTTGTCCCTATTGCTGGGTTGGTCCAGACTATGAATAGAAGGACATATCGTAGTGTTCTTAGTTATCGACTGGGTGTCCCGTTATTTTTGGTATCTAGGCCATGTTCTGCTTGTTCCCGTGTCTTTGATGGTGATGTCTTTGAGATCATGTTGTGTCCAGTGTTGGTATTGTGGGCATTAAGTATCGGCATAACCTCGTTCGAGACACCTTACTGGACATATGTTACAGATCTGGGATTTTTGTCGGAAAGAAGGTTGATATCGGTTTGGTTGATGGGCATGACAGACCCCTTTGTCCTGCGGATTTGCTGCTTTATTCCTGGGATAGGGGTGAGATGTGTGTAGTGATCTGACTGGGTCTTCCCCTTTGACTAAGACTGAGATGACCGATTTTGTATCGGGCCGAGTTGTAGCTGATACCGCTCGGCGAAAGTGTGCTAAGTATCGGGACTTGTGCATGGCGGCTGGTTACGGGTTCCTGCTCTTTTCTTTCTCTTCGCCGGGGGAGTTGGATGCGGTTGTGGCTTTGCTTAAGCGCATCCATAAATTCTCCGTGTCTCAGGATGCGGGGGCTCGAGCGGGCGCGTACATTTTCACTAGACTTCGCTTTGCTACCGCTAAGGGAGTGGGAGCCCAGATTGTATCTAGGCTGCCCACTATATTCTTGTAGACCTTTTATTTTTATTCTACTTTTTATGGCATTATAATATATACAAATTAGTCCAATTGGATGGTGGTGCAATGAAAATTCGAATTTGAAAGTTCAAGGATTGTCAAATTGGTTAGGGTTCAAATTCAATCACCAACAATATATATTTTAACATACTAAATTTGGTCCATTTTATCGCTTAAGGTTTGTCAATTGACAACCCTTAGCAAGGAATGAGTCCACCCCTGGATATGAACACTACTTCCAACATGCTTTGCTCCGCTAGTTTTATAATGATTTGCATCAATACAAATTACGTCGCATTTCTCCGTTGTGCACAAATTCAATAAGTTATATGGGCAAAGGGAATAAGGTATTTTGCGTCTTTTGTTGATCAGGCGACACCCGGATTTGAACCGGGGGAAAAAGGATTTGCAGTCCACCGCCTTACCGCTCGGCCATGTCGCCAAATTAATACAAAAGAAAGGAAAGAACCTTTTTATAAGGATTCATATGTGATGTGGGACAATAATATGTGATGTGGTGCGAATGATGAACAAAAAAGAAAGTTAAAAGGATTCTAAGCATGTGAAAAACAACCAGAATGAAGCAATCAAGGATTATACAAACTTATGCAGATAGGAAATATATAAACTTGCAAGTGTTGTCCTTAACTATATAAAAAAAGAAAAAAATAGTAGAGAGAAGAGACCTATGACACTAAGCATATATGAAGTGCCCTAGGGGGGAACTAACTTATTTACCACCAGGGTAATTTACCATGATTTTTATGGATACACTTTTACCCTGATTTTTACAAGCCATACATTCGCAGAATATAATAACGTTGTCTGGATAAATAGTTTCTGGTGATTTTTATGGGTGAAGTGATTAAAATGGTGAAAAAATAGGTTTGAGCCAGTGATAAAGATGGTTACAAAGGTGTAAACGTTAGAAAAATGTTATATGGATATAAGATATAACAATACACTCAGTTCATCATATTTTCAGCTAAATTTTTCAGTTTGCTTGCTCTAAATAAAAGATAATTTTAACCGTTTAAGGTTTGATGCAGATGTTTGCTACAATTTATTAATTTTAGCAGTGAGTCAACAAACGAACGACACATTTTGCATGCAAATATAGATGGAAAGACACAAAATGATTGTTTAGTTATATCGTGATAGATGAATATATAATATTTTTAAACATTTGTGATCATTTTATTTGAATTCAAAACCTATATCACAATTTTCACCAATTACAGCTTTTCTAAAAAAAACTGTTCTATGAATTGTATGAGATATTTGAATATTCGGAAAACATTTATGAATTGGTTATCTACAACAATTTTTTTTCAAAATAAATTTATTGCTACATCTGCACTTACATATATGACAATTATTTAATTATAGAGGTGGAGATTAGTAACCAATTAAATGGCAGCTCATTAAATAGATTCGTTGTGGGAGGAAGTGTCCCAGATATATTACTTAAAATTTATCATAATTTATTTTAGAAAGGATTAAATACACTACCCAATCACAACATTCCTTGAATTTACGTATGCGCGCGTCGAAAAATGTAAAAATACAATGGTTGTGTTGATTGACTGCAATAGAAAAAAAAATTAATAATAATAATAAGTAACGCACCAAACTGACCAAAGTTAGCAGTTGCCTATTCCATGCACAACACCTGGATAAGTACCACATTTAAAGCAAATACAACCTCTCTCTCTCTCTACAAAATTCTCTCTCCTCTTCTTTTTTTTTCAGAATCTCTGGGCTTCACTTCTTCTGGCGAGGGAGGATGAAGAATGCCGAGGAGAAGGAAGGTGGTGATGATGGCGTGCAAGATGAACAAGTTATTATGAGTACGGATGAGAGCGGTAGTACTGGTGACGACGACGACGACGACGTCGACGTCGACGTGGAGGGCGTCGAAGAGGTTGGTGGTGACGACGATGACGCGTCGAGTCCCCATTCGCCGGAAGATGAACAGGCTGATGGTGGTGATGAGGTGGAAGAAGAAGATCTGCGGCCGAGGATGAGTTCAGGGGAGGAATTTGGGCTGCCTCCTGGCTGGCAGGTCGAGGAAAGGCCTAGGCTTAGCGGAAAGCTCAAAGGCAGATTCGATAAGGTTCTTTTCCCTCTCTCGTTTTTATTTGTTTTAATTCATTCGTTCAGTTTCATTATTTGATTTCCCTCTGTGAGTAATTTTAAGCTGCTAAATGATTTGACTCTTATATTATTTTGCGATTTAAGCCAATGATTACCATTAGACAAAGAAAGATTGAGGATTTAATTTGGGGGTGTCAATTGCATATGCATTACTCTGTGGGAATATATCTTGAGTGTTCTTGAAGTTCAAATCTGAAATTGGCTGAAATTCAAGGGTTCATCAGTGAAGATCGAGGATGGGACCAAGTTTGGGGTATTTTATTTGGAGTGTTTGGTAAATCATATATGTGTAAGATGGATGCTCTTTCACTGAAGTTAAAATAAAATTTGCATTTGGTGGGCGAAAATACTTTTTCTGTAGTAGTGACGTAGGTAAATCTAATTGGAGAGCACATAGAGTTTTGATGATGATAGATAACAGTTTCAAGTCTAATAAAATATAAATTTGAAGATGAGGCGCTAAATTAATTACAAAAGTTGAGAGGTGAACTAACTAATTTACCGGATTCGGGAGTTCAATGATAACATGCGAGAGTCGCATTTTTCGTTATAGATAGAATTGAATTTGGCGCGAAATAATTTGTAAAGCTAGTTTGGGTTGTTTGATTAAGACACGTGAAAGCTTTTGTTTAATTAAAATTTTATTTGTTGTTGACTCGACAAACTAAATACTAAGATTGTGACGTGGATTAACCAATTTAACTAACGTAGCGGCCCGAATAATAAGTAATGAGCGTTTTTTTTTCCTTTTATACTTTCAATTTGAATTTGGCGCGAAAAGACATTTCAAGAGGCTAGTGACGTAGGCAAATCAACTTGCAGAGCTGACAGTTTGATCGACGGTGACAAAAAAAAAACATATCTTTCCAAATTAATTAACTAACGAACTATTTTGGATTTAACGGAAAAAGAATAACCTTGCAAGCGCTGACGACATAGGCAAATCAACACGGCTAACTAACTTACCGGTATTCCTGACTCTATTGATGCATGACAAATGAGCGTTTCTTTTTCCGTTAGAACTTTGTTTTTGAATTTGGCGCGAAAGGATTTTTCAGGTGTTGACATAGACAAAACAGTTTGCATACCGCTGACAGTTCGGTGATGACACGTAAGAGTACTTCGGTTTAGTGAAATTTAATATGAAACTCGCCCAAAATAGTTTTAAGTCACTAAGTTTGACGTCTCATTGATAAGACGTGAACATTTTCTTTCTCGTTATAAATTTGTATGAAACTTGGCGCGTAAAAACGTTACAAACAATGATGTCTTATAAAGATTTTTTGTTCATGTCTTAAACTAACCTTTCCCTTTTAATGAAAACGTTGGATTTGAAATTGTAATACTATTTAGTTTTATAAATGTGGGTGCAGTATTACATTGAGCCAGAGACAAACAAAAGGTTCCGTTCTATGATAGAGGTCAAACAACACCTCCAAATAGATGACCTTCCTACCAGAAAGATCAAGAGAAGGGCAGGACGAGGTCAAGTTGATTCTGAGGTACGACACCAATTTGATCTAGTTACAGTTAAAAACTCTTTTATGGTCAATGCGCGCGGCAGCATATATACTGAAGTTTCATCTTCAGGGTACTTCGAGCTCTACAAGTGAGAGAGGGCGTGGCCGTGGGAGAAGGGGCAGCCGTGGCCGTGGCAGGAACTATGGACCTCTTTCTCAGCCGGTTCTGAGGCCATTTGCTAGGGGAACAACACTTCCAACTCCTCCTCCTCCTCACCATCGAGTTGTTTTCGTTGCAAAACGCAACGACGGCGACGATGAACCGTCGGATGATTGTTAAGCGCAGACTCTAAGCATTATAGCGATCAGAGGGCATGAACCGTCAATGAAAGAGGCTTATGTTATCCTTATACTTTATATACAGAAGACAGCTGGACATGTTTTTTATCAAGGGAGATTTGAACTTGGGTTTTCTCTGCATATGTGTGTGTGCTAATACATAGTTGCAGTCCTTTTTGTTGAGTTCGTTTGGTACTTTTATGGCGTGTATAAGCTTGTTTCGTCACCAAGAAGTGCATGGGTATGTTCTGCAGTTCATAAGGAAGGCTTGGGTGGGCTGTTGGGAGAGCTGCTCACCTAGTTTTAAGGCTACTGGCACACATTTTGATATCTGACCTTAATGATGGTTCAACGGCTAATATCTCTAATCATATTGCTCAATGTCAATATGATTTTTCATAATCAACAACCACCAAGAAGTATGTGAAGTTAAATTTCAACAAATGATTTTTCTAGTTTAAAAATCGTTATTTTTTAATATGTATATTACTTATTTATCGTGAAAAATAATATATTTCTGAATGGATGAGTCACCTATATGATGTAGAAAGTGAAATATGGCCACAAGATTTTTCGTTCTTGTTGTGTGTTAACTCGTCTAAAACAATGAAAATGTACTTCTAAAACTTACAATGATGGTTATCGCAATCATGTGATAAATGAATTCTTAGCAAATACAACATAGAGAAATAGAATTGTAAATATCCACGACAATCCATCTCCATTTTGAATATGACGAATAGTATATCGAGTTTAAAATATTTCTCAAATAAATGAGTCAGTACTTTAAATATGAGAAAAACGATAAATTTACACGTGTTCACCATTCCATCAATTAATCACACCTTACACCTTTTAGCCTTCTCTTTTCTTTCTATCCGTTTTCCTTTCCTTTCCGCATAGTACAAAAATGGCCAAAAGCTTTTTCCCTCCCACCGCCTGCTCATTTTCCGCTTATTTCTTACCGCCGCAGTTTCCTCTCGTTTCACTTCCTCTTTACCTCTCCAACGCTTTCTTCTTCTTCTTCTTCTCTCTTGGTTTCGGAAATTCTGTTCGTCGATGGTTGCCTGATAGTTGCCGGCCGCCGAGTTCACCGCTGCAACTAGATCATAACGCCGATCCTTTGAAATTGTCAATCACGTTCTCTTTTTCCGTTTCCGGTAACCAGATTCTAGAAGCTTTTGTCTCTCTTGTTGAGGTAAGCAACTCTGTTCTCTCTGCTTTACAGCAAGATGTCCGATCGTCAAAGATGCACGCTGTCAGTTCTTATGCCATTTCCCAGATTTTGAGTCCTTAAATCAGCAATCGCTGACGGAAGTTTATCCATCGTGTATACCGTCGGCCATGGCGGTTACAAAAGTTTGCTCTGTTATCTTTTTGGTTGTTTGTTCGTCTGTTTGGAACTTGGAAGCTTGTTTTCTGACGGGGAATTTTAATTTTTTCCGATCAGCCCTGCTTTGAGGATTCAGGATGCCTAAATCGGTGGCCAAAGGGGGAACTAGCCCCGACAGGTTGAGCGATTTGCCCGACGAAGTTCTGCACTTCATTCTCTCCTGCGTGGACTCCGAGTCGGCGGTTCGAAGCGGCATTTTGTCGAACAGGTGGAGATCACTCTGGAAAACGGTTCCCGTCCTCAATTTCGACGGCGAATCCTTCAACGACGACGAACAGAGCTTCAAGCGACATGTGGACAGATTTCTGTATCTCCGTTCCACCACTTTGCACGAGGTTCGACGTGTATCGGTCCTCAATTGCCCTGGATTTGACGAGAGATCCGACGTCTTGACTGCTCTTTTCCTGTCGATCTCCCGTTGCGGTCCATCCTTGGAGACTCTGAACTTGAAAACAGTCCGGCTTTACACCATGGCTTTTGCTGTGCCCTGTTCTGTTTTCAAAGTGCTCACAAATTTGACTTTGGTCGACTGCTGCTTCGACTTCTCCTGCTGGTACCAGCAGGGTGACCCTTTTGCTGGTTTCCCCGTGTTGAAGAATTTGAAGCTGATTTCTTGCAGCTGCTGCCTTGATGATGATGATGATCCTGATGACGACGAGAAGTGTCTGGAAGTGTACGGACCCGAGCTGCTTAGTCTGGAGATTCATGCCCCATTCGGTTTCGACCAAATCGAAGTTTCTGCTCCGAAGCTCGAATCGTTTACTTACAGGGTTGTGATTCCTGACTTTTCTCCAGTAATTCAAGTGTCCTTGGATGTTCCTTCTTTACAGCATGCTAATATAATGTTGTGGGGTTATGCGGATTTGGATTATGAGTATGCCAAGGAAGAGGCAAACGAGCAGTTTTCAGACATGCTCCTATGCCTCGGTGGTGTCGAAACTCTCTCCCTGCAATTCGATACACTTGAGGTCAGTTTCTTGTAATGTGTCGAATGATCTTATTTTGCTACTGATGATGGTCACTATCTGAGTTGTTCATGGTGATCGAACTCTACTAATTTCATGCACTTCTTTAGGCACTGATCAATGCTTGTGGCTTGATGAAGAATCAGCCATCGCCGTTTACAAGACTCAAGTCCTTGAAATTGCTTTATTCTGAAGGAACTGTTGACATACCTCCCAATGTGATGCACTTCTTTCTTGATGGTTCTCCTTTCATGGATGAAAACGCTGTGAAGCTAACTAAGGTGAGATGATGAACCAACATCTTCTTTTGTCTTAATGTTGATTGAACCCACGATAATTGATGTTGAATTTGATTTGATTCGATCCGATTTGATTAATACAGGTTGCTACTTCCTCATTCCCGTACAATCTGCGAGCTTAAACATGCATGGTGAAATATTGCTACTCAAGGTGCTTAGAAGGTGGAGGTTGAAGAAAGTCGGCTTTGCTCGTGTAACAGAACTCTTTAAAATAAGCTCTCAATGTTTCGCATATGTACTGGAGACACAACATTGCTCCTTAATAATGGTGTGTGTTTTATTGGGAGATACAATGGGAAATGATGAGTGAACTTCTCGTAATATACCAACTTTGTTTTCTGGTTATTTTACATTACCATAGCTAATTAATATTCATGCGCTAATTTCAAATTAGAACTTTTGATGATTGAAAATAATTTTCTAAAATTTGTTTAAATCTATCCTAGTTTTGAAATTTTATTTTGCGCCAAATTTTTCGCGCCAAATTTATAGTAGAGAGAAATAAATCCCTATAAGCTTTCATCTAAGGATAGACAATTTTGGCATACTTGATTGTACCAACTCATAATCTTGAATGTAGTTGAAAGAGCAACTCTTTTGTGTTGTTACCAAACATACTTAACAAGTTCCAAATTGATGAGTTGTTTCCATCATAGTTGCAGAATTTTTTTGCGTCCAATCTTCAAGTAAAAAAATTTCATTTGACCCCCTCGTTAATTTCATAATAAGATGCCCCTCTATGAGTAATTAAGCTGATAAATGACTTGTCTCTTATATATTTTGCAATTTAAATCGACTACAATTTACACATACATTACTCTGCGGGAGTCTTGAGTATTCTTGAAGTTCCAGCTGAAGTTGGTTTGAAAGAATTTCAAGGTGAAGTGGACGAACCAAGTTTGGGTATTTGTAGTGTTTGGTAAATCAAATTGATTTGAAAATGAGGCGCTAAGTTAAATGCTAAAGTTGAGACGTGGAATAGCTTATTTATGGAATTTAGGAGTTAGTTGATAACCTGTGAGAGCCACATTTTCCCTTCTAGATGGATTTTAAATTTGGTGCAAAATGATTGATTTTTCGTGGTGACGTAGACAAATCTATTTGCAAAGCTACCTTGGACCGTTCAATTAAGACACGTGAAAGCTTTTGTTTAAGTTAATTTAATTTGAAGTTGACCCGCCAGACTAATTACTATTTACCAAGGTTTGGAATACCGTACAATATGTTGTACCGAAAAAGTTAGCGGTAGAGTATTTTATGCTAAATCGTGATTTAACTGTGGTTCAAGCGCTTCATACCGCTAAATACCGTCTATTGGTTTAGCCTCCGATAAGATACTTTTTTGGTCGAACCGCTGATACGGTACGGTATTTCAATCATTGCTATTTACTTAATGTAGTGCATGACTAATAAGTCAAGCACATTCTTTTTTTCATTTATACTTCAAATTTGAATTTGGCGCGAAAAGTCATTTCAACAGGCCAGTAGGCAAATCGACTTGGAAAGCTGACCGTTGATCAATGGTAACAAAAAAAAAACTTATCTTTTAGTAAAGTTCAATTTTACCCGCCAAATTAAGTAACTAACTATTTTGTATTTACTTACCGAAATTCATGACTTTATGGATGCATGACACGTGGGAGTTTCTTTTTCGTTATAGTTTCGTTTTTATTAGGCGTGAAATTATTTTTCAGTTGTGACATAGGCAAATCAGTTGCGGCCCCTGTCGGTTTGACGATGACACGTCATAACTTCTATTTATGAAGTTAAACTTGAAACTCGCCCTAAACTAATTAACTAACCATTTTACTGATTTTAAGGGCTCGTTGATAATACTCGAAACTTTTATTTACCGTTATAAATTGGTATCAAATTTATGCTCCTAAAGACTTTTCAAATAATGATGTCTTTTAAATATCTTTCTTCATGCCTTAACTAACGTTTCCCTTTTGATGAACCATGTCTTAATTATTGAACTATACGTAGGAAAGAGGTCAAACAACACCTCCAAATAGATGACTATCCTCAGCCTTCCGGGCACAAGGTCAACTTGATTCTCAGGTACAACATCGATTCGAGACATCTTTGTAATCTTTCTTGTACTTCACAAGTTAATCTAGATGTATCTTTGTTCGCTCATCCCTTCTTTTGTTATAGTTGAGATTCTTATGGTCAATGCAGCTTATACAAAAGGGCGGAGCTAGGATCCAGAGATCGGGGGCCAAACATTTTTTTTATAGTATCCGTCAAAATGTTCTAAGAAGATAAATTAGAATTATTAAACTGCAAGCAACAAAAAATTCGGAACACTGTTCATTAAGAAAAAAATCGGGATTACTGTTCACGATGAGGTTTTTGGATTTCCTATGGGCAAATCTAGCTAAACCTCTGTGGACCACTTTGGGCTGCCCAAGAGATATGACTGGGACCACGTAACAATCCCACACCTGTTTCCCTCTCTTCGCTTTTCTCTCCTAACCTCTCTTTCCACTCTTTTCTGTCAAATCAAAGTACATATTGCCCACACCTTTTCTCCTCTCCTCTCTCATTATCTCTCTTTCCAGTCTTCTCTCCAAAATCAAAATATGTAGTAGGAAGAAGGGGGAAAATGATGAAACAACCCAAGAAAAAAGAAAATTTACTATGGTGATTGTACTATTATACTTTTAGTTTAATCGATACGCTTTTAGTTTTTACTACAATTATACTATGGTGATTGTAAACATATCAAAGTAGTAAGAGGATGTTATAAATAGAGGCAGGTATAAATTTTAGACTCATAGTGCTAAGATGGTGGTAGAAATTGATCTGAATTGTTTTCCTAAAATATAACTAAAATGAATATTATTTTGTAGATCATAATAAGCTCGTCTTTTGATTTAGTAGAAACAAACTATGTACAAGCCATTTAAAAAAAATCTAGAAATTAAAAAAACATTTAGTCTCAACTAACCACCTGAGGATGGTCAATTACTTAAAAGTGTTGTTTGACCTCTTTTATTGAAAGAAACTTTGTCTGTCTCTCGAAAATAGTAATACTAAACCACGTAGTATTACTTTCAAGTTTCAAATGCAAGCTTATAGTCCAATAATTAAGACATGATTTCATCGGGAGGAAAATTTTAGTTAAGATATGAACATAGATCTTATTAGTTTTGCATCACGTTGTGAAAAATTTGTGCGCGTCAAAACGCACACAAATCTATAAAAGAAAATACACATGACGAACCCTCGAAATTTCGTAATGTAGTTGTTTAATTAGTTGGGGTGTTTCAAATTAAACTTCACTAAAACATAAGCACTTACATGTCATCATAAAGTTATGCAAATTGATTTGCCAATGTCATCAACTAAAAACTCTTTTTTCCTCTATAATCAAAAAAGGTTTTAACGAAAAAAGAAATGCTCATGTGTTATTAAAAAAAAAAATGGATCGATTAGTTAGTTATTCCATGTTGGTTTGCCTATGTCATCATTTACAAAGTTAGTCTTTTCATACCAAATTCAAAATGAAGAAACGTTGCATTCCGACAAATAAGTCACTTTATTTAAACGAACCAACAACCAATTTTAGTATTCACAAAATTTATAATTTTACTTTTTATCGTGCCTGATTGAGCGTGAACATGTTCTGATTTGTTCTAGAATCAAGTCTAGTTAAAATACTATCATAACTAAAAGATATAAGAAAAACAGGGACAATGATCTGAATCAAATTATGTTATTTGAATCGATTTGATTTCTTTTATTTTTAAAATAAATCATGAATATCTAAAAACAAAACTATATTATCTCATTCGATTTTGGTCAAGTTCGATCCGATATATTGTTACTCAAATACTCAGCCTCACAACCTCTTCTTATCATTGTGTATGCTAGCTTTTATTTTAAAACAGGCTCACCTGAAAAAAGCATAGTAAACAGATGAGTCAGCATTATAAGTGACGAAATGCTTTTTGGCCTCTGCAATTTCTGCACATTTAATTTCTAACCGTCGCCTTTCCCTTCAATTTCTCTAACGAGTGAACAGACGTCCTATTCTTCTATCTCTGTTCGTCGACTACTGCCTCATAGTTGCGGGAGGCGCATTGATCAGCACATCTCACGCGACCACTTCCTGAATCCCGCTCTTTCTCCGTTTTCACGGCCAAATTCTCGTCAAGGTAAGCAACTCCTCTCTATCTCTCAGCTTCAGAGCAATTTTTTTTTTTATATGGATGATAACTTCAGAGCAAAAAATTTAATCATGCACTCGGCCTGTCTCTCTCCGATTCAAAGCAAAATTAGTTTGAAGTAGTTCGTGCTGGTGACGGGATTAGTTTGATATATGTGCATCCTTTTGATTCATTGACGGTAGCGATTTTTGAATATGCACTGAAATCTTGTTTGTTTGTTTCGATGGCAAGTCTGGCTTTCATAGGCGCATTTTGTCGAGCAGGTGGGGAGATCTCGGCCGAAAGGTAACAAAATGGTTAAGTATCTGAAAATCAACGGCAGAACATTCGGTGCTGGCAACAACATGACTTTGGAGACGCGTGTGGCCAAATTTCTGAAAGGCCGACCTGACGAGATCAGCTTCGAATTCTCTTCAGAACAAACTGACATTGAAATCTTTGAGGAGCTCATGAAATGCGCCGCTGGACATGGGCTTCTGAATTTGTGGGTTCGCGGTTCCCGTGAATTCATGGATCTGTCCGGTCGATCGGACACTGCTTTCGGATCCATCACCCACTGCGGTCCGTCGCTGGAGTATCTGGAGTTGGAAGAATTCAAGTTCAATCGGAAGCGGACGTTTGGGCAGTCCTGCTCTGGTTTCAGAGCGCTTACAGCTCTGTATCTGATCAAATGCTGCTTCGATTTCTCTCGCTGGAAGCGACTCGACCCTTTCGCTCATTTCCCCGCGTTGCAGCGGCTGACGCTGATTTATTGCAGCTGCCAAATTGGCGATGATGATCGTCCTGACGAAACCAGGTGTTTGGAAATCAACGGAGACCAATTGTTTAGTCTCGAAATAGACCAGCCAGTTGGTTTCACTGAGATCAAAGTGTCGGCGGAGAAGCTCAGTAGATTCACTTACAAACATCAGATTCCCGACAATCTCCGGGCAACAGAAGTCTCCTTGAATGCTCAATCCTTGAGCTGGGCGGATATCGAGTTATTGGGATACAAACGTTTGGTTTGTGATGAGCAGAGAAAGCGATGGGCACAGGTTTATGCAAACTTGTTCCATGGCCTGGGTAATGTGCTATCTCTCGTGGTCAAATTCGATACCACCAAGGTAAGTTCCCTGGTCTCTGGCCATTTAGCTAAGCTGTTGTTCGTTTCTTGACTTATTGCGTGGGTTGAAGAAAAGCTTATTTTGTTCATGGTGTTTTGATTTATGCTCTGGTGTTAGGCATTGTTTGAGGCCTCTAAGTTGGTGAGAGATCAACCTTCGCCTTTCCGAAAATTGGAGTCCATGACTCTGCGTTCTGAGGAAGAGGACTTAACCGTGATACCTCAGTATGTGATGGACTACTTTTTCGGCAGCAATGAATCCATGAACTTCATCGCTTCACCTAACGTAATCCTGGTAAGTCTATGAATTCATGCTCTTCTAATCGAACTCGACATGGAGATCAGTTGATTACTTGTGATTTGTGATGGCTGCAACTTAAATTATCTTAATTTTCCCCATCGTCGTGATCTTCCACTACGCACAGTATTCCTTTGATGCTGAACTGAAGTCCATTTTATTTTCTTGATTCAGATTAGTAAGCGATGATTCCTGCACCATCCTCGGTACTGGAACATTCTGCAGACTGAAGGTCCGATTGATCCTGAGTTCTGAGAGGACAGAGGTTGAAGAATTTGTTTCCTGTACCTGTACTGAATTGGGGGAAATGTTGTTTATGCTATAGTTGCTAGACTTGGTTCCTGTGACTCGTCGAACTAGTGTCTGATTGTGTCCTTTTTGTTTTGTGATGGTCTCTCTCTTTCCTTTTCTTTAAGAGGGAAATGAGTGACTACAGCATCGAATTGAACGTTGGTGGTCTTTCCTTTTTGTTTATTTTTAAAGTGGATTATAGCGGGAAATGAATGAACTTTTCGTGAATCATATGCGGTTTTTAAAGTTTTTTTAGTTAGATTTTATGAGAATTTTAGAGTGAATGATTTGAATTTGCCGCGAAATCAGAAAAGGTATTGAGGTGTGGATTGTCACGTGGCATGTATCGATTATATTGCTTAAAAGGTGACATGTAATAGTTTTTAGTTATAATTAAGAATTTGAATTTGGCACGTAATGAAAAATGTAAGATTTCTTATGTGGAACGGAGTGATCGATTAGTTGCATGAAATTAGTGACGTATGAGATCTTTTTTCTTTTTGTTAAAAATATAGTTCGAAATTAGTATAAAACAATATTGTATGACTGGATGTGAATAAATGGTTTTCGTCTTGAAAGTACCTTTGAGTTCTATTATAAAATAATATCGATAGAGTTTTATTTCAAAGTTGTGCCAAAAAAGAGTAGTAAAGTTAGGATTATAGACTACATTTTATTTATCAAAATTTTTATATTAACTTAGTGAATTTTCCTTTTCCCAAATACTCACTAGTTGAAATTATGTCGTGGACAACGTAAATTATGAAACTCATAAACTCAAATGATAATTGAGATTGAAGTACTAATTTGAAATTGGTTTGAGAAATTCGATAGTATTTTGAGAATGGTTACTTGTACCAACACGTAGTGTTCGGAAAATTCATACTTGATACATTTGTGATCTTTCATCATTTAGGTTTTTTAAAGTTTTTCTAACAAAAGAAAATCATTTTTTTCGTAGATCACTGGAGTTTCATATTCAATTTGACGGTAAAAAAAATTTAGGTTAGGTAATCATTAAATTACCTTATATTTGGTTTATTTACAAGTAGACTTAAAAGTGAGAATGGATATGTAATTATGAACTTAACATGTTGGTATATTGAACAATATGGAAATCTTAGAAAAATTAATAAATGAAAAAAACAATAAGTAACGCACCAAACCTCAGTCAAAAAATAAAAATAAAAACGCACCAAACTGACTAAAGTTTGCAGTTGCCTATTCCGTCCCATGCACACCACCTGGATAAGCACCACATTTAAAGCTAATACAAACTCTCTCTCCTCTTTTTTTTTTTTTTTTTTTTTCAGAATCTCCGGCCTTCGCCTTTCTTCTGGTTAGGGAGGTTCTGGAGATGAAGAATGCCGAGGATGACGGGCAAGATGAACAAGTGATTATGAGCACGGATGAGAGTGATGGTACTGATGATGGTGACGATGACGTGGAGGGTGTCGAAGAGGTTGGTGGTGATGATGATGACGCGTCGAGTCCCCATTCGCCGGAAGATGATGAGGCTGATGGTGGCGATGAGGTGGAACAAGAAGATCTGCGGCCGAGGATGAGTTCAGGGAAGGAATTTGGGCTGCCTGCTGGCTGGCAGGTCGAGGAAAGGCCTAGGCTTAGCGGAAAGCTCAAAGGCAGATTCGATAAGGTTTTTCCCCCTCGATCTCCTTTTTTTTCCCCTGTTAATCCACTCGTTGATTTCATTATTTGATTCCCCACTGCGAGTAATTGAGCTGCTGAATGACTTGACTCTGATATATTTTGTAATTTAAACCAATTATTACGATTTGATAAAGTGGGTTTAGGATTTGGGGGGTGTCAATTTGCATGTACACTACGTATATACTTTGTGGGAATCTAGGGTGTTCTTGAAGTTCCAATCTGATGTTGGCTTGAAAATCATTTCAAGGGTTAAGTGAAGGGAACCAACCAATTTGCGGTATTTTGAGTGTTTGGTGAATCATATGTAAAGAAAAAACTTTTACAAGTGAAGTTAGAAGAAAATTCGGATTTGGCGCCCGAAAAGACTTTTCGGGTGGTGATGTAGGTAAATCAAATTGCTGAGGATATATAGTTTTGATGATGATAGATTAGAGATTCACTGCTGGTAAAGTTGAATTTGAAGATGACGCTCCAAATTAATTACTAAAATTGAGATATGAACTAACTAATTTACCGAATTCGGGAGTTCATTGATAACATGCGAGAGTCGAATTTCCTCTTATAGATTGAGCTTGCATTTGGCGTGGAATGATTGATCTTTCAGGTGGTGACGACTGACATAGACAAACATATTCGTAAAGCTAGGTTGGACATATTGCTTAAGACACGTTAAAGTTTTTTTTAAATAAAATTTAATTTGAAGTTGACTCGCCAAACTAATTACTAAGATTGTGATGTCGGCTGGCCAATTTACTTAATGTACATAGAGCCTAACTATTAAGTCATGAGTTTTTTTTTTCTTTTATAATTTGAATTTGGCGCGGAAAGACATTTCAAGAGGCTAATGACGTAGGCAATTCAACTTGCAGAGCTAATAGTTTGATCGATGGAAACATATAAAAACATCTCCAAATTAACTAACTATTTTGGATTTAGCGGGGAAAAAATAACTTTACAAGCACAGACACAGCCAAATCAACACGGCTAACTAACTTACCGGAATTCTTGACTTTATTGATGTACGACAGATGAGCGTTTTTTCCCCTTATGTTTTAGCTTTGTTTTGAATTCGGCGCGAAAAGATTTTTCAGATGGTGACAGGCAAATCAGTTTGCATACCGCTGGCAGTTTGGTGATAACACGTAAGAACTTCGGTTTGGTGAAATTTAATTTGAAACTCGCCCAAACTAATTAACTAACTATTTTAGTGAGTTCGAGGTCTCATTGATAATACGTGAACATTTTCTTTCCCGTTATAAATTGAAATTAAATTTGGCACCTAAAAACTTTACAAACGATGATGTCTTGCAAAGATCTCCGTTCTTGTATTAATTATTGAACTATACATTGGATTTGAAAGTAATACTATTTAGTATACTATGAATGTGGTGCAGTATTACTATGAGCCAGAGACAAACAAAAGGTTCCGTTCAATGAAAGAGGTCAAAGAACACCTCCAGATAGATGACCTTCCTCGGCCATCCAGAAGAAAGATCAAGAAAAGGGCAGGACGAGATCAAGTTGATTCTGCGGTACAACACCAATTTGAGACATCTTTAATTTGTTCCCTCCTCCCTTCTTTTGTTATGGTTAAAACACTTGTGGCCAATGCAGTAGCTTATTATATATTGAACTTTGATGGTCAGGCTACTTCTTCGAGCTCAACAAGTGAGAGAGGCCGTGGGAGAAGAGGCAGCCGTGGCCGCAGCAAGGGCTATGGACCTCTTTCTCAGCCGGTTCTACGGCAATTTGCTAGGGGAACAACACTTCCAGCTCCTCCTCCTCCTCACCATCGAGTTGTTTTCGTTGCAAAACGCAACAACGATGACGAGGATGATCAGTAGCATGATATGATCAGAGCGCATGACCCGTTCATGAAACAGGCTTGTCCTCTTATCAGGGGAGATTGAACTTGTCTTTCTCTGTTTCTCATATATGACAATCCTGTTAAAGAGATGTGCTCATACATAGTTTCTGTCCTCTTTATTGGGTTCGTTTGGTACTTTTATGCCGAGTAAAAGCTTGTTCGGTCACCAAGAAGTGCATGGCTATGTTTTGCAATTCAAATGGAACGCTTGGGTGGACTTTTGGGAGAGCTGATCACCCAGTTTTAAGGCTACTAGCACACATTTTTGCCGTTGATCTTAATGATGATTCAACGGCTAATATTTCTAATTATATTGCTCAATATCAATTTATTTTTCATTTTGAACACAATTGATGTGATATCGAATAGAAAGTATTTCTCGAATGGACGAGTCAATGATTTAAATGAGAAAATCCATAAATTTACACGTGTTCACCATCCCATCAATTAATCACACCTCACACCATTTAACCTTCTCTTTTTGTCTAATTTCTTTTCCTATCCGTCGATTGCAAATATGGCGAAAAGTTTTTTTCCTTCCCACTGCCTCCTCAGTTTACGCACATTTCTAGCCACAATTGTTTCCTTTCGTTTCATTACCTTTTACCTCTCTTACGCTTTCTTCTTCTTCTTCTTCTTCTTTTCTCTTGGTTTCGAAAATTAGGTTCGTCGATCATTGCCCGAAAGTTGTCGGAGGCTGACTTCACCCTGCAACGAGATTTCCAGGGTAAATTAATTGATAATAGCGAGGGTAGTATTTTTCCTTCTAGATGAATTTTGAATTTGGCGCGAAATGATTGATCTTTCATGTGGTGAAGTACACAAATCTATTTGTAAAGCGAGCTTGGGCCATTTGATTAAGACACGTGAAAGTTTCGTTTATGTAAAAAAATTGAAGCTGACCCGCCAAACTAGGTACAAATATCGTTAAGTGGACTAACCAATTTACTTAATATAGCGCATGACTAATAAGTCATGAGCGTTCTTTCTTCTTTTATACTTGCAATTTGAATTTGGCGCGAAAAGACATTTTACGCGGCTGCTTACGTAGCCAAATCAACTTGCAGAGCTGACATTAATTGTAACATAAAAAAAAACTTATCTTTTAGTAGAGTTAAATTAGAAGTTCACCCACCAAATTAATAAGCTAACTATTTTGGATTTAGCAAAAAGATATAAACTTTACAAGCGGTGGCATACCCAAATCCACGCAGTTATCTTACTTACCGGAATTCATGATTTTATTGATGCATTCGTTGTAGCTCTCTTTAATTGGGGGCAAAAGAATTTTTCAGTTGGTGACATAGGCAAATCAGTTTGAAGACTGATGACAGTTTAGTGATGACCTGCAAGAACTTCTCTTTAGTGAAGCTTAATTTGAAACTCATCCAAACTAATTAACTAACTATTTTACTGAGATTGAGATATCATCGATAATATCTGAAAGTTTTATTTCCCGCTGTAAATGAGTCACCTATATAATGTAGATAGAGGACGGCTTCAAAGTTTTTCTTTTTTATTGTCTAATAACTCATCTAAAACAAAGAAAATGTACTTCTAAACCGACAATAATGTTTAGTGTAATCGTAATGGATAAATTATTCTTCACCGAATAAATCATTCATTAAAAAGTGAAGTTATAAGATTCACGACAATCTATCTTTTATTTGAACGCAACTATTATGATATCGAATACAAAATATTTCTCGAATGGATGAGTCAACACTATAAATAAAAAAGACTATAAATTTACACGTGTTCACCATCCCATCAATTAATTACACCTCACACCATTTATCATTCTTCTTCCTTTCTGCCGAGTGCAAAAATGGCGAAAAGCTTTTTCCCTTCCACCGCCTCCCCAGTTTCCGCTCATTCCTAGCGGCCGCCGTTTCCTCTCGTTTCACTTCCTCTACCTCTCCGACGCCTTCTTCTTCTTCTCTCTTGGTTTCGGAAATTCAGTCCGTCGATCATTGTCTCTCCTGTTGAGGTAAGCAACTCTGTTCTCTCTGCTCCACAGCAAGATGTCCGATCGTCAAAGGACAAAGATGCACGCTGTCTCTTCTTATCCCATTTACAAGATCTTGAGTCCTTAAATCTGCAATCGCTGACGGAAGTTTATCCATCGTGTATACCGTCGGCCATGGCGGTTACAAAAGTTTGCTCTGTATCTTTTTGTTTGTTAGTTTCGTTTGTTTGGATGCTTGGTTTCTGCTCACAAATTTAATTTTTCTCCCCTGAGATCAGCCCTGTTTTGAGGATTCAGGATGCCTAGAGCGCCGGCGAAAGGGGGAAGGCAACGAGGAGTTGTGAAAGGAAGTAGCCCCGACAGGTTGAGCGATTTGCCCGACGAATTTCTGCACTGCATTCTCTCCTTCCTTGACACCAAGGCGGCGGTTCGAAGCGGCATTTTGTCGAGCAGGTGGAAGTCACTCTGGAGAACGGTTCCCGTCCTCAATTTCGACGGGGAATCCTTCAACAACGACGAACAGAGTTTCAAGCGACATGTGGACAGATTTCTGTATCTCCGTTCCACCACTTTGCACGAGGTTCGACGTGTATCGGTCCTCAATTGCCCTGGATTTGACGAGAGATCCGATGTGTTCACCGCTCTTTTCCTGTCGATCTCCCGCTGCGGTCGATCGCTGGAGACTCTGAACTTGAAAGCAGTCCGGCTCTACCCCATGGCTTTTGCTGGGCCTTCTCCAGTTTTCAAAGTGCTCACAACTTTGACTTTAGTCGATTGCTGCTTGGACTTCTCTTGCTGGAACCAGCAGGTTCTCCCTTTCGCTGGTTTCCCCATGCTGCAGAACTTGAAGCTGATTTCTTGCAGCTGCTGTCTCGATGATGATGACGATGATCCTGACGCTGACGAGAAGTGTCTGAAAGTCTCCGGACCCCAGCTGCTCTGTCTGGAGATTCATGCCCCATTCGGTTTCGACGAGATTGAAGTCTCTGCTCCGAAGCTCGAATCGTTTACTTACAGGGATGTGATTCGTGACTTCTCTCCAATAACTCAAGTGTCCTTGAATGCTCCTTCTTTACAACATGCTAATATCATGATGTGGGGTTATATGGGTTTGGATGATGAGTATGTCAAGGAAGTGGCAAACCAGCAGTATTCAGACCTGCTCCTCTGTCTCAGTAGTGTTGAAACTCTCTCCCTGCAATTCGAAACACTTGAGGTAAGTTTATTGTACAAATTTCGTACTAATTAAGTATATATTTTGCTACTGATGATGCCACTATCTGAGTTGTTGTTGTTGTGCTTGTTTTGTTCATGGTGGTCGAACTCTACTTTGATGCATTTCTCTAGGTATTGATCAATGCTTGTGACTTGGTGAAGAATCAACCGTCGCCGTTTGCAAGACTCAAGTCAGTGAGATTGCTTTATTCTGAAGGAGCTGTTGGCATACCTCCCTATGTGATGCACTTCTTTCGTGATGGGTCTCCTTTCATGGATGAAAATGCCGTGAAGCTAACCAAGGTGAGATGATCAACCACCATATCTCTGACTTGCATGAACCCATGATAATTGATGTTGAATTCAATTTGATTTGATTCGATTCATACAGGTCACTACTTCCTCATTCCCGTACAATCTGCGAGCTTAAACATGCATGGTGAACTACTACAAGTAAGGTGTTTGAGAGCCCTGCAATTGCATAGAAGGTAGAGGTCCAAGATGGTTGCTAGGGTTTTCACCTTTAGCAATGAGTGTACAATAGTGGCCTTAAGGGTTTGTGTTTGTTTGTGAGAATAAAATGGGAGATGATGCGTGAACTTATAATAAACAAACTTTGTTCCTACCAAAAATAATAATAAACAAACTTTGTTTTTGTGGTTATTTTATATTGTCATAGTTAATGTGTGTGCCCTAATTTCAAATTACAACTTCGATGATTGAAAATAATTTTCTAAACTTGTTTGATCTTGCATCATAACTTTGGAACTTCATTTCGCGCCAAATTTTAAATTTAAATAGACATAAATTAATTTTGTTCTCATAAAGTGGAGACAATTTTGGTAGACGGGATTGTACCACGCGTCCACGCCATAATCTTGAATATGGTTGAAAGAGCAATTATTTTGTCTTGTTACCAAACATACTTAACAAGTATGATAAATTATGTTATTTTTTAATAGGGTTAATAACATTTCATACCCTTCTAATATATAATTAGAGAAATTTTGTTCGTGTCCAATCTTCAAAGCAAAAGTTTTAATAAAAGAAAAATCAACATTTTGGTGTTACCATTAAACTAGGAGGATTTGAAATTCTTTTGTTCACATCACAATCTATGGATACAGAACGCACCCGCTTATGAGCTCCTCGCAGGGCATTATGAGCATCACAAATGCATCGCTCCCCCAGTCCCCAACGAGGTTAGAAAATTAACATTTTTGCTCATTGTCGTAAGTCGTAACTACCATTTTGATTATCCATTGTTCGCGTTTAATTTCTAATCACTACCAACAAGGACAAAAACCAGCTCATACCTACCAAAGATGGCAAAGGACCGTCTAACAGATGATCAATTTTAATTTTACGGACTAGTAAAAACCATGGTAAAAAAGGTGTAATTCTGTGTACGCATAGACGCGCCTAATCGCTAGGCAGTGACAAAAAATCTCGTTTAGATCCTAGGTAGACAATTAAACGTTCATGACACTTAGGTGGTGTTTAGGCAAAATTAAGTATGATTAATTGGCATGATGTGTGATTAATCAAAATGAGGTGTGATGAAGCACACTAACATATCGAGGATTGAAAAGAATTTATAGCTAATCTTCTCAAAATGAGAGCACCTCTTGACCCTCTGCCCTTCTCTTCATCATCATTGACTATAGAGCAGCCAAAATCCATGACTTCTACAAACTTATGTTTCTAGGAATAATAATAAATCTTATTTGTTGTTAAGAGTTAACTAAGTTATTAATCATTGAAATAGAACTGAAGTAAAAACAAGCTATAAATTGCTATTTCTACTAAAGCTGGCTATTTTTGCTAATGCGGCTAGGCGCCACTTTGGTATCGCTTAGGCGTGCTAGGCACTAGGCAGAGTTTTAATGTCTGCCTAGCGCCTTCTCAAACCTTGGTAAATACTAAAAAGGTTTGCATATTATTTTTATCGAAAAAATAAATTAAGTTTACGAAATAAATTATACTTTGTATATTTTGATATTAAGTTTTTTTAATCGAGGCATTTTTATTAGGGTTTGTCAAAATCGAGTCAAGCATCAATCTGGATTAGCAAGAGGTTTAAGGTTTATGGGATAACTTATGATTAACCGGTATAAAATCGATTATAAAACCGATGACATACAATTTTTCAAATAAAAAAAATTCATGCTCATTTGAAAATTAGTATTAGTTTAGAGATTGAGATTTTTATATATGATTTAAAAAACAGCTTCTAGCTTGAGGTTTTAGAGAAGTACTTTTCAAAAAAAGCAGTTGAGTGTTTGATTGAAAAGACACCCCCTTGGCCAATTTTATAGCTCTGCCACTGCTTGCAGGTGGCGAAATTTGGACGGAAATGGTGGCCCATGACGCTAAAGGCCAATTTTTGCTAGTGACGACGAAGTAGCTACCAAAATATTGGACAGTGGACGAAGCGAAAGCATTGACAGCAGAGTTTGCAGCACAACTTGCTTTTCAAAACCACATCATGAACCCTGTGTTAGAAGTGGACAACCTTAGTCTGATACAGAAGCTACATGCTACATGGTCAATTCACACGGAGATCGACATTGTCTGCAGGAGCAGGAAGAGGTACCTAAGGGATATGGGTTAGGTATCCTGGCAACATGTGTCTCGTAAATGCAACAAAGCCGCACATATGATGGCACACTCGGAGACGAAATGGAATGAGCGTATTGGTTAGCTTGATAGATCCCTATTTTTAGGTGGATAATGTAACTATCAATATTGGTCGATAAAAGTACCACAGGTTCCGTTCAAAAAAACAAAAATAACCTCAACCATTCCAGGATGGTCAACTACTTGGAGAAGTTGTTGGACCTCTATTGAATGAAACTTCTTGGTTGTTTCTCGATCATAGTAATACTACACTACATAGAACTAATTAGTATTACTTTCAAAACCTATAGTCCAGCAATAATTAAGACAGGATTTCATAATAAGGAAAATTTTGGTTAAGTGAGGAATATAGATCGTAATAATACATCACCATATGAAAAGTCTTTTCGCATCAAATTCCACACAAATCTATAACGGAAAGGAAACTCTTACTTGTTATCAACGAACCCTTGAATTTAGTAAGAATAAAATAGTTATAATTTGTTTCTTTTTGAACTTCACTAAAACATCAGCGCTTACGTGTCATCGTAAAGCTGGTAAAGTTGGGCAAATTGATTTGCATGTGTCATCAACCGAGAAGTCTTTTTATATCATAATTAAAACAAGGCAATAACGGAAAAAGAAACGCTCATGTGCCGTCAATAAATTTTGAGTTCAGTTAGTCAGTTAGTCCATGTTGATTGGTCTAGGTCACCAACTAGAAAGTTAAACATTCCGCGCCAAATTCAAAATAAAGAAATGGTGCTTTCCGACAAATGAGGCACCTTATTTAAACGATCCAACATCAATTTTCAACATAACTACACTTATGACTTAACTTTTTTGCAACGTCTAATTGAGCGTGAGCATGCTTCAATCTGTTCCAGAATCAAGTCGAGATAAGATAGAACTAATTAGTATTACTTTCAAAACCTATAGTCCAATAATTAAGACAGGATTTCATCATAAGGAAAATTTTGGTTAAGTTAGGCATATAGATCGTAATAATACATCACCATATGAAAAGTCTTTTTGCACCAAATTCCACACAAATCTATAACGAAAAGGAAACTCTTACTTGTTATCAACGAACCCTTGAATTTAGTAAGAATAAAATAGTTATAATTTGTTTCTTTTTGAACTTCACTAAAACATCAGCGCTTACGTGTCATCATAAAGCTGGTAAAGTTGAGCAAATTGACTTGCATGTGTCATCAACCGAGAAGTCTTTTTTTATCATAATTAAAACAAGCCAATAACGGAAAAAGAAACGCTCATGTGCCGTCAATAAATTTTGAGTTCAGTTAGTCCATGTTGATTTGTCTAGGTCACCAACTAGAAAGTTAAACATTTCGCGCCAAATTAATAATAAAGAAATGGTGCTTTCCGACAAATGAGGCACCTTATTTAAACGATCCAACATCAATTTTCAACATAACCACACTTATGATTTAACTTTTTGCAACGTCTAATTGAGCGTGGGCATGCTCCAATCTATTCCAGAATCAAGTCGAGTTAAGATACTACCATACTTAAAAATTTTATAAAAAAGTTATAATGAACTACATCGAACTATTATTTATTTGAACCAATTTGGTTTATTTTATTTTTAAATTTATTCATCAATCTCTACAAAATCAAATTATATCGAGTCGTTCAGCTTTGATTCAGTTCGACCGGATTAAATGGCATTGTTACTCACCTCCAACTTCTTTTGTTTGCTAGCTTTTACAACCCAGGCTCACGTGAAAAAGCTCAACTTTTTTCATGGTTAAAATTAAAAAAGACAAGAATTTCCTCAAACGGACGAGTCAGCATTTTAAATGAGAGTGAGAAGATATGAAGACCCCACCCACCCCGCCCGTCCCTACCATATCCCATTTCCTTCCAAAACCAAGAGTGACGAAAAGCTTTTTTGCCTCTGCACATTTCTAACCGTCGCCTTTTCTTCTATCTCCGCTCGTCGGCTATTTGCCTCAAAGTTGCCGGCGGCGAATTGAACAGTGCAGATCACGCCATCATTTCCTGAATCCAGCTCTCTTCCCGTTTCCTCAGCCAGTTTCTCGTAAAGGTAAGCAACTCCTCTCTCTCTCTCTCTCTCTGTTTCAGAAAAGTATTTGTTTCAGTTCTTAACCATGCACTCCACCTCGCTTCCTAAGCCTTCCAATACTTTGAATTGTTCAGCTTGTTTGAAAGATTTTGAGTCGTACGTCCTTTCGATTCGTTGACGGTAGCGATCTTTGAATATGCACTGAATCTGGTTTGTTTGTTTCGATGGCAAGTCTGTTCTTCGTATCCGCATTTTGTCGAGCAGCTGGTGGGGAGATCTCCGTCGAAAGAAAACAAAATGGTTAAGTCCCTCAAAATCAACGGCAAAACCTTCGCTGTTGGCAGCAAGACGAGTTTCCAGAAGCGTGTGACCAAATCTCTGAAAGGCCGACCCGACGAGATCAGCTTCGAATTCTCTTTAGAATGTACTGATCTTGAAATCTTTGAGGAGCTCATGAAATGCGCCGCTGGGCATGGGCTTCTGAACTTGTGGGTTCGCGGTTCCCGCGAATTCATGGATTTTTCTGGTCGATCGGACATTGTTTTCGGATCCATCACCCAATGTGCTCCGTCGCTGGAGTATCTGGAGTTGGAGGAATTGAAGTTTAACGGGATGTACACGTTTGGGCTGTCCTGCTCTGGTTTCAAAGAGCTTAATGCTCTGCATCTGTCCAGTTGCTGCTTCGATTTCTCTTCCTTGAATCGGCTTGACCCTTTCCGTCATTTACCCAAGTTGGGAGTGTTGATGCTGAGCTCTTGCAGCTGCCACATTAGCGAAAGTGATGGTCCTGACGAAACCAGGTGTTTGGAAATAAGTGGAGACCGATTGTCTGTGCTGGAAATATACCAACCAGTTGGTTTCACTGAGATCAATGTATCAGCTACCAATCTCACTTCATTTACTTACAAACATGAGATTCCAGACCATCTCCCGGCAACAGGACTCTCCTTGAATGGTCAATCCTTGGGCATGGCGGATATCGAGTTGTTGGGTTACAAACGTTTGGTTGGTGATGAGCAGAGAAAGCGATGGGCAGAGCTGTATGCAAACTTGTTCCATGGCCTGCGCAATGCGAGCTCTCTCGACTTCAAATTCGATACCGCCATGGTAAGTTCCCTGGTCGCCATATTCGTGCACAAGTCGGATTATATCTTAGTGCTGCAGGGCAATTTAGCTGTTGTTGGTTTGAAAAAAAGCCTCATTTTGTTCATGTTGTTTTGGTTTATGCTCTGGTTTTAGGTGTTGTGGGACGCTTGTAATGTGATGGGAGATCTATCTTGGCCTTTTCTAAAATTGGAGTCCTTGACTTTGCACCATGAGGATGAGGAAGACATACCCGGGATGGGCTACTTTTTCGGAAACTACGAATACTCGCTCTTCTATGGACGGAAGGTCATCCTGGTAAGTCTATGAATCAATGCTCTTCTGCTCGAACTTGATATAGAGTGTTGGCTACATGTGATTTGTGATGGCTGCAGCTTAAATATCTTCATTTTCCTTTGATTCTGAACTAAACTCCGTTTATTTTCTTCACTCAGATTGCTAGGCGATGATTCCTGCACCATCCCCGGTACCGGAACATTCTGCAAACTGGAAGTCCGACTGATCCTGTGTTATGAGAGAACAGAGAATAAAGAATTTGTTTCCTGTTCTTGTCCTGATTGGGAAACTAGGGGATATATATGTTGTTTATGGTAAAGACTTGGTTACTGTGACTCATGGAACTAGTGTCTAATTGTGTCTTTTTTGTTTTGTGTTAATTGAACCTTGGTGGTCTCTCCTTTTGTTTGTTTTTGAAGTGGATTATGGCGAGAAATGAATGAACTTTCGTGGATCTTATGAGTTTATTCTTTTTTTAGTTATATTTTATGAGAATTTTCTTGAGTGAATGATTTTGAATTTAGCGCGAAATCAGAAAAGGTATGGAGGTGTGGGTTGTCACGTGGAATGTCGATTAATTTGCTTAGGAAGTGACGCGTAATAGTTTTTATTTATAATCAAATTTGAATTTGGCGCGAAAGTAAAAATACGTATGATTTCTGACGAGGAACAGATTGATCGATTAGTTGCATGAAACTAGTAACGTGTAAGGTTGTTTTCTTTTTGTTAAAACTCTAGTTCAGAATTAGTAATATGACTCGATTTTGAAAATACCTTTGAGTTTTATTTAATAATACCTATGGAGCTTTAACCAATGTTTTAGATACGTACCCTATCAGTCTGTCGGACTGAAAATATCATAGACCGATCGAAAATGGTATGCGATTTTAGCGATACGAAATGGTAGAACCGCGATTCAATCATGATTTTGGTACAAAATACCAAACTACTAACTTTCCGGTATAACTTCCAATACGGTTTCACAATCCTTAGTATTAACATGAAGTTGGACTTGAAATACCAAACTACTAAACTCTCCTTTTTCACATATACTCACTAGTTGAACTTGAAATTGTGTCGTGGACAACTTAAATTATCAAACTGATATACTCGAATGACAATTGAGATTGAAGTACGAATTTGAAATTGGTGTGTGCAATTCGAAAGTATTTTGAGAATGGTTACTTGTACCAAACCAACATGTAGAGTTCAAAAAATCATCTTTGATACATTAGAGATCTTTCGTCATATAAGTTCTAAAGTCTTTCTGGCAAAAAAAAAAACCCCATTTTGACGGATATCACTATAGCCTATGTTCAATTTTACAATAAAATCTTTTTAGGGTCGGTTATCATTAAATTACCTTATATTTGGTTTAGATTTAAGTAAAAAAATAAAAGTGGGAATGAATATGTAATTATGAACTTAACATGTTAGCAAATTAAAAAATATGGAAATCATATAAAACACCAAATGTTTTAAATGAAATGGAGTAAAATAAACAAAATATGAATAACTATATTTCAATGTAGATTGAGATATAAGCTACAAAATTATCTTGGTGCATTTGATTTCCCTACTAATTTGATACTCTCATGTGGTCATGAGCGGATACGACCAAAAATTTAAAACTAATTGTTTTATTGAACAAAGAAAATTTTTACAGGCTAACAATAGTTTCATACTCGTCCTCTCCCTACTATATTGTGTGTTCTCACATAGGAACATCATTGACTAATTATTCGAATATATTTCATTGCTAGAGCAGACACTCGGACGAAAGATGACATCAACGCCAAAAACTAAAACAACAGTGACTACATCAATAACAACGTTGGTGAGAACCTATACACACCTTGCTATTTTCGAAACTAGTGGATATTGAGCTTGAATTGGTCTGGAAGATTACAATCTATTAATTTCTGATTGTTATGTAATGTGGGTTTGTTGATCTGATGAATACAAGTCTACAACTGATAATAAATTAACCAACTAGCATCTAACCACTACTGATGTCAAAGTAGTACTACCGCTTATTTTATATGACCCAATTTGATAGTTGTGTGCAATCTTTTTTTTTTTTTTTTTGGCAGGAGTCCTTTTGTTGTACACACCAACAAACAACACCCAAACCTCCACCACATTGCCAAGGATGTAGCTCCCATGTGGAAGACATTATATAAGAAGAATGAGGCAGTGAGAGTGAAGAAGAGAATCAAGTATATATTAGAACAGGCAAACAAGATGGCAAAAAAGATAATTAGTAATGAAATCATCCATGGGAGAAACGTCACACCAAAAACCATCAACTTTTTCTAAATGTTTGAGATGACCCTATGATAATGTTGTTGAAGCAATTGTGGAGTATTGATTGTTTTGAAAACACATACTTTATTGCTGAGAGTAGAAGTGATATAATCTCCCAAAATTTGTTTCATCTTGTAAGTTAGTTGGTGTCAATTACAATTGCATTGATAGTGCATATCTATTGAGTTTGTATTATTATTTTCTTAGCACTAAGAAATAATGAGAAAAGCTTGAAAAATCCAGGCATCATCTTATGACTACTGTTGAAAGGCAACCATCACTACATCCACATCCAGATGAGTGAAGTCTGTAGTAAAACATGGTGCGGATATCCACCATTACGGATGTATTTGTATCAACTATTAAGACTACATATGGAAGATGACAACAAAAAATTAACTATACAATATACATAGGGTCTTTCCAATGGTTAAATTCAATACTACAACTCAAATTTATAATTGTCATTGGTAGAAAGCTCTAGAGGCGAGACAACACCAATGAAATAGAATAACATGGATAATATGAAGCATATGAAAATAAGTGTTTAAGTTCACACCAAAAACACAACATTAGCATTGCACTTTCTCCTAAGTATCCCGTTAAAAAAATATCATGACCCTCGTGTTCAAGCCACAACATCCTCAGTCTCCTCTTCAACCCAACATCCACAAGCTCTTATTTATCAAAAACATTCTCAACCTCCGCTTCACTCGATGAAGAAGACTATTATTCTCTTGGGGAAACATGGTGACATGAGAAAGTAGAGAGCAACTTAATCTAGCCATTCCTGTACGTATTGTAAATAAACAAAGAATAGATTCAAACACAAACACTAAAATGACTAATCCTCCCCGACGACCAAACCATATTATAAACTTACATCAACACTATAACTACAATTGCTTCTAGTCCAAGACTAAAAGTAACATAATGTTGTCAATGGCTCAATGCCCTCGAATAACAAACACAACTACAACTATTGTAACACCAACACTACCAAATCACAAACAATAAAAATAGAACTACAATGTCATGCAAGCCACAACTACAACTCAGCAACACAAAACCCATAATCACCCCGCCACCATCATTACTAAGCCCGGGTGTTTGAAAGTTATTAGAGTCCAGTACATACTTTGGAGATTCATGCCTTATAAAGTTTAAATAAGATAGTGATTCTGCTCAAGAAGACAATGTGTGTACTAGCGGGCAGGATATTGTTGACATAATGGAAGTGTCCTCGGATATTGCTTCATTCGAGCAAGCAGATTCCATGTTACATGGTGAGGCATGGACCATAACCCTTTACACGAATTAGGTCCTTGGGTTTGCTTTTTTCTAAAGAAAAAGGATTATGGTATGCAAAACCAATGTACAAAATTCTATATTGAAGCTAAAAGAATGTACTAAATGTATATAAATTTGTACAAAAAATATGTAATGTACATAAAGTAAATTCAATGCAAAAAAATTTTAACTTGTACACACAATATAATTATAAACTCATTGCACTAAATGTGTCACTTTGATAGAAAAATATGCACATATAATCTAAACATTAATCTCAAGAGCCTATTTCATTAATGATTCATGTGCTTTGATCGCTATAAAGTTTGCACTTAACCATTTTCTAATAATTTCATGTGCTCCTCATTATTGTTATTGTGTTTTGCAACCAAAAAAAAACTCAATTGTTGGCATGAATACAATGAAGATGATAGATAGGAGGCCAAAGTGTTATTCATCGCCCTTGTTATGACCATTATTGTACTTCTCCCACGCCCACACCCTTTCTCGCATGTTAACCATATGAGTTTCAAGTAGATGACATTGGTATCGCATCTCGAAATCAATATGACATTGTTTTGCCCCTTGTCAAAGACTGTTGTTGTGCATATTGGAAAATAGGGAGGATTTGACAATGCAAGAAACGAAAGCGCACACACACGACACACGATTTACGTGGTTCACAAACTCAATGTGTGTTAGCTAGTCCACGAGTAGGAGATAGCCAGTTTCACTATACTTCAAGGAGATACAAATTATAGAGGAGTATGAGAAGTATTTATAGTACTTCTCTTAGGTCTAACCCTAATCCAATCTGGTAAAGGAAAAGTAGTTAATACTAGGCACAGAATCTCAACCCAAATAACGTTGAGCTCATACACCACGGGTCGGGGCGTTGGCCTCGCACCCCCATCGAGGCATTGCCCCTAGATCCCACTCGCTGACTACCTGTTTATTGAAAGACTTATGATGGTCAACTACTCAAAGGTGTTTTTTGACCTCTTTCATTGAACAAAACTTTTCCTTTGTCTCTGTCTCATATAGTAATACTGCATCACAAATTATAGAACTGAATAGTATTACTTTCAAGTCCAAATTATGCTTCACTAATTATATGATTCACGAGAAGGGAAATGTTAGTTAAGATATGAACAAAGGTCTTAGTAATACATTTCATTACCATTTGACAAGTCTTTACGCGTCAAATCCCATACAAATTTATAGCATAAAAGGAAACTCTCGTGTTTTATCAACTAGCTCTTGAATTCAATAAACTGGTTAGTTAATCAGTTTTGCTTGTTTCAAATTAAACTTCACTAAAATAGAATCTCTTACATGTCATCATTAAGCTAGTAGAGTCTTGCAAATGGATTTGCCTATGTCACCAACTGAAAAGTTCTTTGTGCCAGAAGGCTACAATTGAAAAAGAGACGCTCATGTGTTATTAATAGGTTTTTGGATTCGTTAAGTTAGTTAATTCATGTTGCTTTGCTATTTCCCCGCCATAAAGTTGATCTTTTCGCACCAAATTCAAAACAAAGAAATGGTATCTTTCAACAAATGGGTCCTTTATTTAAACCATCCAATAAAAGATTTCAATATAAACACGCATAAAGTTGAACTTTTTACAGAGCTCAATTAAGCGTGAGAAATGCACGGTCCAATCTGTTACAAAATTGAGTCGAATAAAATAAGATAACACCTAAACGTCCCATTTTTTGAGGGTTACGGGTATCCAAATACCCGTAATTTTTTATATGGGATGGGACTTGGGATCAAAAAATTCTACAACGGGTACCCATGGGTTACCCGTTAATACCCGTTTGGGTATTACGGGTACCCATAATACCCGCCATCTCTCCAAAATAGTAATGAAAGATAAGGTTAATAAGCTTATTAAACTTATAGCTTAACACTTAGTACGTAGCCATCATGAAAAGTGGGCAGGTAGTACGGGTAGTTTGGGTATTACGGATTCCATAACTTCATTTGGCGAGTAGTTATAAACCTTTTTCTTCAAAAATGACTCAAGTATGTACGTATGTATTACAAGGAAGTGAAATGATAAGACGCTTAATGAATGATTCAACTTTCTTCTGGATAGGTAATTAAGCAGCAGCAGCAGGCATGTATGTTTTGTGATTTGTTTTAGGTTATGGGTAATTAAAATAGTTGCAAATCTCAACATATGACTCCCAAACAAATTTTACGAGGTAGGATATTACTATGGATGAGGTGATTTAGTAAGCAGTTGAGTAGAACTAGAATCTCACTGCTCTGTCATCTATGGCCACAGGCCACTTAGCCTAATTATTGTAGCTTAATTATTATTAAGCAGTTGAGTAGAACTAGAATCTCACTGCTCTGTCATCTATGGCCACAGGCCACTTAGCCTAATTATTGTAGCTTAATTATTATGGGTACCCGCGGGTACCCGTTATCCGTCCCGTACGGGTAATGGGTACCCGTTATCCATACGGGTTTGGGACATGGGATGGAGTTTTCTCTCCAAATGGGATTGGGTACCCGTTTCAAACGGGACGGGTACCCGTTCCCGTCCCGTTGCCCACCACTATATTGGGTTTTGGAGAAAAATTTAGGCGAGACCACCTGAGACTGAGGTGTCACCACCTGAGACTCAGGTGAATAGGTGGGAAGAAAGTCCCAGGTGTTGGCACCTGAGACTGAGGTGGTACCACCTAAGACTGAGGTGGCACCGCGAAGAAGAATCCTAATTCTAACCCTGAACCCTAAACCCTAAACCTTAAACCCTAAACCAGCGAATTTCGTATCAGTTATTCACACCACAAACCAGCGAATTTCGTATCATTTATTTTTTTTAATTATATTATTCAAATGCTATTATGATTGTGTTTAGTTTAATTAGTGAGTTTTTCTGTAGTGATTTTAGAAGAGTTGAACTAGTCGTTCGGTGGAAATCAGAGAAAGTAGAGGATAATTTGGGCGTCAAATTCGTTGGTGGTGGTAGTTTTCAGTTGACAGTTTTTCAAATGTAATAGTTGTGGTTTGAAGTAGTATTTGTTTTTCAAATAGTTGTTATGGTTCAAGAAGGTTGTTGTAGTTGTTGTTTTTCAAATGTAGTAGTTGTTGTTCTTGGCCAAATTATAAAATGTCCGAGTTGTTGTTTGTTATTCCGAATAGTTATCGCTAATAACATCATACATGAATGTAAGAATAGTTCAAGAAATAGTCCACATAACACATAAATAGTCCACATACATATCCCAAATAATAATAACATCACAAAAATACAAAAAAACTCTAACGACGACCACCACGATGACCACCATGTTGATCCGTGTCGAGGATGATCAACCCCAACATGATGATGGTAGGCCTACACGGATCAGGGTGCCAGTGAGGTGTGGTACCGACGGCCATCTAGTGGATCAGCATGGTGGTCGTCGTGGTGGTGATCGTTAGAGTTTTTGTTTTGTATTTTTGTTATGTTATTATTATTTGGGATATGTATGTGGACTATTTATGTGTTATGTGGACTATTTATATGGACTATTCCTTAACTATTTTTACATTCATGTATGATGTTATTAGCGATAACTATTCGGAACAACAAATAACAAACAACAACTCGGACATTTTATAATTTGGCCAAGAACAACAACTACTACATTTGAAAAACAACAACTACAACAACCTTCTTAAACCATAACAACTATTTGAAAAACAACAACTACTTCAAACCACAACTATTACATTTGAAAAACCGTCAACTGAAAACTACCACCACCAACGAATTTGACGCCCAAATTATCCTCTACTTTCTCCGATTTCCACCGAACGACTAGTTCAAATCTTCTAAAATCACTATAGAAAAACTCACTAATTAAACTAAACACAATCATAATAGCATTTGAATAATATAATTAAAAAAATAAATGATACGAAATTCGCTGGTTTGTGGTGTGAATAACTTATACGAAATTCGCTGGTTTAGGGTTCAGGGTTAGAATTAGGATTGTTTTTCGCGGTGCCACCTCAGTCTTAGGTGGTACCATCTCAGTCTCAGGTGGTGCCAACACCTGGGACTTTCTTCCCACCTATGAATCTCAGGTGGTCTCGCCTAACTTTTTCTTCAAAACACAATATACTTGTCAATACTTTTTAATTCGCCATATTAGTGGTAAATTTAAAAAAAAAACACAATATTTGTGTTATTCCACCCCTCCAACCAGCCTCTTATTATTTTGCATGGTAGATTTTATTTTATTTTTTATTGATGGTAGATTTTAATGGGAACCACCAGAAAAGCAATATTTTTTTCATGGTAAAAAAACATGAAATTTCTCAAATTGTTGCGTCAGCGTTATAAATTAGAGAGAGAAGATGTGAAGCCCCCACCCCGTCCGCCAATACCATCCCGTTCCCATCTAATCAAACGTCCATCACTTCGCCATTTCCTGCTTCTGCTCATCGCCCCCTGCCTCCAAAACCAAAAGCGACGAAAAGCTTTTTTTTTCCCTCCCACCGCCTTTGCGCAGTTTCTAACCGTCGCCTTTCCCTTTCACTTCCTCTTCCGTTCCGGTTGCTCCGACGAGCGGAGCGACGTCCTTTTCTTCTTCTCACTCGGTTCGTCGGCTACTTCCTCAAAGTTGCCGGCGGCGATTTCTTCAACGCAGCGAGACAGCAGATCACGCAAAGTTGCCGGCGGCGATTTCTTCAGCGCAGCGAGACAGCAGATCACGCGATCAGTCCCTGAATCCCGCTCTCTTTCCGTTTCCGCAGCCAGTTTCTCGTCGAGGTAAGCAACTCATCTCTCTCTCTCTCTCTCTCTCTCTCTCTCTCTCTCTTTCTTTCTGTGCTTCAGAGCAGTATATGTTGCAGTTCTTGAATCACGCACTCTTCGTCTTTTCCAATGCCTTCCAAGATTTTGAGTCGTTCAGCTTGTTTGAAGAAGTTCGTAATCGCTGGTGATGAAAGTCTTATGTTTATCCTTCCGATTCATATACGGTAGCGATTTTGTGAATGTGCACTGAATCTTGTTTGTTTCAACGCTGAGTCTGTTTTCGTTGCAGCATTTTGTCGAGCAGGTGGGGGGGGTCTCTGTGGAACGAAAACAAAATGGTCAAGTTTCTCGAAATCGATGGCAAACCCTTCGATGTTGGCAGCCAGAATAGTTTCAAGAAACGTGTGGCCGAAACTCTGAAACGCCGATCCGACTCTGATGGTCTTGATATCAGCTTCGAGTTCTCTGCATATACTGATCGTGCAATCTTTGACGACCTCTTGGAATGCGCCGCTGCATATAAGCTTCAGCATTTGTGGGTTCGCGGTTTCACTGAACATACGTTATATTTTGGTGAACCGGGCCTTGTTTTCAAGTCCATCATCACCCATTGTGGTCCGTCGCTGGAAAATCTGGAGTTGGAAGACTTCAAGTTTGATGGAGCGTTGGTGTTTGGGAACTCCTGCTCTGGTTTCAAAGCGCTCACAGCTCTGTCTCTGTCCAATTGCTTCTTGGATTTCACAGATTATACGCTACTTAACCCTTTTACTTATTTCCCTGCGCTGAAGCAGTTGAGGCTGAGTGATTTCGGCCGCGATGAGAGTAATTGTGAAGATACTGAAACGCCCAGGTGTTTGGAAATAAAAGGAGACCAATTGCTTACTCTGGAACTAAACAGACTCTCTGGTTTCGATGAGATCGAAGTATCAGCTGCGAGCCTCAATCTTTTTACTTATAGGGGCGATCTCCTGGCTACAGAACTCTCCTTGAACCTTACATCCTTGGAGACTGCAGATATCGTGTTAAAAAGTTTGGATGAGGATGATGATGCGGAGAAAAAACTGAAGAACTTGTTCAATGGCCTGTCTCATGCGAAATCTCTCGACTTGGCCGTCGATGCCACCAAGGTAAGTTCCCTGGTTATCACATCTAAGTTGCTGATCTATGGTTTGTTTGTCACTGTACTTGTTTATGGAAAAGCCTATTTCGTTGGTCTTTAGTCTTGACTCATTACCTGGGTTGAAGAATCGCTTATTTTGTTCATGTTGTGTTGGTTTATGCTCTGGGTTTAGCCATTGTGGGACGCTTGTAAGCTGGTGCAAGATCAACGTTCGCCATTTAGAAGATTGGAATCCTTGGCTTTGCGTCTTATGATAGAGGAGAACATAACCGTGATACCTCAGTACGTGAAGGGCTACTTTTTCGGCGACTCCCCTCCCAAACCTAAAAATGTATGGACAGAAGTCAAGGTGAGTACATGAAAGTTGAAACCATGCTCTTCTACTTGAACTCGATATTAAGTGTTGCTTTTACATGTGTGGGATAATGACACTAGTAGATTGTGATTTGTAATGACTACAACTGTGATCTTCCGTGACAATGTTCCTTGATGTTGAACTAATTGAACTCGATTGATTTTCTTCACGCAGATGAAGAAGCCATGAATCCCTCGCCATCCTTACGACCTGGACATTTTGCAAACTGGAAGTTCGATTGCTCCTGAGTTCTGAGAAAACAGAGGATGAAAGAAATTGTTTCCTGTACCTTGTAAACTAGGGGATATGTTGTTAATGCTATACTTGGTTGCTGTAACTCATCGAAGTAGAGTCTGATTGTGTACTTTTTGTTTTGTGATAGTCTTACATTCTTGGCAGTGGACTACAGGGGGAAAATGAGTGACTACAGCTTTGAACCTTGGTGCCTCTCCTTTTCTTTAGTTTTGAAAGTGGATTATAGCGGGAAATGAATAAACTTTTCGTGGGTCATTATCAATTTTTTTTTTTCTTTCAGTTTGTTTTAGTTAGATTGTTAGAATGTGTGATAATTTTGTTGAGTTAGTTATTTTAATTTGGAGTGAAATCGAAAAATGGATATAGAGGTTGTAGTTTTATCGATGAATGTATTGATAAATATCTTTGCGGTGGAAATACGTAATAAATTTTTGAGTAATTAATAATTCAAATTTGGTGACCAATTTATGAATATATGGGTTATGGTGAAATACAATTGGGTTGGTTGTGTGGAATCGGTAACATGCAAGATTGTTTTTCTATTTTTGAAATCTAGTTTGAAATTAGTATAAAATGAATGTCAATAAATGGTTTTAATTTTTAATAATTTGAAATTTATATGCGCAAATTGAAATATGTTTTGGGAATTGTTACTTGTACAATTTTTTTTTTTTTTTTGACAAAAGATAATCATATAGATTGATAGCAAAAATCGATAGTTACACCCTGGAACCAAGCCAGGCCAGAAAATCAAAATGCCGACTCATAGTCGGGTACAAAGAAAGGGCCTTTCTAGCCACTAAATGGGCCACCCTATTGTTTCCCCGCCCTACAAATCGAATACCTAACCCAGGATGAGCGTGAAAATAGAATCTAATCTCCTCGAGCACCGCCCCCACCCGGTTATCTCTCGTATCAGCCTTGTTGATCTTATCAATGAGCACTTTAGCATCCCCTTCCAATCTGACCTCCGAGAAACCCATCCCTAAACACCAAACAATTGCTTCTCTGAGTACAAGCAATTCCACAACCATGGGGTCATCCAATGACTGAAACTGAACACCTTTCGCCATAAGGATCGCCCTCTCCGGATTCATAATTACTATCCCTACAGCCGAATGCGACCCTCGTCTCGTGGCCCCATCCCACATACAAATTACCCTGCTGTCATCGGGCGAGCTACCAAGGACAGGCTCTGGCACCGTCCGCACCGGAACAGCATTTGAGGATAGCCCAATCCACTCCTCATACTGTTGATGAAGCTGACGCATCAAAGCCGGGATCCCGAATTGTTTACCCTCAAATACCACCCAATTTCTAGACCGCCAGATTCTCCACAGGACGGCCACCACCAGCATGAATAACTCAGGGTTATCAATCAATTTCAACAATCTCTTCAGAAAGAGCGGGAACGTATGCCTAGGCAACCCCTCCCCGAGATATTCCAGACCCGAAAAGTCCCAGAGAGCACGGGCAACAGGGCACTCCATGAAAACATGCTCCAACGTCTCCCTGCCCTCCCAGCAAACCGGGCAACGAGGGTGCACCGAAACTTTCCTCTCAATGAGAGCCTCGGTCGTTGGAAGAGCACGATTGAGGATCTACCAAACAAAGACTTTTAACTTGGGAGGAATATTCGCGTTCCACAAGCGAACCCAGCTAGCCTTATCCATCCAACCCACCATAGATTTCCAACCACCCTTCCTCCTATCCAAGGATACAGCCAGATGATAAGCAGACTTAACGGAAAAAACTCCATCCACAGTGTCATGCCAGATCTGCCTGTCCTGCACATCCCGCCGAGGCAAGGGAATTGATTTAATGGCCTCCACAGTTGGCGGATCAAACCACTGGTGAAGTTTCAACTCACACCAGGCTCCTTCTCCTGGACAAATGACCTCCTTTACCATCAAATCCCCACCCTCCGGGAGCACCTGGGGATTGTACCTAGGGGGATCAAGTTGGAACCGAGGTATCCAGTTAGATTCAAGAAGGGGAGCAGAATGCCCATTACCTATCTGCCACCGCAAACCCATTTCTAGCAACTGCCTCCCAAAGAGAATGCTTTGCCACCCCCAAGAAGGGCGAGACCGAGCCGTTGCTTGAAGGAAAGTCCCCATAGGAAAATATTTTCCTTTGTAGACCTAGGCTAGGAGGGATTGGGGCTCCATCAATATCCGCCACCCAATTTTGGCCAAAAGAGCCTGGTTGAACTGCTCAAATTTTCTAAACCCCATCCCACCATCATGCTTACTCCTACACATGTTTCGCCAAGAAACCCATCGGATTTTCGAATGATTCTCCTCCACCCCCCCCCCCCACCAGAAGCGGGCCACATGTTTATCCAATAGACGACACAGGGTGAGAGGTAACTTGAAGCACGACATAACATGCAATGGAAGCGCCAAAGCAATCGATTTAATCAATGTTTCTTTCGCCGCCCACGACAAAGTCCTTTGCTTCCACCCCTGCAATCGCTCCAAAAGTTTCTCCTCCAAATACCGGAAAGTAGCCAATTTAGATCTAGCAATTAGCGTAGGCAAACCCAAATACTTATCATGGACCCCAACTGCTCCCACCCCCAAAATCGTAGCCAAAAACTCCTGATCAGGCAGTGTAATATTCTTAAAATTGAATGCATTGTTCATAAAATTTATTCTTGATAATTAGAAATCTTTCGTCGTTTAAGTCCTAATGTTTTCACCGGAAATATTATTTTATTCCCAAAGATCGTTAAACTTCTTATTGAAATTGACGATAAAAGAAATCTAGGGATACTTGTCATTAAGTTACCTTATATTTGGTTTCGAATAAGTAAAACTTAAAAATAGGAATGGATATGTAATTATGAACTTAACAATTAACATGTTAGCAAATTGAAAAATATGGATATATTATAAATCACAAACGTGGTAAATGAAAAATAAAAGCTTAGGACTTTGATCAATGGGCACTATAGAGAGGTGCTAACATGCAAAAAAGCGGGTGGAGGATACGAAATAATATCTTTTTCTAATGTATTAAGTAGGGGTGGCAGTTCGATTTTCGGCTAGCGATTAGCCGGACGGTTTAACTAATAACCGCCGATTAACAGCTAACCGAAAACCGACGGTTAATTGATGCGGTCGGTGATGGTGAGTATAGTCTCGATTGACCGAGTAACCGAAACTCGGTTAATCGGTTAGCCGAACTAACCGATCGATATCCATACGACGCCGTTTCAATAATAGAAAAGTAAAAATAAAAAAAAAATCCCAAACCCTACCTCTTTGCCGACCTTGCACCCTCACCACTCACCCTCCACTCCCGCCGCCCTTTACCCTCCTAACTCTTCTTCTCACCCTTCACCACCAGTGTCGTTCGCCGTCCACCATCGCCTCGTCGTCTCCTCCACCGCGACCCACTCCCAGCTGTCCACCATCGCCTCGCCGCTCCTCCACCGCGACCCACTCCCAGTAGACCTCCCAAATCCAGCAACCACCATCGCCTCGCCGTCTCCTCCACGCTCTCCCCTGCCGACCCACGCCGACCTCCCAAATCCAGCTCTCTGAGGGAACCTCCCGCATAGCTCACTGCGACTCAGCTCTCTGAATTCGCAAACTCTTTTCTGGTTTGACCTAGCTCGCGTTTTGGGAGAACTCTTATTTGGCTGGAAGGTGATTCGAAATGTTCTTCATTTTGTGGCAAAGAATGGGATTCGGCGGTTGAATTTTTGAAATCGGAATGCTGCATTCTTGAATCTTCAGAATCTAGCTGTCCATTTTGGGTTGGGAATCGAGTTTGCAAAATAGATGATCTCGATCAGGAGATAGGGTTTAGAGTTTAAACCATGAAGGGTAACAGAAGGAGACGAGGTGTGAAAGGAATCGACAGACTGAGTGACCTGCCAGACGGAATTTTATATCACATTCTCTAGTTCCTGGACAGCAAATCTCTCGTCGGAAGCAGCATTTTGTCCCGGAGGTGGAGATGCGTCTGGAAAGAAGTTCCTGTTCTCAATTTCAATGGACGCTCGTTGTGGACGAAGCGGGAACGACAGGGTTTTGTGCGACATGTCGACCAAGTTCTATCCCACCGCTCCGACTGTAATGTTTGCAAGATTGGCATATTGTCTGATACAGATATGGGTATGCCTGAGAGGATGTTCTCCGATACAGATATGGGTATGCTTGATAGGGTGATAAAATATGCAGCCTCTCATGGTATACAACAGTTATCCCTTGATGCTGCCTTGCTACCCGGAGATTTCGACTTGATCTCTACTTGTTATCAATCGTTGAAAGTTTTGGAATTACAGCAATCACAGTTGGACAGCACTGCATTTGGGTTGTTGTCCTGTTTGAAAATGCTCGATACGCTGACTATAAGCATCAGTTTCTTTGACCTTTCTGGTGTGGAAGGGCCGCATGACCCTTTCGCTGCTTTTTCCAAATTGGAAAACCTGAACTATTTGATTGCTATTCTAGTAGGGACGAGAAGGGGATCTGTGTGTTGACTCAGGCTTATGACTTGATGAAACATCAACCTTCTCCTTTTAAGCGACTGAAGTCCTTGAGTTTGCTGTGTTCCAAGGGATCTCCTTTCGTACCTTACAAAGTGATCCGTTACTTACTTGAAGGCTCCCCTGATGTAGAAGATCAATCTATTATGGTTGAACAGGTATGTGGATAATCCTAAACTCTATTCCATCTGTGTTTTGACATACGCTGAGTTCGTAATGTTACACACTAGTTAGGTGTGATTGATAACACCATGAATGACACATGGAAAATGCACAGAGTAATAAGCTGACTTCAGACTTAAATTTCATTATTTTCCCCATCATTTCATTCAAATCTGTGAGCAGGCAGCACCCGTGTATATGCGTGGAAATATTGTTGGTGTCAATCTCTAATATTGCACGGCACAGTAAGCTGTTGTGTTGTGTTAATTGCAGAGGCCAATTCCTAGACATCGATCATGATCGCCAGTGCCAAATCTGCCATGATGCGAGTTTCTGCCTTTCCAGCCTCGTGTTGCAGCTACAATATCTTTATCATATCCATGCCTACGTTTTTTTCAGGTGACAATGACATACTCTATCTGAATGCAGCTCCTGAAATAAGGTTGAGCAGATATAAGAAGTTTATTTCTTGACTTAATTCACTTCACACTTGATGTACGATACGCGGCTTAACCCGCCTTTGTTGAGTCATTTATGGTATCAGCATACGATGGATAATAGTTTCTTGTTATTGTATTAATGCAGAGGCCTTTTCCAAAGTATCGATGTTGCTCGCTTATTCGTCAATTCAAGATCTGAATCTTACTGATCTCTGCACTTATAAGGAAAGGAGTGGATCATAGCTTTATCTCCAGGCCTTTTGATACAAACCCTATTGTAGTTTGTTGCTAATGGGATAGACTAAATATGTAATATGTGTGTAATTGTTCTAATGTTCTTGTACCTCGTCAAACTAGTCGCGTAGCCTGTCACAGCTGTATCCTCTTGTACTCCAGCTTCAGCTTGTGCCTTTTTGCGGGAGTGGCACACGTTTGGTTCTTCTCAAAGGCCAAGGTGTCTGTAATTTGTTGTGAGTACTGGCCTTATAGACCAATCTATTGCCTTTATCGGGTTGCTAATGTTGATAAGAGTTTTTAGGTTTATATTGTACTAGGCAGAGAATAGGGATGGCAATCAAACCAATGCGCACGGGTATCCGACGATCCTCGACCCGGTCAATGCGGGGTATGGGGTGGGTATGGGTAAAACTCGCAAAAAGTTTGATGGGTATGGGGCGGGTATGGTTTTAGCCTCCCCCGCTCCATACCCATACCCGCCCCACCAAAAATATTTCTTCACATATGAAAAATATGTAAATCGATTTGTAACCTATCAATAATAGTGAGTATAACTCAATAAAAATATATAGTAGAAATGCAATTAAGTGACCACCCAAATCAAAATCTAATTTATTTGTCTCAATTTTCCCTTCACTCTTTTACTTTTCCCCCTTGTCAACAAGATTATGTTAGTTAATTATTACTTAATAGATGTATCACAATAGAGAATAATGATTTGAATGACATTGTACTCTACTCTGATATGGACTTAGGATAAGATGCTTTGAATCGTATTAAAAATGATTGTCTCTTTGTAAACTTCATGATATAGTAGGTGCGTTAATGTTATAATTGAAAGTCTACATGTAAAATATTCCGTATTATAATGTTGGATGTACGGGGCGGGTATTACCCATGGGTACCCGAAACCCATGGGTATGGGGATGGGTTTTCCAAAACCTTCCCCCGCATGGATATGGGGCGGGTATGGGTATAGATATTTGAAAGCGGGGTATGGGGATGGTTTAGGCAAACCCGCCCCATTGCCATCCCTAGCAGAGAGCGCGCGTTTCTGCGAGTTGGTCAACTATTGGGTTGTTGTGGTTGCTCATTCATATGTAATTCTCATGGTGGTGTATTTACAATGGTAATTTTGTTTTGTTTTTTGTGAGGATGATAATTACTTAGTGATGATTCTTTATTTTATATGTATAAACATAGATGAAAATTTAATGTTAAATTGTAGAAAATTCTAACTCGATTGGGGATGAAATGTTTAGAGAGAAGCAAAGGGAGTAAAAAGTGGAACTCACCTTAAAATTCATAGTTTCACGCACAATCCACAATCGCAAACAATTGGCTAGTCCATATCAGACCAACTAAGTTCAAGAATCGATCAAATATTTTAACGATATCACGATTTTACTTATCTCTTTAAGTTCTAATTGAATATGTGCCTCCTGTAATATTTTTTTTAGTTGTTCAATTTATTTGAGAAAAAACATTGAACCAATGGGCACTGAATTCCGAGTGAATTTTTGTGATTCAACACGCAATTCCAAACAACCGGCTAGATCATAGTCCGACAAATTTAAGAACCGATTCATTATTGTAATTGATTCACAATTTTACGGATCTCACTAAATTCTAATAAGAAAGTCCTATCTTGTTTAATTCTAATTATAAATTTTGATGTCTCTTTTTTTTTGTAGTACCTTGTTTTTTTTCAAATATTATTTTTTATGAGTGGAAACAAAACAAACAAAGGTCCAGAAAAAAATAGTGGATAGTCGAGATATAATCTGGCCCCCCACTCCCTTAATTAGTTAGGTATAACAAAATAAGTATAGTAAAAATGTACGCGACTGACTGAGCCCTACATCCTCAAACATGAAGAAAAATGACATTAACTTTGTCATTAACTTTGTCCCTCCTCAAGTTTAATTTGGTGAGTAAAATGACATTAGCTTTATCTAAAAACTCTTGTGGCTTAGCCAAGAAACAATAAAAGTGGTATAGATTAGAGAAACCTTAGGCTTTGGTCAGTAAAATGACATTAGCTTTATCTGAAAACTCTTGTGGCTTAGCCAAGAAACAAAAGGAGTGGTATAGATTAGAGAATCCTTAGGCAACAGTAACCCTTATTCAACTTTATATATATTAATTAACTTTGACGAGTAAGCGGAATGATATTTAGTGATGCAATCATGGTTCAATTGAGATTATATATTGTCAAAATGGAATTAAAATAAAATATTCAAGCATTGTCATCACACAAAATCAAAATAAAATCAAGCATCCTACAAATATAATAGATTTTCAATTTTATCATATGAAAATAATGAAACCAACTAGCTTTGATTTTCTCTATAGTAGTAGCATATTGATTGAAGGATCCAGGTAAGGAACAGAAGAAGGCCATCGTTGAATTCGCTTCCGCTGAGGTCCACTGATTAGGTCGTTCTCAGTTCCCAGCCTGCACCTGCTGGCGGCAAAGTGCCCAAACAGGAAACTGAGGTCGCGCTGACATAGTTGATTCCCAGTCGAAGGTGATCAAGCTTGCTCTGAATCGACTCACTCTTCCGTGCACTCTCCACCAAGCTCCCTGCGACGCACCGTCCACTCTGCCAACTCGTCTCCTCTCCGAAAGGTAATAACCGAACCCTTTTCACGTTTGTTGCAAGATTGCGATTTCGAAGTTGGGATTTGAACTCTGAAGCCCGCGTTCTGATGGTTTGGGGAGGATCGGGCTGCAGATAAATCTTTAGGGTTTTGATTTTTCTGGAATCAGGACATATTATGACTCAGGCTTTGTCATCCCAGAAGCAGGGAACTGAGGAACTAACTAGTGGTGGAACCATGGAAGGAGTTGACAGATTGAGCGTTCTTCCGGACGGTATTCTTCATCACATTCTCTCGTCGCTGGACACCAAATCTGTTGTCCAGACCAGTGTGTTGTCAAGCTGGTGGAGATCGGTTTGGAAGCAAGTTTGCGTGCTTAATTTCCGTAGAAGCTCGTTTAGTACCGACCTGGGATTCGTGCGGCATGTGAACCAAGTTCTATCCTCCCGCTCCACCTGTGATGTTTTCAAGATTAGCACCGACTTTCGGATCATAACGAATATGGGTGTGTTCGGTAGGATCATGTAATATGCTGCCTCTCATTGTATTCAGGAGTTATCCTTGCTTCGTATCATAGAAAACGAGTGGTACAGCGTGTTCTCCGATGCTGTCGCCTTGATCAGCGGTTGTTATCAATCTCTGAAAATATTGGAATTGCAGCAAGCATGTTTGGACAAGACTGCATTTGAAATGTTGTGTCGTCTGATACTCCTCGAGACTCTGACGTTGCATTCCTCCAACTTTGAGTTTGGTGGTATGGATGAACCGCATGATCCTTTTTCTAGTTTCCCCAAATTGGAAAACTTGCAAGTACTCCACTGCGGTTCAGGCCACATTTCAGCCAACGACGATCCGAAAGGTTTAATGATATCTGGACCTCGACTGCTGTACTTGGAGATACATCAGTCAGCATTTGACTATGTCGAAATATTTGCTCCTAAGCTCAAAGCCTTTACTTATTGGTCTGATGTTCTTCCTCATTTGCTACCGACAGAAGGGTCCAACTGGAACCTTCCTTCTCTCAATCATGCAACTATCAACCTGTGGAGAACCAACGATGCGGTTTTGTATGGGTTGAAATACGGGGTTTTCAATGAAGAGCAGATACAACTGCTACTAAAACAGTTTGTCGGCTTGTTCGATAGTTTGCATAATGTAGAATCTCTCAGCTTGCATTTGGATACCCTTGAGGTATGTTCCCTGTTAATGCAAATAGTATGTGATTAGCATAGTCCTACCTCAAATTACTGTCATTTCATAGAGAAATGCATGCATTGTCGACAGTACCTTATTTCAGTCATCGATAGTGTAGATAGATATTTTCAATAGAAGACTGAAAGTCTTTTTTTTACCACCACAGTTATGTTGCCTGTAAATGTTAACAAGGCTTGGTTCCACACAGTTTTTTATTCAGGCTTGTGACTTGGCGAAGCATCAACCTTCGCCCTTTAAGAGATTGAAGTCGTTGAGATTGATATATGCTAAAGGATCGTTCTGTGTACCTTACCAAGTGATGCGTTTCTTTCTTGACGGCTCTCCTAACTTGGATGATAAGTATGTCATGATTGAGAAGGTATGTTAGCTAAACACTTCCCCATCTTTGCTTTTGAAATGAGTTGGACTCATCAATCATGTAGCTAGTTGTGGGATGATGGCACCATAAACCACACAATGAAGTTCAGCAGAAGAAGGCGCCGACTTGTTTAAGTTCAAACTCAAGTTCTCTGTTTTGCCATGTTATTAATGGTATCAACCTGTGAAGTTGCATTGGCTGATAAGCTGTGTTGATGCAGAGGCCACGGGCTACAAAACATGAGTTAGTGGCCGGTTCATCAGTCCCAGTGCTTGAACTTGAATCACTCGAGATTTCCTGAATCTACAACGAGAGCATTGAATCGGAATTCAGAAGAGGTTCATACAAATGTCCAGAATCCTTTTCATATTGCTGCTGCCTAAACATTTTTGTTTTTCGGCTTCCTAAAGTTTGTGTTGTCTACTACTGCTGAACTATGTCTTTTTTTTATTAGCTCATCCAACTAGGTGAGTAGGTTTTTTGTTGTCATGGACTCGTGTCTTCTTAGAGTTTTGTTTTTTAAGTAGGTTTGGAGAAAGAAAAATCGACGGAGGGAGATGAGGATCAATTTGTCTCTACATAATTGGGGTCCAAATCTTACATGTCTATTAAATAAGTACACTAGATAATTGGTCCGCGTTTTGCGTTGTGTAGTAGTGAGCATCTAATTGAGAGGGAACCCCTCTCTATAGGGATGAAGTCTCCAAAATTAATATGGTTGTTTTTCATTTTGTATGGTTTTTATTGTTTGTGTCTTTGTCTAGTTTTTATGTTTATGTATTTCGTATGTTTGTATTGTAAATTTGATTGTATGATTTGTAAGTCTGTTTTGTGTACTTTGTAACTTTTCATAATACCCGAATTACCCCTGTCGCTAATTAAAAGTTCATTTCCATTTTCTAACCATCAGATTGATGTGTCCGAATTTAACTGTAAGGAGGACTTAGTTAAATAACTAAGCACTCTCTTAATCATAGGATCTGTTCTATGAGTTTATTAGTAGCCTCTTAGTAAAACGAGCTTGCAAGCTAAGTTTTGTTTCTTGTAATTTTAGTCAACGGATATGCATACTTAGTAAACTTGTAGAGGGTGTTTGATAATCTATCTACCATGAGCTCATAAAAAAAAATTGATTGCCCATAATTTTTTTTTACATAGACAAGTAATTGTCATCCCGACTCCCTCACAAAATCATATATTTCTAGCTAAAATTAAGAAAAACATTTCCCCAAATTTCTTAAAAACAATAGTCATTTGGATGAGTTAATTGTCAATGTGGTATTTGTAGAGTCAAATAACTCATTTATTGTTCATGTGGTATTTCAGTGGTAATTGAAATAAAATATCTCGTTTAGTTGAACCATGCAAATGTGGTATTTGACATGTGGTATTTGGTAAAAGTAGAGTGTTAAAACGAGTTATTTTGAAATAACACATGAGTATAAGTTATTTCATTAGAGGTGGCAAATGGATTGATCCATGGATTGGTGGATCCATGGATCAAATGGATTGGATCTAACGAATTAGTGGATTGGTGGATTATTCATGAATCCAAATGACATCCTCAACCAAGGACCAATATGTAAAATGTGAAAAGTTTAGGTACTAAAATGTCATAATGAAAATTTTTAGATACCAAAACGTAATTTCCAATGATATTTTTCGTATAAAAACTAAATTTTGGGTACCAAAATATAAAATATAAAAAGTATATATACCAAATCGTAATTTGTCATTTGGATTCATGGATCAATCCATGAATTCATCAATCCAATTGGATTTGGATCAAATGGATTTGATTAAGTTTATATTTTTAATGAGTTGGTGGATTGGATTGAGAATTATCACCTCTACTCACTGTCCAAATAACTCATTTCCTCCAATAATATATGGTAGAGTTTTGTGAACTTTTCTCCATTTCAAATTTCCTGCAACGAGAGTGAAAGTAGGAAGGACATTTTTGTCTTTACAATTAATTATTTATCTCATATAAAAATATCAATATGAGGATTCGAACCCGGGTCTTTTAAAACAAAGACAACAATCACAACCAATTACACTAAACAAATTTGTTGTATCTTTTTTAGTACAAAGCATACACAAAGTTAGACTCTGAAAATTGGATGAATTTTTCATCATGATTACCAAGCATACTAAGTCTACCGTATATATTTTTATGGTGCTTGATACTTCAGTTTTCATAGTATCTAGAGTTTCATGTAATTTTCTCAATTTTAAATTTTTTGCTCTCGCCTTAATTTTTTGCTAAAGGTAGATTGGTAATTGGCTACCATAGAAGAAACTAATTATGTTACTGCGTGTTGTATCCTTGAAATTTTCAATTTAAATTTAGTGCTTTTTTATCTTTGTTCTTATCTCTTTTAACTTCCTCCGAAATTCCCTCTATCGTGCAATAGTTTACGCTCCTTTCACTTTTCAATACAAGGCCGCCTTTGAAATCAATCTTTTGGTATCTCTTGGCACTACGATTTTATTATTGGGGATTAAGCTAGGCAAGTAGAAGATTTCAACTTCGATATCAATCCATGACAAATAGAATGGAGTTCAATAAATGGAGTTGTAGAAGGAGGATTAGAGATTGAATTTTTTATTGAAACATATGTCTCTTGAGATAAAAATTTGGTTCTACAACAGAGAGTGGTGACTATTGGACCTTTAGGTTTATGGTTTTTGAAGCTAGGTTGATTCTTTATTCAATCTACTGGAACTGATAGATACGGAGTGTCTAATTTTGTGCCTTATTACTTCGATCGAGTTTATTAGCATATTGGAGGTAACCCTAATTTTGTCGTTTGCTCTCAAGTTTTATTGGTCCCCTCTTAATTGAGTTGTTAGTATATAGTTGACTTGAATCAACAACTCTCCATTTCCTTTTGATTAGTGGCATATTGTTCCTAAGGAGAGCATTGAACCCTTTATGTAGGATTGTGAGGTTTAAAATTGTGTTTCAAACTATCTATGGTGTGTGGGAATTCCAATGAGCTTTTGTACTCTATCTTTCTTGACAATCAACTAACCAATAGCATTTTAATTGGGGCTTAATTATCATTATAAAAATGAGATCAATCATTTTTATATTTTATATTCTTATTTCTCCAAAAGTTCGACCTATATATTCTTTCTTTATATATCATCTAGATCGAAGAATTGTCAATAAAATTAAACGGGTTAATAGATTTAAATGTAACATAAAAATACAAATAATCAAATATGAACATTTCGGCCAACGGGCCGGGTTATAAGCTAGTTAATAATAAAAGGTCAAACTAATTATATGTGTCCATTGAACCTAAATAACTCATCCAAACACTCCATCCAAACACTCCATCCAAAATGACACTAGGGGAAAGCAGGTAAAGGTTCCAGAAAAGGAACAGGGCCGTCTTCTACCAGAAGGAAAAAGTAATAGGCCCGTCTTGAATTCCTTGGGCGGAGGCCCATTAAAAAATGCCATTATTGTGACTCCTCGTCTCCTTCACCTTATCACTATCCTACACTCCTACTCGCAAGTGGTAACTGCTAAGTAACTCCCACTCCGATAGTCCGATACTGCGTCCGGCAAAGCAGTGCCCAGCCACTAACCGGCCTGTTCGACGGCGATCAAGTTCGCAGTGAATCGCCGTGTACACTCCACAACTCCCGGTGCTACTCGGCTTCCACTCTGCCTACTCGTTCCTCTTTGACCGAACTCGACTCTTCGAGTAACCTCCATCATCTCTCTGGAAGGTAATAAACCCGACTTTCTTCATGTTTGAGATACGGTAGTCTATATTTCGACGGTCTGGGAATAATTGGGGCTGCAGATAAAATTTCTAGGGTTCTAATTTCTTAGGCTTTATCAGGGAGCCGAGGAACTAACTCGTGGCGACACAATGGAAGGAATTGACAGATTGAGCGATCTCCCAGACGGTATTCTTCATCACATTCTCTCATCCCTGGACACCAAGTCTATTGTCCAGACCAGCGTGCTGTCAAGCAGGTGGAAGTTTGTGTGGAAGCAAGTTCGTGTTCTCAATTTCCGCAGACGCTCGTTTGGGACTGACCTGGGATTCATGCAGCATGTAGACCAAGTTCTATCCTCCCGCTCGGACTGTGATGTTCTCAAGATTGGCACCGACGTTCAGATTGCAAACAATTTGAGTCTGTTTGATAGGATCATGGAATATGCTGCCTCTCATGGTGTTCAGCAGTTATTCCCACTCCTTATGGCTGAAAAAGGGTGGTACTTGTGGGTCGGGAACGTTATTGTCTCGATCTGTGGTTGTTTTCGAACTCTGAAAGTCTTGGAATTGCAGGGGGGCAGAGTTGAACATGTGTTCATTTGAAAAGTTGTCCGATCTGGAACTGCTTGAAAGTCTGACTTTGCAATCCTCCCACTTTACGTTCAGTGGTACGAATGAACCACAGGAGGATCCGTTTGCTAATTTCTCCAGATTGAAAAAACTGCAACTACTCCACTGCTCCTCAGTCAGTGGCCTGCCACATGATTATGGCTCGTATCATGGTTTTGTAGTATCTGGACCTCAACTGCTGTATTTGGAGATACATAGGTCACAATTTGGCTCGATCGAAATACGTGCTCCTAAGCTCAAATCCTTCACTTATTGGACTGATGTTCTTCCTCGTCTGCTACCAACAGATGGGTCCAAGTGGAACCTTCCTTCTCTCAGTCATGCAAAGCTGAACCTGTGCCGAAGCAAGGGTGTAATTTCGTGTTTTAACGCTGAGCAGAAGCAAGTACTGCTCAAACAGTGCGTCAACTTGTTCCATGGTTTGCGTGATGTAGAATCACTCAGCTTGCACATGGACACCATTGAGGTATGTAGCCTGATAATGCTAGTATATGATGAGTATAATCCTACCAAATATTACTGCAATTATATGATATGATAAGTGCATTGTGCAAGACAGTACCTTAAATGTAGCGACTACAGAGAACATGCATACTGCAAGAAATTTACCTTTTGTTCATGTAATTCTTGATTGGTTCTGCTCTTCAGTTGTTGATTCAGGCTTGTGACTCGGTGAAACATCAACCTTCACCCTTTAGGAGATTGAAGTCCCTGAGTTTGCTGTATTCTAATGGATCTTTCAGCCGTGTACCTTACCAAGTGATGCGTTTCTTTCTTGAAGGCTCCCCTAATGTGGACGACAAGTATCTGACGATTGACAAGGTATGTTGATTCATTTTACATCGTATTTAGATTTCTGGGATGACAACACCATGAATTGCACAATGAACTTGAACAAAAGAAGCCGTCAGTTATTGCATCGAAACCTAATTTCTCTGTTTTGCCAGTATATTTCATTTATACATGTCTCATCACTGGTGCATATGTTTCAGAGCATCAGAATTAGCAATGCTATAACCCTTGGACGTCTGATAAGTTGTTTTCTGGTATTAATGCAGCGGCCACGGGCCAAGGCTAGATCTCACACCAGGCGTGATTCCTGAATTTGCAACTGAGAGCATACGATCGAAATTCGAAAGAGCTTGGTGTATATGTCCCGAATCCTTTCCGTATTTTCGAGACCAAGTGCTGCCTATTAGCTCATCTAACTAGCTGAGTAGCTTTCAGCAGTGGTCTAGTATGTTGCCATGGTTAGTTGGTCCTTCTAAATTAGTTGTATAGCTTCCAACAGTGTGGTGTCCTTTTGCTGTCATGGCAAATGTAGTGCACCCTTCCCTAAAGACGAAGTGTTGGTATGAATTAACAAAGATACTTTCGGTTTATTAAGTCGACAATTTGATCATGACTGGTAACTGTCTCTTTTGGAAGTGCTTTTTTTATCCGCTCAATTTGCTTGTGATATGGGTATTGATCTTGCTTACATTTGGATATAATCTGCGGTACATTTAGTGTGGCAAATGGAATGGATTCATGGATTTGTGGATATTGAGCTAATTTCACCTATGTCATTATTATGAACCCTACCATCATATGATCATACACTCCCCATCTCCAATTATCACGTCAGATTACTTTAAGCAAATAAACACAAACAAGCAGAAAGTCAATGGATGGACACAAAACAGGGGATCTTAACTGGGAAAACAATTTTTCTTCGTTATGTTACAAAGGTATACAATCGTAAGGAGTCGACAAAATTGGATGATTTTAGCTTAGGTAGCTGCTTGCTGCTGAAGGTGAAGGACCTGATCCATGAGAGAGAGAATGCGAGCGTGGTAAGCGCGGGCCTGATTGACGGCCTCAGCCTCCAACTCACCCAGCTGAGAGCAGAGCCTTTCCTCTGCCTCCTCCGCCACTCGCATCCGCCGCCACGCTTGCTCAAGCTCCTTCCTCATCAATTCCTCCCTCGCCCTGCTCTCCTTCAGCGCCTTCTCCAGCTCCTCGTTTCTCCTCTGAATCGGCTCACCCGCCATTCTTGGTTACACACTGTTTGATGATGACTTGATGAAATGAGATGAGAGGGAAAACAAGTAAACAACAAGCTTTGTTAAGCAATAGCAAAGCCGTTCAAGCGGCAAGGCAACTATGGAGGATGGGGAGAGGATGAATGGCTATGGTTGTGGTGGTTTTGGAAGGAATGAATGAATGATTACATTTGGGCTGAGCAGAGCTAGTTATAGGGAAGGGAACTGAAGGGGAGGTAACGAAATATTGTCCAGGTTCAATGTATCTTGTCATCCATGAATTTTGCGTTCTTTAACAAAATTTGTTTTTTAACATTACATAATAATAGTAATATAATATAATAAAAATGGTTGGACCTGCTTCCGTTGTTGAATATTCGCACCAAATAAATATCAGGCAGATTGATTTGTTTTGTACCCCGCTATCTGCTTACGTCTTTGCTTTGCTGGCCTCAAATTTTTCCTCTTTTTTCTAGTGCTTGACTTTAGTTATTTCGTCATAGCTAAGTTGTTTCAAAATTCTTTGGTCTTTTTTTTTTAAGAACAAGAGCATGGTGCCTCATGTTTTAGTAAGGCAAAATCCATAATTAGCAAGTTTGTGATAATAATAGTACATTTATGAGAAATACATAAAATGTTCCCATTTTAAAAATATGCCGGAAAATTTTGGCACTTTTATTAAAAATTTTAACGTCATTAGAGATTTTGTCATTTACATTAACAAGACGATGACGAGAATGTCATCTTGATGTACACATCAACGACAACCGGACATCACATCATAATTTAATGACAAAATACACATATATAGCTATAATTATCATTTTGTGACAATAATAGTAAATTTCTCATACATACAAAAAATGTTATATTTCGTCCAAACCTTTAACGGAGTGATTTTAGATACTTACTGGAATAACTTTTTCCTGATTTTGGCAACATTTAATAAAAAATATTGTTAGGTGAAATTAACTAAAAAAACAAATAAAATAAAACGAAATGATCATCCACCTCCAATTCGCCCTAACCCCTTCCTATTTCCCTTTCTCCAATCCTCCAACTCCAATCCCCCGCCTCAACCCCTTTTCAGTTTTCACCTCCGCCCATCGTATTTGACTAGTCGCTCCAACTAGTAGAAATGACAATGAAGCAGGGCCGAGACAGGTATCTCGATACCCATACTCGTCTCATGGCAGGTCGAGTCAGGTCGGGTAATTTATCATGAGGCGCAGGTCGGGGCAGGTCGACTCAATGGGTATGTAAATTATGTCGAAGAAATAAGAAATATTCGTTAATCTAATTAAAAGACTATGAAACAAACCATAATATGATAAATGTAGCTAAATTGTTGGAGAATTTGAGGTTTCACTTATTCACAATTTTATGATAGCTAAAATATGAGGTTATAAAAAGAAAATCATAAGTAATTTGACTAAGATTACATGTAATTTAGGTAAGAACAGGTCGAGAATGGGGCGGGTCAGGACAAATCGGGTCGATGAGAGTATCCATGCCCACCCCATCCCACCTACGGGGTGGGTCAGACACGACACAGAACAGACAAAACATGTCGGATAAAACGATTCATGTCAAAATTGTCATCCCTACCAGCTAGGTCTTCCTATCGGAGAACTGCTTGGGAGAGGGTGAAACTGCCCTGGACGATCTCCACCACCAGCACCGGAATGCCGACTTCTTCCACCACTAACTATTGAGGCAAGAAATGTATTTTGAATGAATTTGAATATTTTATATATTTATGAGGGAACCAAGTCAGATAGGCTACTACAAATTTTGGTTGCAAGTGAAATCGGGAGGGAGAGTTGTCGTTATGTATATGTGTTAGAACATTGATAGGTTGTTGCTGGTGAACTACATGTTCGGTTGATTGTAGTTAAGACAAGTTACAAGTTGTACTAGATAGTACTGATGAAGTGAATATTCCCTCAAATTTCATAAAAACAATAGGAATTACGAACATGATTTTTTTTTTTTGGTCATTAGATCACTATTAAGAAGAGGATTATACAAATATCAACAGGACTACAATTACTTAGACCTGAGTACTACGAATTCAAGAAGAAGAAAAATAGAAGGCCCGTCTTGAATTACTTGGGCTGAGGCCCACTCAAAATACCTATAGCCCAAAAGAAATCCAGAAATGGATAATGATGTGTCTCCTTCGCCTTTTCACTCGGTCTCTTCAGTCTTCACTTTCACTGTCCTACTCGCAACTCGCCAAGGTAACTTCCACTCCCACTCCGATACTGTGTCCGGCAAAGCAGTGCCCAGCCGCTTACCTGCCTGTTCGACGGCGATCAAGCTCGCCGTGAAACGCTCCCTTTCGGTGTACACTCCACCACTCCCGTTGCGACTCAGCTTCCACTCTGCCAACTCGTACCTCTTTGACCGAACTCTGCTCTTCGAGTAACCTCATCATCTCTCAGGCAAGGTAATAAACCCTACTTACTTCATGTTTGTAGCAAGACTGAGAGTTCTCAGAATCTCAGTTGAGATATGGTAGTCTCCATTTCGACGGTCTGGGGAGAATCGGGGGTGCAGATAACATTTCTAGGGTTTTAATATCTAGGCTTTGTCGTCCCAGCCGCAGGGAGCCGAGGAACTCACTCTTGGCGTCACAATGGAAGAAATCGACAGATTGAGCGATCTCCCAGACGGTATTCTTCATCACATTCTCTCCTCCCTGGACACCAAGTCTGTTGTCCAGACCAGCGTGCTGTCAAGCAGGTGGAAGTTGGTCTGGAAGCAAGTTCGTATTCTCAATTTCCGCAGAAGCTCGTTTGGGAATGACCTGGGATTCATGCAGCATGTAGACCAAGTTCTGTCCTCCCGCTCGGACTGTGATGTTCTCAAAATTAGCACCGACTTTCGGATCGGAAGAAATTTGGATATGTTTGGTAGGATCATGGAATATGCTGCCTTTCATGGTGTTCAGCAGTTATCCTTACTTCGTATCATCGAAAATGAATGGTACAGTGTGTTCTCGGATGCTATTGCCATGATCTGTGGTTGTTATCAAACTCTGAAAGTCTTGGAATTGCAGCGGGCGTGCTTGAACAAGACTGCATTCGAAATGTTGTCCAGTCTGGAACTGCTTGAAACTCTGACTTTGCAGTCCTCCCACTTTGAGTTCAGTGGTACGAATGAAGCACAGGATCCCTTTGCTAATTTCCCCAAATTGGAAAACCTGCAACTACTACACTGCTCTTCGGTCAGCCTTTCAGCTGATGATGACTCGAATCGTGTTTTAGTCGTATCTGGGCCTCAACTGCTTTGTTTGGAGATACATAGGCCACAGTTTGACTCGATCCAAATATGTGCTCCTAAGCTCAAATCCTTCACTTATTGGTCTGATGTTCTTCCTCATCTGCTACCAACAGAAGGGTCCAATTGGAACCTTCCTTCTCTCCGTCATGCAACTCTGGACCTGTTGAGAAGCAATGATGTAATTTTGTATTTTAACGCTGAGCAGAAGCAATTGCTGCTAAAACAGTTTGTCAACTTGTTCCATGCTTTGCGTGATATAGAATCACTCAGCTTGCATTTGGATACAATTGAGGTATGTTGTCTGTTAATGCTAGTATATGATGAGCATAATCCTAGCAAACATTACTGTAATTTTATGATAAGATGCATGCATTGTGCAAGACCGTACCTTATTTCATCCCCCATAATGTAGATATTTTGCAATAGTGACTTAAAATGCCCTGTTTTGATACCTCTTAAGGTTTGTTGCCTGTAATTCTGTGAATGCTAAGCCAATGTTGTACCGTTACTATACTTTATCTCTTACGAAAGGGAACATGCATGTGGCAAGAAATTATATTTTTTGTTTATGTAATTCTTGCTTGGTTCTGTTCTTCAGTTGTTGATTCAGGCTTGTAACTCGGCGAAACATCAACCTTCACCCTTTAGGAGATTGGAGTCCCTGAGTTTGTTGTATTCTAATGGATCTTTCAGCAGCGTACCATACCAAGTGCTGCGTTTCTTTCTTGAAGGCTCTCCTAATGTGGGCGACAAGTATCTAACTGTTGACAAGGTATGTTGATTCATGTTACGTTCAAGTTAGAATGGTTGGATGATGACACCTTATTTATAAATGATACATTGAATTTCAGCAATGAATCCCACTTATTGAATTCAAACCTAATTTCTCTGTTTTGCCATTCTATTTCAATTTGTAATGCTATAAACCTTCGATGTGGCATTGGATGATAAGTTGTTTTCTTATGTTATTGCAGAGGCCACGGGCCAAAAAACATGAGTTAGTAATCGGTTCATCAGTGCCAAGGCTAAATCTCACACCACGTGTGATTCCTGAATCTGCAACGAGAACATAGGATCGGAATTCAGAAGAGCTTGGTATGAATGTCCAGAATCCTTTCTGTATGTATTATTTGCGAAACCATGTGTTGTCTATTAGCCCATCTAACTAGCTGAGCAGCTTTCAGCGTGCTCTAGCCTTTTGTTGTCATGGTTAGTTGGTCCTTCTAACTAGTTGAATTGTGCGGTATCCTTTTGTTGTCCTGGTAAATGTAGTCCACCCTTCCCTTAAGACGAACTGTTGGTATGTATGAACTAACAAGTTAATTTGGGTTAATTAAGTCGACAATTCGATCATTACTGGTAACTATGTCTCTTTTGAAAGTGCTTTTTTATCTGCTCAATTTGCTTTGTGATATGGGTATGGAGCTTGCTTCATTTGTTTGGATATAATCTGCGGTACATAGAAAAATATTTGTAAAGTGTGATTGGTAAATCCATACGAAAAATATTATTGACCGTTTTTTGCTTGAAAATTAAATAACCGACTTTATTTGATTTTTCATTCGGATTTTTCCCTTGGTGATGATTTTATATTCTTTTGAATCCGTCTTAAATGAAAAGAAAATTTAGTAATGACACTGTTCGAATAGAATGATCAAGAGTTTTTCTCCTAAATAGGGTAAATTCATATCCTTTATTAAGTCACTACAATATATGTTTCCATGAAGGTCGACAGGTTACTACAATTATCATTACTATAATTGTTATTTAGGAATAGGACTTACTTACACTTACATGTTGCCTTAAGAGTAACTAAAGGTCTAATTAGTATTTACCTTTTTAAGATTAAAAAAACATGTTTAAATTCTCCTAAAGAGGGAGTACTTGATTAAGCATAAGCAACCATTACGTCTATATATAAGAGAGTGTAACAGTCGGCAGAATTCTATGCACAAAACAAACTGCTAGATTCTGAACGAAGCAAAGATCAAAGATGGTGGCCGGGCGATGGGTGAATCACTGGTTCGTGAAGACGCTCTCGTGGGAGGAAGCGAACGGGAATTTCCTGGACATATCGAACGAGGAGTATCTTTTCCATTCAGCGTTAGCTGGTTTATATAGTCTGTACAGATGGAGAAAAGAAAGGTAATGAAAGAAAAACCTATCTACTGCTAATTCTCTGTACAAACTAACAGACAACTAATCTATACAAATTAACCAATACAAACTGAACACGTGTGGTGACACTGTAGATTAGCCGTTTAAATCAATTGTCACTGAAACGCAGCAATGGGTTGACGTTTTGTTCAATACTCAGTAGCTGAGTTGGGCTGCTGGACACATATCTTCACACGCCCCTCAAGCTGGCGTGTATTGATCAAATACACCCAGCTTGTTCAACAAGAAATGAAATCGATCTGCAGACAAAGTTTTGGTGAAGATGTCAGCTGGTTGATAATTCGTGGAGACATGTTGCAGAGTAATCAAGCCAGTTTTCAGTCTTTCACGAGTGATGTGCATATAAACTTCCAAGTGTTTCGTGCGCTCGTGAAAGACTGGATTTTCAGCTATGTAGATAGCTGATTGGTTGTCGCAATATAAGGGAATGGGTTGAGGATGTGATACATGAAAGAACTTCATTAACCTTTCAACCACTGAACTTCACAGCACAGTTGTGCTAATGCCTTGTACTCCGCTTCAGATGAAGACCTGGAGACGGTAGTCTGTTTCTTGCTTTTCCATGTAATGAGTGAAGTCCCCAGGAAAGTGCAGTATCCTGTAACAGACCTTCTTGTGTCGGGGCAGGTGGCCCAATCGGAGTCACTATAACCTCTGACAGTTATATCAGAGGTGCTTGAAAACCATAAGCCCTAACCTTTACTCCCTTTTAGGTATCTTAGAACTCTGTGTAAATGTGTAGATGTAGGATTGCTCTGGAACTGTGAAAGCTGCTGAACTGGAAATGCTATATCTGGTCTCGTGGTAGTCAGGTATTGAAGCTGTCCCAACAGGTGCCTGTATTCATCACCATCATCTAATGGCACTCCATCTTCAGCAGATAGGACAATTTTCATACTCAAGGGGGTTTTGGCTGGTTTGCTATTCAAGTAACTTGCATTGGCCAGCATCTCTAGAAAGAACTTCCTCTGCTTGAGGGAAATTCCTTTCTCACTTCTTTGTATCTCCAGCCCCAAAAAATACTTGAGTTCTCCAAGGTCTTTAACCTTAAATTCCTTGTGTAGCCACTGCTTGACTTGTTGGATTAAGTCCATGTTACTGCTTGCCAAAATCATATCATCTACATAAATCACCAAGAACAAGTGATCCTTCCCAGAACTGTAATCGAACACAGAATAATCAGAATAGGATTGTTTAAAACCAAGCTTCCACAGAACATCAGTTAGCCTCACAAACCATTGTCTGCTTGCTTGTTTCAACCCACAAAGGGATTTCTAAAGTTTGCACAATTTTCCTTTGTACTGTGGCAACTAGTTCAATCCTGGAGGCAATTCCATGTAAATCTCTTCATCTAGGAAGCCATTCAAAAACGCATTGCTCACATCCATCTGATGTAGATGCCAATGCTTGGCAGCTGCTAATCCAATTAACAATTTCACAGAATTTTGTTTAGCCCCTGGTGAGAAAGTATCCCAGAAATCAACACCAGGAACTTGTGTGTACCCCTTTGCCACCACTCTAGCCTTAAGCCTTTCAATGTCCCCATCTGATCTAAATTTAGTTTTATAGACCCACTTTGATCCTATAACAGTCTTTCCTGCAGGCAAGTCCACAAGGCAAGTCCACAATTTCCCAAGTTTGTTATCCTCCAATGCATCTCATTCTTCTTTCATAGCTTTGTTCCATCTAGGATCAGTGGAGGCTTGTGCATAAGTCTGAGGTTCTGGAAAAGTGGTGATGTTCAGAGCAAAGGAATTTTGGGGAGAAGAAAGGGTTTGGTATGAAAGAAACTCTAAAATAGGATATGTCATACTGTGCTCAAGATCCTTATCAGTTGTGGTAAGAAGATTGAGGTGGAAACCCCTCAACCAGCCAGGTTGTCTAGGATTTCTAGGTTCTTTCCTAAGAGCAATAGGCAAAGACCCTGAACTTTCTGTTGAGGACTCAGAAGTGCTGGCTTGTTGGGGGTGATGATGATGAAGTTGACTGAGGAGTAAAGGGTGATGGTGGTGGTGAAGGTATGTAGTCTGGATCATTGGTTTCATGGACATTATGATCAGAGGGAAAGATGGGATCAGAATCCTCATCAAAAAAAGTGTACAGGTTGCTTTCTTCAGTTTGTTGAGTGGTCTTCTTAGTTCCCGATTCCTTGCAGGGAAATACCATCTCATGAAACTTGACATCCCTGCTAACAAAAACTTTATGTTCTTCTATGTCATATAGTCTAAAGCCCTTAATTCCAAAAGGGTATCCCAGAAATACACATTTTCTGGCTCTAGGTGTGAATTTGGTCTTATGCTCATCAGTATTGGTTGCATAAGCCAAGCATCCAAAGACTTTGAGGTCACTATAATATGGTGGGATTTTAAACAGAACTTCAAATGGTGTTTTGTTCTTCAAGATAGGGCTAGGAATCCTGTTGATCAAATATGCAACATGTAAAACAAAGTAGCTCCAGAAACTGACTGGTAAACCACTATGAAATTTCAATGATCTTGCAACATTCAAGAGATGCTGATGCTTCCTCTCTACACGCCCATTCTGTTGTGCAGTTCTAACACAACTCATCTCATGTATTATTCCATTAGTTTGGTAAAATTCTGACATACGGAATTCTTGTCCTTGATATGTTCTTATCACCTTAACTTTCTTATCAAGGGACAGCGTTAGTGACCCTCGATTCACGGCGCCAGAGGGGTGGTAGAACTTCCGACGAAATCCCTAAAGCTCCTGAAGTACTGCTCCCATGCTTGTCGCTTGTTTTTGGTCGGAGTCGCAAGAGGAATTGGTGGATAATAACACGGCGGCTGGTTTACAACAACTCTCTGCTGTGATGAAGTGAGTGGCAGAGACGATTTGATGGCCAGAGTCGAAGGTAGAAGAAGATTTGATTGTCGAAGGGAGAAGGAATTGCATATTGAAGAGGAAGGCGAAGGGGTTTCTTTGTTTGGTGAGCGACGGAGAGACGATGGAGATAGGGGTGAGTTTTGAAATTTGATTAAATTGCAAATACTGTGGAAAAGTGGAAAATCCAAGAATAGGCCTAGATGATGTCCGAAGGCATTCCGTTTGGCCCATGTATGATAAAAACAATTGGGCTTAGTAAAACAAAAACGCACCACTTCAATTACATGTGCAGAACCGTGAAATGTCTAATCTGCCCTTCCGTGAAGCTCTCAGGAGCCAGAGTTTTTGAATCCCTGCAAAAAGAGCCCATGAATCTGCTTCATAAATTTTATAGATGTCCAATCTGTGTCGTGTGGCAAAGTTCTTCTTTAGTCATCGAACTTGTGTTTTCTGATAGTCGAGTCAAAATCAGTTGTTTAGCTGAAGGTCAATAGTTAGTTATTAGTTATTGGTTTAACTACTTTGTATGTTAGTGGAGTTAAGGATGGTGCTTAAATGCTGAGATAATTAGTGGCAGAAATCATGTACTTAAAGTTATGAATCATCGTGTCAATAAACTTGTCAAGGATGGTGCTTAAATGCTGAGATAATTAGTGGCAGAAATCATGTACTTAAAGTTATGAATCATCGTGTCAATAAACTTGTCAGTTTGCACGAAGTTTTTTGTTCTATTGGTGCACTGCTTGCATACTGTAATCAAAGAAAATTGCAAAGTTCTGACTGTGAGACGTGTGAAAGAGTTCTTGTTATATGGATTTCGGGAAACATGAGAGAAGCCACTGAGGTGGAAAAGGAGACTGACATTTTATTACCTATCTAAGAATTTTGCGAAATGTGCAAACGCAACTTCATCGAAGTGGAACTATTTTCAAGATGTTGAATGATTGCTAAATTTTCAATAGTTAGTTATTAGTTATTGGTTTAGCTACTTTGTATGTTAGTGGAGTTAAGGATGGTGCTTAAGTGCTGAGATAATTAGTGGCAGAAATCATGTACTTAAAGTTATGAATCATCGTGTCAATAAACTTGTCAGTTTGCACGAAGTTTTTTGTTCTATTGGTGCACTTCTTGCAGACTGTAATCAAAGAAAATTGCAAAGTTCTGATTGTGAGACGTGTGAAAGAGTTCTTGTTATATGGATTTCGGGAAACATGAGAGAAGCCACTGAGGTGGAAAAGGAGACTGACATTTTATTACCTATCTAAGAATTATGCGAAATGTGCAAATGCAACTTCATCGAAGTGGAACTATTTTCAAGATGTTGAATGATCGCTAAATTTTCAAATTCGCTTCCAGTTCTATTTATCGCTTTTCAACTAAAAAATCGTTTGGGTTGGTTTAAAACAATGGTTGAGATCCACAATTGAAGTTGCAACCAAATCTTAGTGTTAGATATGTAGACAGCTTGAAATTGTAAGGTGGAGTACTAATTGTTGAAATTGATAATAAAACACTAGCTACCGCATATGGACGTATTGTACAATTTGTATAATCGATATTTTAGGTTAAGTTGTGAATTCATGTAATATTAATTTGTTTTGTTTGACTTGCTTGAATTTATAATAGGACCAATATGAATTAGCATGATATGTCAAATACTTTTGGTGAAATCTAAGAATCGGAGATATGACAGTGACATGAATTCTGAAATTACATGATGCTCCAATATCTTGATATTTGTTCAAAATAAAATAGTAAAAATAATGTGTTAGAATGGATAAGGAAATCGACAAGTAAAAAATACATAAATGTGTGTTGGCTAGTCTGTCGACAGCAGAGAGTCTGTTTCACTACACTTGAGGAGATACATATTACAAAGGGATTGATAAGTATATATAGTACTTCTCCAGACATCCTAACCCTAATCCAATCAGGTGAAAGAAAAGGTTACAAACCAGGTCCAGAACAGAAACCCAAATGTGTATAAGCCAATCCACCGTGAGATCCCGATGACTTGCAGTCGACGACAGATAATCTATTCAACTCATATCAACACAATGAAAAATATGTAAACCTGTAGGTAGATTATATTATTGTCAAACGACCCCTAATATATTACTAGCCTCCCAAATTCACACTTAATAACCGCGATGTTCACAATTTGAGGCGCCTACAAATGTTTAGTAAGTAATTAGCAAAAGATTAATCGAACGGAGTAACTCATGGTCATGGTTGTGGTCGGTACTGGTTATAAAATCGACTGGAATGGCCCCTGCCCTGGTATGACCAACTTACGATCTTTGAACAAAATGACATCGTTTTGGTGGATTTAATTGATCAAAATTTTTTTGGATTTGTTTCTTAGATTTGAAAGTTAAATGTTAATGTTATTTATTGAATTCAAGTATGATTGTTTAGATGTTTGTGTTATTTGGTGAATTCAAACATAAACTTTTTGATGTTGGCATTATATATTTTGTTTAAATATGAAGATTTTTATTTTGTTTAAAATAGTGTATTTATTCAAATATTTATGTAGATTTTAGAGAGATTATTTTTAAATATATTATATTATATATACTTAAAATAATTTAATATTAGTAATTTCTCACTTAACCGTGTGTTTTGTTTAAACCGGCATGAATTGGTATAAAGTGACTATAAACCAATTGTGTTACCATTCGGAGACTTGTGAAACCGACATTAACGATAGAGACCAGTTCGACAACTTAAGCGGTTAAGCCACGTCTCCTATTTTTAATCAATCAGCGTCATGTAGAACGGAACCGTCCGGCAAAGCACTCTCTTTTCACGCTGCCCCCCTCCCTCCAATTTTGCTTCGAACTCTGCTAACCAGTTATGGCGGAGAAGGACTCAAAGCAGGCCAAAATCAGCGACCACGAAGAACAAGTCGACCGATTGAGCGCGCTACCGGACGAGATTCTCCACCAAATCCTCTATCGTTTCGCCACCAAGTTCGCCGGCACAACCTCCGTCCTCTCCTCCCGATGGCGGTCCCTGTGGAAGAGCGCCCCCTTCCTCAATCTCGACTCCGACCCTTACCGCGGCAGCAAGTCTGGCAACTCCGATTTCGAAAATTTCGTCGGCACAGTCTTATCCCTCCGAGACCGCGTCGCCGACGTCGACTCATTCCGATTCGTATACGTCTTCCCTCTCCGGCGGCGGACCGACTGCGATCCCTTGAACAGCGCAATCGATTACGCTGTTGCGCACAAGGTCAAGTACTGCTTACTATACCTCCGCGCCGCCCAGGGTAACCTCTCTATATTCCCCCAATCGATTTTTCTCTGCAAATCCCTAAAAATTTTGCGCCTCCGCGGCGGGTACGGCGCATTTAGGTTTAAACCTTCCAAATTGGCCAAGGCGCTCAGTGCCTCCAACTTGAAGACGCTTTACCTTGATTACTGCAAGTTCAAAGGTAGCGACTGCTTGGAACCCTTTGCTAGCTGTCCCACTCTGAAGAACTTGGGCTTGTTCGAGTGTGTGTTTGACCGTGTGGGGTGTTTCAGGGTGTCAGGGGATGAACGTGAGAACGTTTCGATCGAGAACATTTGGCAGCATACCCCTGAAACAGGGTTCAGGATTGAGATTTGTGCTCCAAAGCTGACTTCCCTGGTGTGGGCTAATGTTCCAGCTGCCCTGTTCTCAAAGTTCGACCTTCCTTCTCTGAATCGTTTGGAAATTGGTGTGTATAATAGGGAGAAGCCACAGGATTTGGTTCATGTCTTATCTTTGGGTCCTGCTAACGCTCAGCATGTCAAGCTGTGTCAAACGACTACTGAGGTACCAAAAATTCTTTCTTCTGCATTGGCATGGCAATTGATGAATGAACTTTATGAGATTGTGCTTTGTGTACATGGGATGGAGGTGCTATCAATGTTTGAGTACAGAAAATAGAAAGTTAGCAATCTGATGCAACGATTTTGGTTATTGTGAGCCCTGTTTGCCATTCCCATCCCATAACCATGTAAGACCCAATCTGTCAAGCTGACTGCATCATGAACCACTAGGGCAAGTCTATATCTTCCCAATAGCACAACATGTTCATCACGTATACTAGTGAAATCATTTACTTGTCCAATGTGAAATACTATGCTTATGAGGTATGGCATGTGAAGATGAAGTACGTTTCTGCGCAGTTGCACGAGCACTACTCTGAATCTGGCATATGTATGTGACTGTACTTCCTTTTGCCTCTAGGTTCTTATCTCACCAGCTTCCAGTAAGTTGTTAACGGCGAGTCAACCTTCTCAATTTATTGGACTGAAGTTCTTGGAAGTTCACTACTTTTCTTATTACCATAACCCTCCAGTGGGACTTGCACCTCTAATAGGTTACTTCTTTAATGGATCTGCTGCAGAAGAAGAAACACACGGTATTTTCCCTCAACCATCTTCTTCATTTTGCCTTCAAATATTTCTGAGTTCCATATGCTTCCCCAAGTTTGCAGCCGTTATATGGCTGTCTTTGGCTCTTTGCCATTCCTCCATTAGATTGGGCTGAAACGATACTGTAACTTTGGGATATCTCCCTTCGAGCTGAATGCCCACTTATCACTGCTTGCAGGCTGATTTTATTGTCTAACATAGGAAAAGCAACACGCCAACTTTCTTGATGAAGTTATATGGTAAATCTTTTAGTACTAGCTATTAGTGTCGGTAAAACTTGGAGAACATAATGGTTACTTGTTTTAATCGTATATAGCTCTGTTTGCTGCAGGTCCAAGGGGGAGCAGTAGTTGCCTTTTCCGCAGAAAAGTGTAGCGAACTCGATCCTAACTCCTACCTTCTAACTGGTATTATGCATTTTGGTAGCTCGGGCTGGGTAATCTGTTGTGTGTTATGGCTCGTGCGTACTAGGAAGGTTATGCTTAGATTTTGCACCTATTAAGTGAGGTGCTTACATGGTCTCGGATTCTAGTAGTTTGTAACTTGGGTATATAATCCTAACTCAGTTTAGAAGTATGTGATTAAGTGCCCAGAATGGTGGGAGGGCCCGGATAGTATAACAACATCCCTTGTGTTGTTATAGTAACGTCAGGGGTAAAAAGGGAAAACTAACAGAAATTAATAAATTACAATTGAGAACTAAAATTTTCAATCCCTACCTGTCTCTCTCGATCTCCTCCGATACCATACCCCAACGACTGCATCTCCTCCGGTACGCTCGCCTCCATCATCGGCAGGAACACCCCTGCTGTCGACTCTGACGGTAGAGGCGTCGACCTTCCTCTAATCTAAGGCAAACAGCTAGATCAGAACCGAGATGTATCTGGCGGTTACGATTGAGGCCTCCATCCCCCGCCGTTCCTTCTTTCTTCCTCCGCCGGGGTTGCCAGTCCTCGTCTCTTCTTTCTTCCGACGCCGGCGCCAGCTGCGGATTGGGCGTCTGTTGGATGACGGAAGCGACGACAGCGGGGGAGAGGAAAGGGATCATGGCGTCCAGCTCCAGCTCCAACGGATTGGATTCCTCGATAATCGAGATGAGTTCGTCGGATACGGAAGTCTCCGAGAGGGGAGTGGTTGCAGCGGCGTGGAAGCAGCGGATCCGATAAGAGATTCGATGGAGCAGAAGCTGGAGATGCATTAGTTCTTTCTTGTTGGAAGAATCCTAAAGAGAAAAATCTTTCGATTGATAGCGGAGTCATCAGGGAAAGGAATGGAAAGGTTCAGTTCTGCGGTTTATGGCTTGTTGCGATGTCAGCTGTTCTGTTTATTTGGCTACAGACCACAGTTTTGAGTTGACTACTGCTTTGTCAGTTTTGACTTATGGATTGCTATTCCTGGATGAGTCTTTTTCAGCTTGTTTTCTGTACCATTGTGGGGATTTCTGTGATATAAAAGTAAAGCTAAGTCCATACGCTGAACTTCCATTTGATTATGGTATCTCTATTTACTCATCATTCTTGGATAATGGCAACAACTGAAATCTGAATGTGGTTGTTTTGGCGGTGGATCAAGTTAGTTTATTAAGTTTGTGAAAGTTCCATTATGTTGTAGGCTACATCTTGGGCGGGAAGGCATGTAGAGTTGTGCTATCGCTTGCTGAAATTCACTTGCATTTCTCAAACATATGCCTGATTTTGTCATGCAACTACTTTTCTGTTTAGCATTTTTTGTTATCATGTATGTCCACAAGTGATGGGGGTGGAACAATGGGAGTTTGCATTTTTAGCCCCTTTTTGCTTTTCTTCTGTCTTTTCTCTATAATCACTCTAGTGATACAGTCCTGGTGTATTGCCCTTTGAATAATGCCTTGTTTTCATTCATAAAAAGAAATCTAGTGGTGAAAACTGGGGTTTAATGAACTTGGTGTTTTAGCTGAATAATGAAGCTTTATATAAGAAATTGTTAACCATTGTACAAATATTGTTACAATAGTGTTCGGTTTCCAGAATATTACCGGACTCAAAATAGAGCCATATAGGTAGTGAAAGGTCTGGTAACGTAGATTCAGCTCTTAGGTTGGCGAAGAAAATGATGGTCCTTCTCTTGTGTTATTCAGTCTTTAACATACCGGAGAACTGCTAGACATGATCTCATATGTAACTATGTTAATGTTTCTTCTTCAGAGTTAATTGACAGATCACCCAGCATTGACAGAGTAAGTAAGCAATTAAAAAAAATATGGTTGTTTGTAGACGCCGAAAATCTCCTAGTGCAAACCACAAACGCAATAAAACAATCCACAAAAAATATACCGGAAACCTCCTAATGCAAACCACAAATTTGCTAAAACATATCAGAAATCTCACAAAGCAAACCATAAATATTTTGAAAAGCACACCAGAAACCCCCTAATGCAAACCACAAACACGGTAAAGCAAACCAAAAACGTCCTAATGCAGACCATAAATATATTAAAACAAACCAGAAACCTTGCAAAGCAAACCACAAAAGTTTCGAAAGCACACCAGAAACTTCTTAATGCAAACCAGAAACCTCCTAATGCAAACCACAAATCTCCTAAAACAAACTAGAAACCCCACAATGCAAACCACAACATTTGCGAAAGCACACCAGAAACCTCATAATGCAAACCACAAACACAGTAAATCAAACCACAAAAAAGCAAACCATAAACGTCCTAATGCAGACCACAAATATATTAAAACAAACCAGAAATCTCACAATGCAAACCACAAAATTGTTGAAAGCAAACCAGAAACTTCTCAATGTAAACCACAAACACGATAAAACAAACCACAAATAGCATAAAAAATTCAAGAAACCAAACCATAAATCTCACAATGCAAACTATTATATCCGGTGGTCGTTGACCGTTGACTAGTCAACGAATTTTGTTGACCAAACTCCGACGACCGTCAGTGACCGGATTCCGGCGCCGATAGGCATATTCCGGCGCCGATGACTAGATTCCGACGCCGGTAAGCATATTCCGACCACAGTGAGCATATTCCGGCGACGGTGACATATTCCGATGACAAAAAACATATTCCGGCGACAAAAAGCGTATTCCGGTGACCGGCAACCGGTGACAGAATTCTGGCGACCAAATTTTTGGGCAGAAAATAAAAAAATTTATTATTTTTATTATTTAAACAGATTTTTCATAATGACAATTATACCCCTGCTTTGATTTTACACTAGGTCAACTCATCTAATAAAAAGTCATCACAATCCTAGCTTCCTATTGGTTGGAGACTAGTGTTGTTACAATAACAACACAAGGGGTGTTGTCATAATAACCTGTCCTATGGTGGGATTAGCTCAATAGCACGACCTAATCTCATCTCTTCTCAGCTGAACCGTTAACTATCCTATTTTATAATCATCTTAATTCATTTCAGCTGCCGTTATGACTGGTCTTTCCGTCTCCTTTTGAGCTGCCCTTATCAGTGATATCACAAGGCTTTTTCACTTTGCTTTGATTTCCTTCTGAGTTAAACTTCGGACTTTGGTTATAATGGTTAGCGTTTTTGATGTCAAATGATTGTTACTTTCGTGAATGGTTCAAAAAATATGTTTATTAACTTGGAGAAAGCTTGTCGGTAATGTACGTATTTGTCGAATTAACATGGAACCACTAGCATGCGAGCATAACCATTTCATTCCAGGACTTCTTTCGGCGCGATTGGGAAGTTCGTCTCACCCATGTCTACCGTGAAGCCAACTTTTTGGCTTGACTGTTTAGCTCATAAGGGGCATTCCATGCCCCTAGGACATCATACTATTAGTACTTCTTACCCTGATGTTTGTCGTTGAGATCTCTTTGTCTCTGTTGGTGGCTTCACTATCCACTCGGTTATTGAATAAGAGATAGTAGTGCTTTGCACCCGTTTTCATAAAAATAAAATAGAGATCGAGATAGGAGTTAATTTTGGTCGAGTTAATTATTTAACAAAGACGGATAAGGATACTTGGGCTTTAATGAATTTGGGTCAGCTGATCTGTTGGGTTGTATTTAGGCAGAATGCCTGGTGGCCCATACCATTCTTGTTTTGATAAGAGAATGATTATGTTGGTACCAACAAGGAGAAAGAAAACGAAAAATCCTCTTTATTTTTTCACGATTTTTTATCGCAAGACCTATACTTCAAAAATCCAAGAAAAAGGAAAGAAAGAACGATACGAAGATACGAGCTTCTAGCTACATTCTGGATTTACACCTAAAATCTCGTGAATCAATCTATCTGTATTTTAATTAAAAGCAAACATCCAATTATCAGTGATGAAACTATGCTAATGACAGGATAGGCTATAGCCAACAAATAAGTGAAATAAATTGTGTAATAGATCTGGAAAATATAATTGTTGGAAAACCTTTAACCTCTATCATCAGCTAAAATTCTATGAGCATGGATTTTTAGCTCTTTTGGTTCAGCTTTCTGACTCTGCCAGACAACATGATTAGATAGATGGCACCACACGCACACTAGCTCAAATCTATACATCTCTCACACATATACCTTGTGTCACTACAGAAGATCTAAATCACATGCAGGATGGAGATCACTAGCCAGCCATCAACCCTTTTAGCATTAGGATATATAAATTGGTGGAAAGAGCAAAGAATCGTTAGCATGATTAGCCAACGGGCATGGTTATTAAATAGTGAAAGTAGGCTAGTTGCTTCAGCTGCCACGAAATTGCCGCCCTTCCCAACAGAGAGAAAGTGAAACATAGAGACTGCCCTCCTCCAGTCATTTTCACCGCAACACAACAAGATCCGATTCCCCCAATCTACCCCAAATGGTGAAACGTACGATCAACTAATTGCCAAACACAATTCTTCCTGCACATCACATGCTAAGATAAGTGTAGACACTTTAAGTCTTAGATTAATAGTTTTGACAAAGGCCTTTGATAAAATTCCTCAAAAGTTTCAATCTCTAAGTTGTTTGAGGAAGTTAGCAAAAATTCATAAATGGAGTTGAAGTTGTTTTTTTTTTCTCCTAACGAATGATGTGATTGACGGATTGTATACTAACCAGAGTGCGAGTCACAATCTGTGAGAATGGGATTACAAAATATGACAGTCTGGGACAACAACTGTTAACCACCAAGCGAGACAGATACAACGGTCGATGTGTTCAAAATACAAGGAAACTCAATAAACACGCGCCCAGTACCTGAACCCTAATAAAATAACAATCCAATCTTTTAACTTCTTTGTATTTACACTTATACAAAAGCCTTTGTCCAACTTCCCACCATATGAACTGTTGAACTTTACATGTCGCTTCAAGAAAAACCAACCTATTCCGTTTGAAAGTTGCAGAAACACATCCTACCATATATTTAAAATAACGGCTATTAGACTAACGAGGAATACCATTTATACTAGTCCAATAATCAAATGACAGGAATAGCTCGGGTTGGAGAAAGGGATTTTGAATAAATAGTACTAGACACTATTCCTACTGTTCCTGCATTTTCCAAACAATGCAGAAATGCATCTTCCCTCCATGTTTTGTACCCCCACCATGCAATCAATTTATAAGATGGATCAGTGAGCTGGTTCTGGACAAACCATACACATATCGCAAAGAGCTCGATGTAATTAATTAACATTGTCCTATGCTCTAACGCATACAAATCACCTAGCTACATATATGGCATCATGAAATGAAAACGTTATCTTATTGCATGTGGAAGCTAGGTTTCAAAAAAATGACAGCTAACACCTCAAGGAAACCTCCAAAATCCATAGTCACAAGCGACCCTTATCGCCTCCCTCCATTATCCGCCACTCTGCACTGCCAGCTTTGATGTATTCTTCCATGCCACCACTCCTCAAACTCGCGCCCACATGGCCCATGGCTTTGTTTCAACACTTCAACTCAAGGTTGTCGGACTAGATTAGACCATTAAGTCGGTTTGGTAAGTGATTCGAGGTTTAATGATTAGATCAGGTTCAACCAGTTATCCGGTTTTAACAGAATATACGAGAAAACCTCTTTATACGGTTATACCAAACAGATTATGCATGTTTTAAAAACTATATCACGAATCTAGATTCATATATTACCAAATTATTCATTAAAAGGATATATTTGTCAAATTATCAATCCTCATCTTCAAACTCGGCCAGACCAGCCATATTTGACCGGTTTAACCCGATTTTAACTGGTAAACTCCAATTTTGACACTTAGCAGAAACCATCAAACCGAAGCATATTCCAACAATTAAGATGATAGATTTCGATCGAATCAGATTAAACTGGCCAGCCAGATACCGGTTTGACAACCTTACTCGAACTCCATTATTGTACATTGGATCTCCCCCCACCTATAAAAACCCTAACCCTATTACCACTATTCTCACCACTCCAGAAACCCAAACATCGATCCACCACCTTACCATACTAGAACCCTTAAAAGAAAAGAGAAAAATGGCTTCAAGAGCTGCAGCCTCTACTGCCCTTCTCCTAGCCCTAAACCTCCTCTTCTTCACTCTGGTGAGCTCCACTTACTGCCCTCCACCGGCTGCGCCAAAGGAGCACAAGCATCACCACAAGCACCCATCGAAAGGCGGCAAGTGCCCCAAGGACACCTTGAAGTTGGGTGTTTGTGCCAACCTGTTGAACGATTTGGTGCACTTGGTTGTGGGCACTCCAGCCACCACTCCTTGCTGCTCACTTCTTGGGAACTTGGTAGATCTTGAGGCAGCTGTGTGCCTTTGCACTGCCCTTAAGGCCAATGTGTTGGGGCTTAACCTTAATGTCCCGATCGCCTTGAGCTTGCTCCTCAACGTCTGTGGGAAGACTGCCCCCGAAGGGTTTCAGTGTGCTTGATTGTTTAATTGTTTGGTTAATTTTACATTGGTTTGTGTTTGGGATCTTGTGGGGTTTTGTTTTTTTAATATTGGAAGTTGATCATGATGTTTTGTGGGTGAATTTTGTGTTGGGAGTTTGTGAAGGCTCCTCGCCTTCTTCTATTTCCTTTGGGATTGGTTTATTGTGGTCATATATTGTTCCATATTGATGTGTTCTGGGTGAAGATTGGACATTAGGAATGGAATAAAATTGGGTTTTTGTGTATGAAGTAATTGCTTTGTGATGATGCTATATACTTTAACTGCTTGGCAAGAATAATAATTTGGGTTAAAGTGGTCAATGAACAAATTGCAGCTAGGAAGGTAGATACATGGAAAGTTTGAGGGCCTTTGTGGGTTGAAAATGATGTATCACTTCACTTGTTCAAAGAAGGCCAGGCTCAATAGCAATAAATTAGAAAGGGTTCGTGGGGTCAAATCACATCTAGTTTGGAAGGTGAAATGTCGTCACGACTCATAGTGGTACAATAGTACTACTGTGTTCTAGAGAAGATGCTTTGTGTTTTTTTAGGCTTGGTTCATTTGTTTGAAGTATCAATTGCTGGTCACAACGAATCTATCAATGGTGGTGTAGTCAGAGTTCAAGCCAAGTAGAGTACTATGATAAATAAGTTTGATAGCTTCAAACAACACATCTTATCGAACGGCCATCCAACAAGTCGTCAATTATTCGATTGTGTAACGTGATTCTCATGTCGTTCATAGTTTAAAAATGTTGATAACTAGTTAAACTAAAATAAGCATTAATTATTTGACAAACAAATAAACTAACATATTAATTAATACATAAAAGTTTACAAAATTACAGTTGTTGTCCAATCAATTTGGTATGAATTAATATAACACATGTTATTGGGTTCAAATATCTTTTTAGTTCATATGGGAAAATTAATCTAGTTGGAAAACAATCTTTAGAAAAGGGAATAGAAATTAGGAAAACCAACCATCTAGAAATTCAACCTTTTTCTTTTCCACTCTCCATTAGGGTAGGGGGCCGCCGATTCACCTTATGGAAATGAGCGGAAACACAATCCACATCTTTGTTCAAACTTTTCTCTAGAGAGAAGATGGCTATATGACATTTACAAGAGCATTATGAACGACATTATTTATTTAAACAAAATATTTATGAATCTTTGATGATTCAGTCAATTAAATAACAAAATTGCAACTATTTTTTTTTTTTTTACAAATAACCTTTATCCACAACATTGGTGATGCTCTATAGACAGATTAATCCCCGGACCGCCGACATAGATTGAGTCATTACTAGTTGGCCAATAAGCACTTCTCAGAGATTGTTGCATCAACTTAGCAAAAGTGTGAATCGAATACACAATCTCTCGTCTGTCTATCCACCTCGGGGCCAGTATTCTTATTTATGAGAAAGCAAGAGTAAATAAACTGGAGACCTTTTACTATCTTAAAGTTTGGACGTGCATGAGAAGGAGTGAGATGCTCTTGTTAAGATAATGATTTCCCATAGGCCAAGCTTTAATGAATCATGTTCATCCTAATATAGCTTCCTTGTCTTTCTGTTATTTATTTGTTAGTAATTAAATCCCTGTTGAAGACACACATCATGCACAAAACAGAGCTACGTCCAATAATTATCTTACCAACAAATGGTGGTGCTTAATCCATTAAATAACATCGAAAAGTTAATCAACCAAGAGATAATTTAGTGAATCCCGACTCCCCTTAACGTGTATTCGTATAGTTTTTTTCAATGTTATTAAAGCCGAGCCGAGCCGCTCGGTCCGACCGGTAAAACCTTCACCCGGTCACAAAATCGGCTCGAAAGAGTCTAAAAGCCGCTCCGGTTTTATGTAGTGGTTGACGAGCGGCCGAGGCGGTTAACCGCTCGAGCCGATCAAGCCGCTCATCCGGTATTTGCCATTCACCCATTAAATTTAATTAAAAAAATTGTAGAAAATTGAAAATTGAAAAAAACCAAAAACGTCGGGCTCTCAAACTGAATCCTTATATCCGTTTCACAATTTTGAAGGAAAGAGACGAGCTCTAATTAAGAAATGTCCACTATTTATACTGATAACATTTATCAGGTACCGGTTCTCTAACGATTTTTAAACGGTCTAATGTCGGTTGGACCACTAAAGTGCAAGCCGTTCGCATTATCGGGTCATGCTCCGGTTCGGTTGTGACAACATTGGTTTTTTTTTCTTTCTTGTGGTGGATAGGTTGCAATGTGAGCCAAAAGAACTACCACCAAAAGGTACAACGATAGGAGTTCACATGTTGACATCGTAGAACGAAACTCCACTCAGCTCTTTAATAATTGCATGCATTTCAACATATGTCCTCTCTTGCATTGCTAGTTGCTAGTTGCTAGTTGCTACTCCTTTCTTTCTTTCCTGTACTGGTCTGAACTATATAAGACCTCTCCTTCAGTACAAAAATCTTTCCGAGTTCTGACCCTCGACAATAATGCACATGCTATTATGGGCCGAAAGCAGCAACCCCGTCCCTTTGCTGACTCAGTGCTACCAGACACTACACCACTCCCACAGTGAAATGAGGGGAGGTCCAAGCTTTGCCTAACTTTGCTAACTGATTGTAACCCAGCATGTAAAAAGAGGAACAGGAACGTGTGTATGGTGAAAAGAAATTTACAATAATGAATAGAATGAATCAGAAAGCAAACAAAGAGATAGGCTTGGGAATGGGAGAGACAGAGCTAGTAGCTATAGCCAGCCGAGTGAAAAACTGAGCCCCTAAGTCACGGATGGTACATTGAAGTTTGGGATTGTCCAACTACATTCCAAATCTCTCCCACAGAACAGAACCCTTTTTTTTTTTACTCTACCCACTTGGTGAATTAAACTATAGCATATACCTATACATCTGTACCTTGGAGCACCTTCCATGTCGTAGATAGAAAAATAAATATATTGCTAGCTATAGCTAGTCACGGGTTTGCCCTTCCGATGTACATGTACATGTCCCTTATAAAGGACACCCACCCCCAAAACCCTAAACATATCACATAGGGTAATTAAGCCCCCTTCTGCTCCAAGAACCCTAAACTCATCATGTTCACCATCATGATGGGTTCCTCTAATGCTCCTGTAGCTATGTTCTTCATCTCCATGCTCCTCATGGTAATCTCCTTGCCACCAATCTACGCTTGTGTCCCTTGCTCTCAACCTCACCCACCTTCTTACGGTCCACCTTCTCGTCATCCCCCGATCCGGCCCCATCCTCCCACCACTCGCCCCCCTTACCACGGTGGTGGTGGTGGTGGTGGAGGAGGAGGAGGCGGAGGTGGTGGTGGAGGTGGCGGCGGCCATCACGGTGGAGGTGGTGGTAGCGGTGGAGGCAAAGGTGGCCACGGTAAAGGAAAAGGTGGAGGCAAAGGGCCGGGCCACGGTAAAGGCAAAGGTGGAGGCGGCGGCGGGAAAGGCCATAATAACCCACCATCAAAGGGTCCAAATATGCCACCAATCGTCCTACCGCCGATCATAGTCAACCCTCCGATAACAAACCCTCCTGTGATCCTACCTCCTCCCATCACAAACCCTCCGGTGGTCCGACCACCTCCAGTCGTCAACCCACCTCCTGTGGTGACACCTTCGCCACCTTGCTCGAGTTGCTACCCCGGCGGCGGTGGTGGCGGCGGCGGAGGAGGAGGCGGCGGTGGAGGAGGTGGAGGTGGGGTGCCTAGTACTCCCCCAGCCCCGCAGCCGACGTGTCCGATCAACGCGCTGAAGCTAGGCGCGTGCGTGGACTTGTTGGGAGGGCTGGTGCATGTAGGGTTAGGGGACCCGATTCAGAATGTTTGCTGCCCGATATTGGGAGGGCTTGTGGAGCTGGAAGCGGCTGTTTGTTTGTGCGCTTCCATTAGGCTGAAGCTTCTCAACATAAACATCATCATTCCTTTGGCGCTTCAGGTGCTCATCACTTGCGGCAAGACTCCGCCTGCAGGATTCGTCTGCCCTCCGCTTTAGACATTTTAAACTATTACTAGCTACTAGTTGGTCCCGTACGTGTTGAATAAAAGTTGTTTAACAAAAGAAGTTAAGGTCACTTGATTGATTAAGTTAAGTAGCTTGCTGGGCAGTTGTGGTGTTTTTTTTACCCCTTTGGATGAACTGTTTAGCTGTAGTACTGTTGTGGCTGGGGCAGTCGAAGTTGCCATGAATTCCCCTCGATTGGTGTTTAATGATTAATGGTTGTGTTAATGTATGTTTATGATTGATGTTTTCAGTACTAATTTGAGAGATTAGTATCGTTGTTACTTCGGATAATGTGCTATATATATATCAGTCAAAGGAATAGCATCGGACTCGAAAGGCATAAGACAAGGAGATCCTCCCTAACTAGACTATGTCAATCACGTCCTCTGCTAACTTAGTTAACGCAGTAATCAAATCTTAATCTGCATGGTTGGTTATTATCATTATTTTTATGATTTTTGTTGTGACAATAATAGCGAGAAGATATCTACAGACTCAGGGGCGGAGCCAGTGCAGTGCTACAACTAAGACACGAATCTAGTTATGGTGTAGTGGTGGAAACTGTCATTTGCATTCCATGACTCAGCAGTTCGAGTGCAGTTGCAAATTATGTTTTAATTTTTTTACCATTTATTGATGTTTTTTTTATTACTCTTACTAGAACTTCTTGCATTCCATGAGTCAGCAGTTCGAGTGCAGTTGCAAACTATGTTTTAATTTTTTTACTTGATGTTTTCTATTACTCCTACTAGAACTTCAATATAGGTACACATTTCACTATCTATAATTTCAGTTTTCCGCTTTAGTTCCACTTTAGACTAAATTTAGACAAATTTTTTATTTTCTTTAGTGTTCAATTATTATTTATTGAATTATCAACTAACTTAGTATGTCTGTCCTGTGTGTTATGCGATCTTGAAAGAAAGTGTTCCCCTCTAGATTATTAGTCTTGCTTTGACTCTTCTAATTTCTACTGCTAGTGGTGAACGGGTTTTTTTCTATCATGCAATCAGTGACTAAACAATGCAACAAATGATTGATGATTTTCTCGCCGATGGTCTTGTTCTTTATATTGAATTAGATGTAATCGACACTTTTCACATATATGTATTTTGAGTGATGTGATTAATCTCAAAGATGTTGTGTCACATATATGTGTTTTGAGTGATGTGATTAATCTCAAAGATGTTGTGTACGTTTTAACTAATAAATTATATTTGATATTTTCTTATAGTATTCTTTTGCTTGAAAAAAATTTCGGCCCCCCGAACTTGAATTCCTGCCTTCGCCCCTGTACAGACTCCAGGCATGTAAAATTGTAAACACATCACGGAGTACATATGAGCAGACGATGCGGGTGAAAGGCATTTCTAATTTTTGATGCCCTAGTCCCATACATGGCATTAGGGGTGTACATGGGTCGGGTGGTTCGGGTTTAGTCATTTTAATCACCCGACCTATGAACTATGGTTTGGGAAAATATCAAACCCAAACCCATCAAAAAAATTTTAAACCCTACGGTTTGTTTCTAATTGGGTTGGGTCGGGTTGGCGATATTTTTAAGTAAAAACCCAATCCAACATAAAATATATAATTATTCTACATCATAAAAATATTTTATAACTAATTAAAATTTCAAACGAATGAACCAAAGTGAAAGGTATGAAAATTCACAAATGTTGTTTAAATTTTAATAAAATGTGATTTACTTCAACATATATATTGTTTTTTTTAACGATATTTGTTGAAATAGGCTAAAAATGTTATAAACAAACGCATCAATCATATGTTATTCTATTAAAATTGTACACAAGAAAAAGGATTACGTGAATCATAACTAAATTCAATTTACGTCTAAACTTTAAGTCGAAGAATGCATTAGATTAGGGAGACCATGAGAGAAAAACATGGCGAAATATCTTAATTTTCTCATAAGTATATGACTATATACGACATAAATATTTTTTAGATCGGAACTAATACTAATAGTTGGAACACGGGTTGGGTCGGGTTCTACGGGTTGTGTAATCCAAAATCCAAACTCAACCCAAAAGAGGCGGGTTGTACAAAAGAAAAACCCTCAACCAACCCAAAACCTTCGTTTTAGCGATAAATACGGGTGGGTTGGATTGGATTGGATGGGTGGGTCGGTTTGCGGGTGTATTTGTTCACCGCTACATGGCATGCCAAAAACTGAGCCCTAAACTAAAGCCCATTTAAATCACAGGAAAATAGCAACTAGGCTAGGCCCAGTAGATGGCGGCCCAGGCTCAATGGCTCCAGCTGTTGTATGCCACCTCAAATTTATCCAGTTTTTATCCTTTTTTTAATTAAGAGGCGATGAGTGAAAGGCCGGGAGATCGAACTAATGTTACCGGTTTCTAGGATCGAAAATATAGAATATTGGATTAAATTATTTTAGCAATATAAAATGATTAAATTATGGTTAAATTAAAATTTTAGTACAAATTACTTTATCATCAATTTTTTTGTATAACCTCTGCTATTATTTCACAATTTTTTTTTTTTGTATAACCTCTGCTATTGTTTCACAATTCTTAGGGAAGAAAACATAAATCCAGTAAGGAGGAGGAAGAAGAAGAAATTCACGCAGTAGGGATACTGGAGAGAGGTGATGATGATCTGGTTTATCCAACTTCTCCTCCATCATTTTTATTTAATTTATTATATTGATTGTAATAATTTTTAATTTTATCTTGGTAAATAAAATTTGAGCTGGATACCGATTATGTTAGGTCCTAACCTGCCATAAGACGGATATGAAATTATTACAATGATGGAAAGTTTCATCATGTATAATGTCATGTATTATGGGTTGTGAGAGTTTGAAAACAAAACCTCTCGGTTAAAAATTATAATACGATGCTAAGAATCGGCTGTTCCAATAAATTAATTCGTTGAGAGAAATTCAAGTATAAATATTATACCTTCCTATGTCATATGTACCCAAAAAAGCATATTATATTAGTTCCGGTTAGAATTATTACTAGAACAATATTTTTGTTCAGTGAGAGGATTACTAGTCCTGACATATTTATTTTCTCGTATATCTTAATTTGAGGATGAAATGATAGTCACATGTATGACACATAGGTAATACGTACACATAACCTTTGCCTATTGCATTTTAATTAACGTCATAATTAATGATGATAAAAATTTAACGAACAATTATAATGATGTGTGCGTCTTTTCTTCACTCTATTTTATATTTTGGGCATGCATCTTCAATATTTCAAAAAGCATTTCATTTAATCTTTTTCAAACAACATTATATTGTGGTCATCAATCAACTTGTAGTTCAACACTATAACATGGTAGCATGATTCCTTCAAAAACCTGATTAATGATTATCCCACCATTTAGTATAATGCAAGTGTACAAAATATAGTTTCTATGGAAAAAGAAAAAGCAAGCTTGGAGTTACATATATATATTTTTGTAATAAGGATGACCCTGATTAATTTTTATAGTTATATATTATTGAAGGGAAATTTCCAGATTCGAGACTAACAGGTGTTATTAGAGTCTAGAGTTAAGTATTATTGATTGAGTTTAGGGTCGTCCTACCCTAGCAAATTCAGATTTGGTTAAGTATAGTCCAACGAATGAAACGAAGAATATAATTCTCTTTATGTGCCAACAGTTGTTTGTTTCTTTGTTGAGCTGTCTGTCACTCTGTCTGTCACTCTGTCTGTCATGCCCATAGTTCTTCATTCTACACCAGTCTCTCTCCCCAGAATTCTGTTAGCTGATTAAACGTCAGCCTCAAGGCGGATTTGTAGCATTGTTTAATGGTAATTAACTTGTCTCCGTGTGATGATTAACGGTTTGCTGTGCAATTTGCATAACATGCACTGTTCATCTCGTGACCAATACAAACATATATGTGGATCCAAATCTATCGATGATCTGTTGTTACTCTGTTTGTCCTTGTGACTGATCGACGCTCCCACCCAATTATTATGTATGTTAATTATTAATTATCTCATAATCATGTCTTGTACTACTGATTAGTGTGGGAATGTGGCCCTAAGGAATAATTTCAGATATTTTCCCCAAATTTATAAATCGTTGGATCATGCTAAATATATGCGTACACGTGTGTGTATATACTGTATGAATTAATGGAGCTTGGCGTTTTGGTTTGAAGGAGTATATTATTTAACGCAAGAATGATGCCTCCGGCAATTGATCATTTTGCAGCAAGAATGATGCCTCCGGCAATTTTTTCTTTTCTTGAGGGGTACTCCGGCGATGTTTTTTTTTCTTCCTCTTTTGTGGGTGTTGTGATTACCTATGACACTTGTTAATTATATAGGGGTCACTTTGTTATTTGCCACTCTAATGTCCGTAGCTAGTGACGAGTAGGTGGAATTAGGTCATCTTGTTATATATATTAGCTTGGGAATAGCGGCCGAACACTAAGCTAATAACTGCAGCATAATAAAATTCTCTCCGAGAGCTTCAAGCTCTCCGTGGACTAATCCCACTCACATAGGCGGCATTAAAGATTGAATCTCGTCCCAAAAACCGCTTAACTTCGTATAAAAAGTCGAGACCGACGACTTCTCCTGCTGCAAGCAGCTTATGCTGCGTTTCAGCTCGTACAAACGACCAGCGCTGCCCAACAAACAAGTTGGATGGACTATCGGATTGATGAAGCTGGAGATGTGAAGGGAGGACTTCCTGATCGCCGACGCCGCATCCATTGCTCGACTTCTGAGTCTTGCTCGACTCCTCGTCTAAACTCATGATAAATGCCGTGGATCAAAGACGCAGCTCTGATACCATGTAAAAATCGATATTGCGGAATAAGAAAGATAGCACGAGACAACGATTTACGTGATTTCCCCACTTGATGTGAGTGGGACCAGGGGCGTAGTCAAGATTTCGACCAGGGTGGGTCCACTTTGAAAAAATATATATGATGAAATAGTTTTTGTTAAATTTTTTTAATTATTCATAATATAGTTTTATATTTAAATTTTTTGATAAAATAAAATACATTAATAGTCAAAACTATTAAGAATATCACTCTCCCTATATACCAAACATTTATTCATAATTTAGTTATTCGGTCGCTTTCGAATGATGTTATTTGCCAATAATTGTTTACTATAGGTTTAATAATGAATATTATACAAATAATTATTCATGATTTAGTTATTTGTTCGCTTTCGAATGGTATTCTTTGTCAATAACCATAGTATCAATAACTAGAGTTGTTGGGTGAAGTTCAATAATATATTTTATACCATTTACCAACATACCCCGTTATAAGAAAATCAAATTATGTGAAATTTAAGTTTGCACAAATTCTAATACTATATGTGCTTAATGAATGAGGTCGCCAAAACTAGAACAGAAAACCTTTCGATCAACGATTATCAATTAGACACACTCTAATTTTCCGAATCAATTAACTGTTATACCTAATTTAGTCTTTTTTCTTCCGAGCTAGGGTGGGTCCCGGGACCCACCCATTTGCCCTCACCCTCCGCCCCTGAGTGAGACTAGTCCACGGAGAACTCGAAGCTCTCGGAGAGAATTTTATTATGCTGCAGTTCTTAGCTTAGGGTTCGGCCGGTATTCCCAAGCTAATATATATAACAAGATGACCTAATTCCACCTACTCGGCACTAGCTACGTACATTAGAGTGGCAAATAACAAAGTGACCCTACATAATTAACAAGTGTCATAGGTAGTCACAACAGTGGGTACTCCGACGATTTGCTCGATCACTCAGCTTTTTAGGAATTACAAGTATCAGATTTTGCCCATAAATTAAAACACTGCAATCTCGTTTATTGAGCCAATTTTGTCATCTGCAATCTGGGACCAAGGACCTAGTCAACGCCTTGCAAGCCATTCAAATTTAACTTTTGGTGTTATACGACAGGTTTTGGATAAACGTACATTTTTCTTGAAAGTCGCTACTGGCTTTGGATATATGCATATTGATTACTCATACAGGTAATTTGAGAGTTTATGCATGTTTGATGCTAAAATATCATGCATGAATGATGGGAATTTCACAATATTAGCATTACCATTTTCTAGAAAGTCAATATTAGTGATCCATTACATAGTAGAATGACTTCAGCTAACTATATGTACGATAATGTGCACTTATCTAAAATTAACCTCAATTATCAATGCCTATGTTTGGCCCTGCGGTAGCTTTACAAAACTCGAACTCTTTTATGCATGCATACCCACCAGACCTTCACGTCAAGCTAAGAAGAAAAATACTCTATAATATAAAAAGGATATAAGATATGAATTTTAGCATCAAAGTTATTGTTTGATTATCCATTCTTTCTTAACATACTTGTGGCGCGAGAGAATCATATTAGTGAATTCTTTAAAAAAGAAGGTATTGATTAATATCAAAATCTTATCATCTCTAAATAAAATATATTATTTAAATTTCATCAAACGTCCCATTTTACTTTGCTCCATCAATTTTCTTATTCCCTGGTGTACGTGATCTTTAGCTTGCAGATTAACTCTCTTTGCATTTGTTTTGCTTTTACTTCTTTTTGATTCGATGCAGTTCCCAAATTTGAAGTTTCACAAAAAAAGAAGAAAAATAATCCAACCTTTCCTTCAAAACAAAGTTATTCATAGTACACAAAATCGATCATATATATATGAGCTATAGACAACAAAGCATTTGTTATCTATGACGTGAGACCAAATAACAAAAACCCACAAAAACAAAATATTCAAAGTACAAGAACTTAAGTGGAATATTCTTCCATATGGCTACAAACAGTACTGTGTTCGCAAATTGTTCCATCAAGGGCACTGGAAGCCAGACGGGACCTTCTTGTTACAAACATTGAGAAGCAAGCTCAAAGAGACCGGAACGTTGAGGTTGATCCCAAGAATGTTGGCCTTAATGGCGGTGCAAAGGCAGAGAGCCGCTTCAAGATCAACAAGCCCGCCTATCAAACTGCAGCACGGCTTCACCGGCGGGTTCCCAAGGGTGATGTTCAGCAACGAGCCGAGGACATCAGCACAAACGCCCAATTTGAGTGCATCAATCGGGCATTTCTTGGGAGAAGGGCTGGGAGTGGGAGTCGGCTTGGGATGCGGCGGTGGCGGGCATGCCTTGGTTGGCGGCGGCGGTGGCGGGCACTTGGTTGGTGGTGGTGGCGGAGGTGGGCAGGCCTTTTTGGTGGCGGTGGCCATGGTGAAGAAGAGAAGGTTGAAGACGAGGAATAGAGCCATGGCTGAGTTGGCTTTGGAGGCCATGGTTTTCTTTTTTGTTGGTTAAGTGGAGTGGGATTGGTGAAGAGATTAGGAGTGGTAATGAGAGGGTTTTATAGGGTTTTAGGGAGCTAGGAGTAGGATGTGTGAACGTGAGATTATTTTTGGTGTAGGCTGGAAATTCGATCTGCAGAGGCAAAGAGAGAGAGGGATGAAAATATCGGCAAAGTTTTGGATGTTTGTGGGTTAGTCTTGCAAATTGCCATGTTCGACTTGAGCTTAGTGGCTGGCGTTTATTCTTTCTTTTCTTGATTTGTTGTGTATCGAGGTTGATATATTTGGTATTTGATATTCAATGGAAAATTATATTCAAGTGATTTTATATGTGCAAGCTGTGAATTTTGTTTTCTTGCTTAAAATTCATCCTTGCGTCAAGTATCTATGAGCTAGTGGATGGCAATGTTAAACGAGCAATTCCTAAATGATTAAGTACTATGTGTGACTTGTGTTCTGTAGTAGTTGATATTTACAGAGTTTTGTATTCATGTATTTTTGTTTATAGATATCTTCCTTTCCTTCCATGATGTTTATATAAGATTTCAATCCGATCATTATAAAAAAAAGGATTTCATTCCGATCGAAATATGGTATGTTGTGAGAGAAATAGTAGAAGTTTTGGAGATTTAAAGTTGAGTACTTAACTTGCAATTTATATATTGTAATTATTCTGCATGTCGATTGTTCTTTGATGAAATCATTCACTACCATTTAACTTTTTCCTCTTACATGCCATTGAAGATTTGTTGAGGGAAGAAGAAGTTTGCTTTAAGATTCAAATTTGAGATGTTTAGGTTGAATTTTTTTAAAAAAAAACTATACTAATAGATCAACGGTTCGTTCGCACTATTTAAATTATTTTTGTGTAATTTAATTCAAGAAAGATACTTTATTCACTTTCATATGTTAAGCCTTTTTCATATCTCATAAATATTCGACAGAACGAAAAATTTACAATTTGTTGTCCATTGTCAAAGATATATTTAATAAATAATAACTCTCACAAATGATCATTCGATTCTGTCACGCATGGATCAGGGCAATTGACAATGCAAGATAGACAACGATCAGCAAAAAAGTAAAGAACACACATTTTATGTTTTGTTCACTAACACAACGTGTGTTAGCAGTCCACGGACGGGAGGGAGCCACCTTCACTATACTTGAAGAGATTACATATTACAGAGTAACATGAAAACTATACAAAGTACTTCTCCAATGGTCTAACGCTAATCCAATCTAATAAAAAATAAGCTAGGTTAGAGAAACATGTCAAACGTACACAAGAGCCTTATGACTTACTATGGAGTATGGACTGTAAAACATGTGATTCAAGTTACATCCACAGAGTCTATTGTTGGTTAAATTAAATAAGGTATGTTTCTCGAAGGCACACATCACAATGATAAATATGCTGATCCAGCTGTACTTATATAAAAGGAATCTTTGTCGACAAAAAAAACCAAAAGGTTAATAATGGGATGTTTGACGATATATGAATAGTAGGCCGGCATGTTGGCATATGCGGACGCGCTAGCTACATTCCAGGTTTAATTTACGGGAGATCTAAATTGCATTGCATGACAGTTTAAGCTCAGTCAAAAGAAATACCGAAGGAACAAATATTAATATCCTAGTCCAATGTGCTAGTCTTTCACCCCTCAAATAAATGACATATTGACCAATAAACTAGCTAGGGTTTCGCCAGAAACTAAAGTATGTGTCACAATCTTTTATCTGCGGATCGAGAAATTGGAGAATTCGAAAACAAAAAATAAAACAACATACGAATTTACGTGGTTCACTAACATAATGTGTGCTAGCTAATCCACAGGCAAAAAAGACACAATTTCACTATATTTCGGGGAGATACAGATTACAGAGTAGTATTATAAGTATTTATAGTAATTCTCCATCTAAACCTAATCTAATCTATTTAACAAGAAAAAACAGTTACAACTAGGCCCAGAACAGCAACCCAAATGTGTATCAACCCATAAAGTCGTTAGCCAGTTAGTCTCATTCAAGTCCATATGTTAGCCAAATAGTCCGATTCAAGTACATCAACAGTACGCAACGTAGGTGATTACTATTACAGGTGACAAATAATTGGATTTATAGTTTTTTTTATTGAATTATATGGAATTTTGAATTTTTGATTGAATTCCTGAATCCAAATGAAATATAATTTTGTGATCATTATGAATTTGGAAAATTTTAGGTAATAAAATTTATTTAAAAAATAAGGTAGCCAAATTCTTTTTTTTTTAATATATTTGTTTCAAAAATTAAAGTTTAGGAATGGAATTATAAAACATTAAATGTGTTTGTACTGTAATTTTACAACCGCAAAATCATTAGATTTGAATTAAATGAATAGAATTAGTTGAACTTTTTGGTGGATAAATTAGATTGAACTAGTTGATTAGACGTTTAGTCTCTAAAAAACTTACTATTAATTTTTATTCTCGTATAAATATCATTAAACTTTGACTCGATCATAATAAAAAGAAACAACTTCATGAGTGATGAGACTATGGTAAGTCACTATCAATAGAACTATATAAGCTTAAATGTGATGGTAGGTGATTCATACGCGCGCACGTACACCCAAGTTAAACATGTGCCAACTGCCAACTGCCATCATAGTACAAGAGTATCTAGATGTAGCAGGAATCTGATTGCGAGGTTCAGAAATTAAAGCTCAAATAACCTTTTTCGAGCTTCTCAAACTTATTTTTGGTACATAATCTTCTTAGTGTACATGTGCACAATCTTATAATTATCTCACTATTGATTCATTGACATGCCTCCGATTCTTTTGATTTCTCAGTTTACAGTTCTATTGTTTCACCCAAATCCCCAATTAATGAAATGATATAGGCCATTAATAAAAAAATTGATATGCTATAGTAATTTACGTAATTCCAGTATTAGGGACGATATAAGGATCGATCAAAGTCCATTAAGTTACTTCCCCATAATTATAGGAGCACGTACAAACATTAAAAAAAAATACAGTTTATTCAACATTCGCTCAGCAGAAGCTAGCTAGAGAGAAAGAAAGAAAGAAAGAAACCACAACAAAGTTATATCGACCAAAATCAAGCACAATACAAACAATCCAAGGAATATTAAATCAGTAAAATGTTGCAGAATATTATCTCTCCGAATAAAAGAAGAAGAAAAGGGTTTATTGGTCTTCAAGGGCACTGGAAGCCGGATGGAGCCTTGACGCTACAAACATTGAGAAGCAGGCTGAGAGAGAGGGGAACATTGAGGTTGATCCCCAGGATGTTGGCTTTAATGGCGGTGCAAAGGCAGACGGCGGCTTCAAGGTTAACCAGCCCATCGATCAAGCTACAGCAAGGTTGAACTGGCGGGTTGCCGACCTTGAGATTGAGCAAATTGCCTAGCACGTCGGCGCAGACGCCCAACTTGAGTGTGTCTACGGGGCATTTCCCACCGCCGGAGGAAGGGGTAGGAGTTGGTTTAGGGTTCGGTTTGGGTTTGGGAGTGGGGCAGCCTCCGCCGCAGGCTGTGGCCATGGAGAAGAAGAGAAGGTTGAGGACAAGGAAGAGGGCCATGGCTGAGTTGGTCTTGGAAGCCATTGATGAAAGGAAGAGAGAGTTGTTTGGGGTTGGAGTTGGAGAGAGGAGAAAGTGGAGAGCTAGCTCTCTCTCAGTGGCTTAGTGGAGTGAAGAAGGAGTAGAGGGATTGATGGGTTGAAGGGATGAAATGGCGGGTGGGTTTTATAGGGCTCACTTGATAATAAGAAATTGTTAAGCAAAAATTTATCTTAGCTTACACCAAGGGGCAGACCCAAAGCATGCCTAGTGGTGGTGTTTCGAGACATTGCTAAAAATTGGAGATAACAATTATATAAATTACTGGTAACAGTTTGAGTATAGAAAAAAAAAAATGGGATTCTTTCTATGATTTCAACCAGTGACACTATTGTTATTAAGGAATATGTTTACCATTAGACTACAATTCATTTGTTTTAATAATAATTTAAACGTAAATACAATTATAATCTAAAACAAAAGTCTAATGCCCTAAATTTTATTCCAAATCATAAAACCTAACCTTTAATTGGATACACTAATAATATGCAAAGGAAAGGAAACACAAGCTTCGACCTTCTCTTCTCTCTCTTTTCGTCAATCCTTTCATCAATCTTTTCGTTAATTGGATTTCCCTGATGAATTAGCTCAGTTGATGGTGGAGATCAAACTGCATATATCATTATTCATTGGTCAATTTGCTTCTCAAACTTGTATTGATTTTATCTGTTGTAATTTAAAAGTGTTCAAAGAGCTTTTTTCCAGTTTTGGGTTACATAAGAACAAGTTTCGGAATCGAATAGATGATCAGTTAGTGAATGATTCTCTAGTAAGATACATGAAAAGAGATTTGCTACTAATCATATAATTTCATCAATTATTATTATTAATTTAATTTTTGAAAAAATTCGACCTCTGAATAAAATTTTATTATGGATCCACCACACTACACCCCTAAACTTTCAATTACCAACTTCAAAAACTTGCCCTAATGATAATATGCGATGAGAACATCCACATACTTGAAATTCTAATCTTAACCAACAGGAAACAACCATGTAAAAACTTTCATTCCTCACATGCATGCCTAAGCTTTCATTAACTAATAACAACAAAAGGCCTGTGACTATTGGCTTGTGAATTTTGAAGAATGTGTGTTAGTGTGATAAATAATTGATGACAGCAAAAGGCATCATGAAGCCATGTGTGGACGTGAGATTTCTTGATCTGTGTTTGCGGATAGAGACATGTGAAGTGCTCGGTAAACTCTTGGAAGTTTGCGGATTAGTACAGCAATTTGCCATGTTCAGTTCAGCCCCGAAACTTGGGCTCATGCTTCTTTTGGATTTTTGCTTCTGCATTTCAACATTCTTGATATCTTCGGATCCCTAGCACGACTTAACTGGCTATTAACAAGTGGAAGTCTCATCTGTAAATCAATTCCCCATAATCAAAATCTTTGGGCTTGACCAGCCTGTTTTGCTGTGTATTTTAGTGAAACCACATGTCTAGTACTGGATAAATATGCAGAATTAAATATAGATGGTATATTTGCAGTTAAACAGGGATTTTTGAATAACTTCAGATATTCTATTGGTATTATATCGATGTAATATAAAACAAAATCGTCTAATATACAACGAGATGAGTTGAATCATATTGTACTGGTCATACAACTATTTGTAATCATATGTGTGTAATTATCGATGTAGCTAGCATATGTAAGTAATTTTACTGGTTTTACCAGATGATATGATATTATAGTTCTTGATTTTCTTTTACGAAATAAAATAAAAATATATGAGCAAATTTTCATGTTTTGGATCATTGTAAAGTTGAAACTGAAGGTGTGTTGAATTTTGAAGCCCAAATTAACACTAGAATTTTTTTTATAGTGGTGATATAAATTATTACTTAAGAAAAGGGGAAAAAGGGAAAAGATTACAAAAGAGGTGATTGGAATCACCGCAACAAGGTTGTAGAGCAAAGAATGCAGCAACAAACAGCAGTAGGTTGTATGGTGAGTAACCATGAGTAACCTGTCCACATCAGCATGACATTAGTATCCTCTCTCTTCTGGAAAGTCTTTTATCTTTTCCCCTTTAATATTTAACGGACGATTTCTCTCTCATTTTAAGTTTTTTTGCACAGATAAATCAGATTAAATGTGCTCTTTAAAATAATATCCACTTTGATATATTTTTAGTACAAGAAAAAATTGAATAATTTTTTACCAGGCATTACTATATGGTATGCTCCTATTTAATACCATATGATAAGAAAGCGTACCATGATGGTATGAACATACCAATATGGTAAGAAGGTTGAATACAACATTATAGTAGGAGTATACTAACTATCATTTACGACTTTCATCATTGTTTACTACAAGTTACCACAAGTTACCACCCACATATCATAGTGGTAAAGTATGGTAATTTTTGATCCAGTATTTTTTTCACCGAGAAATTTATAGATCTAATAGATCATAATGAACTCGTTCCTTCTGAGCAAACGTTTTCAAAAACGACTTAAAAACGAAGAAGTTACCATATGGTATGCAGTTGGTAAAAAAAAAGTTTCTCGAAATATATTGAAAATTGATCTCATTTTGTAGAGCACAACGAACTCGTTCCATCTGTGAAAAAAAATTGAAATCCGAGTTAGAACGAAGAAGATAACAGCCGATTAAGAAAACGAAGAAGTTACCATATGGTATGCAGTTGGTAAAAAAAAAGTTTCTCGAAATATATTGAAAATTGATCTCATTTTGTAGAGTACAACGAACTCGTTCCATCTGTGAAAAAAAATTGAAATCCGAGTTAGAACGAAGAAGATAAGAGCCGATTAAGAAAACTAGAGAAAATAAAATGTCTTTAATTGACAACCCTTATATCTGAATTTTCTGGACTCATTTAGATTTAAAGGTCCATATTTAATTACTCATCGGTACCCTTCCTAAGCAAACACCCTCCCCAAATTAACACTCGAACAAAAAGAAAACATCCTTTTTCATTAAATTTATTTATCACCAGCTTGCTTAGTTCATTCACATTAATATACCTTTGTCATTATAAGTACACCAATTTTATCGAAAATTTATTTTATTATTAAGAAGTCAGTTCTTCTAGAAACAAAACAATGTCACCATTATGTAAAAATGAAACAACCCAACCAAGTGTTTGATTGTTTAATTTGGTTTTTATTAATTAATTATCCTTCTGTAAAACAAATAAATAATTAACTTAAAGCCATTTTTGCCATGCTCATTACAGTAGCTACAGCGAGTCGAATCTGATATGTTTGGGCCCGTGGTTTCGTTGGTTGGGCATTTATTTGCATTATAACTTATGAGATTCTAGGCGTTTTGGTGATCTATCGACTGGGTCGGGATCTATAATAGACCGTTGCTGGGCTAATTTCTGGGCTTGAGTTGTTTGCCAGGCCTTTTCGGCCCGTCTGCTGTTCGTCTCATAACTCATAAGTCATAATTTTACGAGTTGAGGAGTTTTTTCTCTCGTAATAGTGGAATTTATTCTGTGGCCATTCATCTGTTACTTGCTACTCTTATCCACCACGCGACGTAGGGCCTGTTTAGTATCATGTTGTTGTTGTGATTGCATTGGTTTTTTGACAACAGACATACAACACAACAGGAAAAAAAAACATAAAACACAAATATGTTAATGTTACGTGCACTTTTCGGAGAATAGAATTTAGGGTGAAAGATCGGGATATGAAGAATAAGAATGGAGGAAATATAGATAGATTGAAGAAGAGAAGTGTTCTCCTTAATGGCGAGAACGGAACCCCTAAACTTTTTCGAGGAAAGCCAACCTCCCAAATTAACACGTAGGTGTGTAAAACCCTTTTCTGATTATACTTTATTGATACCCCTTCCTCTGTACATCTCCTTTAAATAGAGAACTTAAAACTAATAACCCTATAACCTAGCAAACTAATCGGAAAATACCAAAATAATTATCACTAAACTAAATTCCCTTAATTCTAGCTAACCACTAACACCACTAATTCACGTCACAATCTCACTTCTAAACCCCTAATTAATTTCTAATAAAATTAAATAAACGCACATGACAGTTTAGTTGGTAAATTTGAAAATTCATAAAAACTGACAACAAGAAACAAAAATGTGTTTAGTTACTTTTGAAGAACTAAAAACAAAGAAAGAAATATATGTCTTCAATATTAGTTTGAATCAAATCTTGTGTATTCACACGCCAAAAATGGCAAATCTACAAACATAACAACTATACCTCTAGTTGCAACTTTCAATTTAATTGCTACTACTATCTATACATCCAATAGCAATCAGATCAATCTGCAAATTTTCATTAAAAAGCAAGAAACTTCAAGTTCCTCATTATCAAGCTAGCCACACCATCAACTCTCTTCCCATGTATGCATCAACTTCTTTTGCTGCCTTCTCCACTGCTTCGTCCCATGAGCTTCTGCAGAACAATTGTGAGACCACCCACAAATTGTCCTGCATAAGAAAAAGATACTAGTATCCCCCGCCTTGAACTTGGGTTCAATAGATGATGATGTTGGCTGCTCAATATGAGATTCACAAACAAATTCACCACCCAATAACTTATTCACAAACAATCGAACAATCGATTCACATATGGATCATTCATCACCAATCAATGGCAAATTCAAAAGAAAAAAGAACTGAAGGATTGACCAGGCGCCGACAGAGGAGATGCTGGTCAGTAAGGAAATTAGAATCGTGTTTGTCGACACGGGTGTGCGGGGACTTCTCGGCAGAGAGATCTTCTTGGTGTGCAAGGGCTTGACGCGGAGAGATTTTGAAGGTGCGCGAGAGCTTGACGGCACGGGGAGGAGGAAGAAGATGGTGGAGGCGACTGGATGGAAGGGAGCAGGCCATCCCCGTGAGAGGAAGAAGAAGATGCTGGTGCGGTGGAGAGGAGGTAGTCGATGGCTGGAGCTCCTGTGTTTGTTCGTCTTCGCGAGAGGACGAAGGAGATGAAAGAAGGAATGGGAGAGTTGTGGCGGGTCTGTCTGATCGTGGAGTAGGGTTTGGGGGTTGAAAAAAAATGGACAAATTTCGGTAGGAGGTAGGATTCGAACAGTGGGCTGTTTTAATGAAATCAGAGGTGCAATCCGTGGAAAACATATATAAAAAACAGATCCAAAGCAATAAATTGTTGTTTCTCTAATTTGGGTCTGGTTGTGTAAATCTGTTTTACAACAAAATAAAAAAATCCAACTAAACATGTTTTTTTTCTCTCGGTTTCCACAATTTCTCAGAACACAACAGGAAACAAAAACAAGCAACGATACTAAACGGGGCCTAGTTTCTTTTTGTTGTTGTTGGTCTCAAGAATAGAATATACGATATAGGGAATATTTTCATCCAATATTATTATTAGGCTAACTTAGGCTCAAGATAGGGTGCATAACCAAATCTGGACCCTTCATTTAGAAAATCCAGATCTAAGGATGGAGAATTAAAGACCATTTTTTATTTTTTGCTAGCTTTCTTAATTGACTCATATATTTTTCGTTTTAACTCGAATTTTAATTTTTTTGCACAGATGGAACGAGTTCATCGTGCTCTACAAAATGAGATCAATTTTCAATATTTTTTGAGAAAAAAAAATCTGGCCTTTCGGTACCAACTGCATACCATATGGTATCTTTTTCGTTTTTAATTCGTTTTTGAAAGGTTTGCACAGAAGGGACGAGTTCATCATGATCTATTGGATCTACAAATTTCTGGGTGAACAAATTACAGGACCCAAAAATACCACACAATACCACCCTGGTACGAAGTGGTATCTTGTGGTATACAATGTTAAAAGTCGTAAATGACAATTAATATACTTCTACTATCATGTATTCAATCATCCTACAGTCTTGGTTTGTTCATACCACCATGGTACGCTTTTAAAACCATAGGTATGCTCTTATTTCAATACCAGTCAATACCATATGGCATAGACTGGTAAAAAATGGTTCAACTTTTTTTGTTCGAAAAATATATCAAAGTGGATATCATTTTGATGAGCACAATTAATCTGATCTAACTGTGCAAAAAAATTAAATTTCGACTTAAAACGAGTGAGAAATAGTCCGTCAAAGATTAAGGAGAGAAAAATTAAAGGCTTTCCGGGAGAGAGAGGATGTTGATATGGACGGGTTACTCATGGTTACTCACCATAAGGTTACTGACCTGATCCATTCCCGCCAACTTCTTATAGTTTCAACCTCTTATAGTTTAGATATCTATAATTGTATAACATATTCGTGATTACTATTAAAATCCGAAGGGATTCATGAGTTGGATGGTTTGATTCCAAGATCAAGAAAGTACATGAATTTTGGTTTGGGTTATTTTCTTCGCATATTTAAACTTTGGAGTGTCTATTTTCAAAATTAAACAAGAATTATTATCAAATCCCTAATTGCCAATCTTTCTTCTTCTCTAATTTCTTTCCCAATTCTTCTCTATTCTTAATGGCTAAACTTAAATCTTCTTCACAACCTCTCTCAATTTACCCAACATCAAGTATTCTTACACAAAAAAGCGCAGGGATTTGGTTTGGGTGATTTTTTTCTTATTTTCACACATGTACAAAAATTGTACAAAAGTATTATATGCTCTATATCATGAAGATAATGTTTGAAAGTAAAAATTGTTATATCATGTTACTATAAATATATCATATTGTAGAATAGATGTATATATAATAGTATGAATATACTAAGCACCTGGTACCACATAACTATATGTAGGGGATACGAGGGTCTCCAAATTATTACTTAGAATTTCGTTGTGGATTGTCCGAATAAATAATAGAGTTTGTATCTATAAGGTCGTGCCCAAAAGTAGGAGCGTATAGACGGTCTGGTCTTATTAAATTGGTCCGAATTGATCCGGTCTCAGTCCGGTCTTTTCGAGAATATAAGGATTAAAGATTGGATTGGATACAGTCCGGTCTTGAACCGGTCCGGGCCAATTCGGTCTTGATTTTAGATTGAACTTGTATGAATTTGAGTGGCCGAGGGCATTTGAACTTGTGTTTGTGTGAACAAACACTTTCTTGATCGATAATTAAGTACCACTAGTACCAACAGGCGCAGCCGAATCAACCTTCACTAGCTTCGTCATAGTTATAAATTAAACTGCTATATATGTTATTTTTAATGGTGAAATAAAGTTAATTAATCAGGTTGTCTAACAGAAGAAGGGGGGTGATTCAACAATAAACGAAAAAGAAACAAAGGGGAAAGAAAGAACAAGGGAACTAGGGAAAGGGACGATGAGTCAAATCCAGGGTAAAACTGTAATTTCATCCTATCTTGTTGCTTAATATTTGGTTAGACAGGATTTAACGGTTTTTTAAGGAAAAACTAACGAAAGGGTATGTTTGACAATTAGTTGATAATAAAAAGGTATGTTTGATGTGATTCAAAATAAAGGGACATGTTTGAGAAAAATACATAGTATAGGGGCATATTGTACCTGTAACCCTAATAATAATTAGGCAAAACTGTACAGGAATTCAGACAGAACCGCAGGAGAGGAATCACAAGAACAGGAAGGAAACAGTTAAAAACTGAAAAGTAGGAACAGGGAACTGAAATGGGAAAACAAGAGGGCAATTATATAACTTAATTAAATAGCCAAGCAGAAGGAACGATGAAGTCACTTTATTCAAACAACAATCATTATTGATCTTATACATGCATCCATCCAACCTTCATGAAACTAACAGCGTTTCACTACTTACTTAATTGCGACGCCATGAAAGCAGCACGTAAAAACGGAAAGTACGTATTCATGAGAGCTAGAAATCAAGTAATCAACTACTACAAAGGCCACTGACGAGGCCGTATAGGTACTATAAATAAGGACGTGACAGTGACTTCATCGAGTTTCTCCGATCACTCAGTAAGCGCAGATGAAGCCGGCGGGGACCTGGTGGCCGCATTGGTTGAGCAGCACGGAGAGAGCAAGGTTAATGTTGAGGCCGTTAACGAGCCCTCCGAGCCCAAGGATGTTGGGAACCTTAAGGGCAGCACAGACGCAAAGCGCGGCGTCGAGGTCAGCCAGCCCATTGATGAGGCTGCAGCACGGCTGGCTCGCCGGCTGCGGTCCGAGCCTTATCTTAAGCAACGACTCCAGCAGGTCGACACAGACGTTCAGGTTGGCCGGATCGCACGCCCCCACGGTTGCGGTGGCCGGTGAGGATGCGAAGAGGAGGAGGTTGAGGGCGAGGAAGAGTGCAAGGGCTGCCTTGGAAGAAGCCATTTCTCTTAGCTTGTTAAGAAGAAGAAGAAGAAGGAGAGGGAAGATTGTGTAAATGGGTTCTATGGAGAAGTGGGATTGGTGTGTGAGCTAGGGAAGAATCGATGGGGGCATTTATATAGGGGGGAAAGGTGATGGGTTTGATGGGAAAGGGTGTTTGCAAGTGATTTGGTTGAGCCATGCTTGCCTCAGCTAGCATTTAGGATAGTGCATGGAAGTTGCATGGAAGTTAGGGTTTATTAGTCGGTGGGCATTTGTTTATGGCGATGATTGCACGCAATGCATGAATGCCATGTTGCCCACTCGCGTTGCTTGGATAAGCAATCCTAACGCTCATCCTTGTCGTTTCCTCTCAAGATAGTGAATTATGGGTCGTTTTGATTGAATATTTGGAGGTATGTTATTTGGTGACACCAAATAACATGTTTGGCTAGAAAAAAAATGAATTGTGTTATTTGGATGTGGTATTTTGCTAAATAACAGGTTTGAGACCAAATAGCTAGCACAAGAAGTGTTGTTTGCTCAATTTTTGGGAGGTGCATGTAATTACCAAATAACAGATTTAAGATCAAATATCACATATCAATTAACAAGTTTTATATTATGTGGTATTTGTGTGGTAATTGTCCCCAAATAACAAGTTCGTCAAATACTCAATCCAAACAATCCATTAATCATATGGTTCTCTCGTACTTTGAGTAAAATCAAAGGTATAACATAACTTAAGAAAATGATATCTAGATCTTGAATATGATTGACCAGAGTTTGACATATGATACTATTCCAAAACCCTTGAAGATTAAAATCAAGTTCTTAATTCTATAAACCTAATACACTAAGATCAATTTCATTAAAAGTAAAAATCAACGGTTATGATTTGTCAAAATATATACAACAAATTACATGCACAATTTTAGAGGTTAGGCTCTATGCTTCACATGACTAAGATCTAGGGTTCACTCATCAAGAGTTAGTAGGGTATAGTATCATGCGGAAAAATCCAGTTAATTCGTGATCTAGATAGCGTTTTCTTTCTCAAGGTATATCATACCATAGATCGTGCCCAAGGTACGATAGAAGCCAAGCCACCATATATATACCTTCACTAATTGAGTTGTATTTTTTTTCCGGTTGACTATCATTCTTACCTTCTTTGTACTATATTGATTGCCTGAAAATAATATATTTCGTATTGGGTAAATACCACATTTGGTAACTGAGATTACTAAATCGTGTCATGTTTAGTTAATAGAAAAAATTAATATCAATTTTGGTCACTCGAATTACTGGAACAGGTCACATTTAGTCACTTTCCCGTTAGTTTCCGTCCGACTTCATTAATGGAGTTGGATGGAAACTAATGGGCGAGTGACTAAATGTGACATGTTTCAGTAATTTGAGTGACTAAATGTGACGTGTTTTAGTAATTCGAGTGACTGGAGTTGGACGGAGGCTAACGGGAGAGTGACTAAATGTGACATGTTTCAATAATTCGAGTGACCAAATTTTATATTAAATTTTTCTAGTGACTAAACCTGACACGATTTAGTAATCTTAGTGACCAAATGTGGCATTTACCTATTTCGTATTTGTTCCTTTTCTTTTGGAATATCTTTGGAAAAAGCCACCAAAATCAGGCTCAAGATAGGGTGCATAATGGGTTATGCACCCATCAATAACTAAATTTGGACCCTTCATTTAGAAAATCCAGAGCTAAGGATGGAGAATTAAAGGTCATTTTTATTTTTCCTAGCTTTCTTAATCGACTCATATTTTCTTCGTTTTAACTCATATTTTTTTTTTTGCACAGATGGAACGAGTTCGTTGTGCTCTACAAAATGAGATCAATTTTCAATATTTTTTTAGAAAATTTTTTTTTGCCTCTCGGTACCAACTGCATACCATATGGTATCTTCTTCGTTTTTAATTCATTTTTGAAAAGGTTTGCACAAAAGGAACGAGTTCATCATGATCTATTGGATCTACAAATTTTTGGGTGAATAAATTACAGGACAAAAAAATACCACACAATACCACCCTGGTACGGGGTGGTATCTTGTGGTACACAATGTTAAAAGTCGTAAATGACAGTTAATATACTTCTACTATCATGTATTCAACCATCCTACAGTCTTGGTTTGTTCATACCACCATGGTACGCTTTTCAAACCATAGGAGGCTCAATTGTTTTTGTTCGAAAAATATATCAAAGTGGATATCATTTTGAAGAGCAAAATTAAACTGATCTAACTGTGAAAAAAATTAAATTTCGACTTAAAACGACTGAGAAATCGTTCGTCAAAGATTAAGGAGGAGAAAATTAAAGGCTTTCCAAGAGAGAGAGGTGTTGATGCCGAGGGGTTACTCATGGTTACTCACCATAAGGTTACTGACCTGATCCGTTCCCCAAAATCTGTCGTAAGAATATTCATTATATAGGAAGTAGGTTGGGCAAATAATGATAATATTAAAAAACTAAACTGAGTTATTTATAAAAAAAATATAAAAAAATTCAAATTATCATATTAAGAATCAGCCGCTTTCAATAGCTTGTAATGTATCTATAGAGCTCTAAAGCATGCACATTATATCATATCCTGATAAATATATCTTTAGACCATCTCAATCGCCAAAATTGATTAACAATTTTAAATGTGGCTCCTAAAATCGCACAATCAATTTTGGCAATGCTCCATGTAGCAATTTCTAATCATCAACGTCACTGAATTTCACTATGGATCTCACCCACTTTTCTAAATCTGTCAAAATATTTTTCAATCATAAAAAGTTCCTAAGTAATAAAATTGAAAAGGGAAAAATTACCCACGTGACATTTCAAAAGTAATCGCTAATTTAGCAATCACACCCACATCATTAGCTACCATTTTAGAGAAAAAAAATTGGCCACATATATAGCCTCCCCCTCACTTTCGTAATTGGATTCATGCCTTATGATGATGATCAAGGCGCGTTAACACATGACGGGAAAGGAAATATGGGGTAGATGATAAAAATGATTCTGTAGGTTTGAATCAATAACATTAACAATATGCAAAGTAAAGAACTTAGAAGTGTGCAACAAGCCGGTTTCTGATTGGAACAAATTCAGGAGAATCGCAGTTATAATAGTGACAAACATTTTAGAACCAACGATTGCACTTGTTGTGGTCATGTTTTCCCTTTGGATCACCCCACCTTCACCTAATTCTCATAAAGGATCTTTGTTAATGAAGCAGAAATGCAGAATGATGAAGTCATTTATTCATAGTAGGAAATACAAACATTATTGCTTGCTTGCTTCTAAGACTTGCTAGTTTATGAAACAAACAACGTTTCACAACTTTGCAATGCCATGCACGAAACATAAAAACTGAAATGAGAACAACAACAACAACACAACATTATTAGTTGCCCAAAGCACTCTACTAGAATATCATCTGGTAGGTAGCAACGAGGCCCAACTGTTTGACTTCAGAGTAGAGGTGGCAAATGGATTGGATTGGTGGATCCATGGATCAAATGGATTGGATCTAATGGATTGGTGGATTCATGGATTGGATCAAGTGGATTGGTGGATTATCAATGAATCAAATGACATCCTCAACCAAGGACCAATATGTAAAATGTAAAAAGTTTAGGTACTAAAATGTCATAATGAAAAATCTTAGGTACCAAAACGTAATTTTCCAATGATATTTTTGTATAAAAATTAAATTTTAGGTACCAAAATGTAAAAAATAAAAATTATAGGTACTAAACCGTAATTTTCCAATGATTCATGGATCCAATCCATGAATCCACCAATCCAATTGGATTTGAATAAAATGGATTGGATTTAAATGAATTAGATTAGGTGAATATTTTTAATGGATTGATGGTTTGGATTGGTGGATTGGATTGAAATTGTCACCTCTACTTCAGAGCATTAGGTCAGATGATCATATTGTTATATGATCTTTGATTAAGCGCAGACATAGCCGAGCGGAACGTGCTTGCCACATCGAGTAAGAAGCAACTGTAGGGCGAGGTTAAGGTCGGCATAAATTCCAAGAATGTTAGCTTTAAGGGCAGCACAAACGCACACGGCGGCTTCAACATCAGTTGCTACACCACAGACCACGCTGCAGCATGTCTCGGTTGGTGGCAGGGTTCCAACGCCAACGTACAAAACGTTGAGCACATTAGCGCAGACATTGAGGTTGCCACCTCGTAGGAGCATGTGTCGAGCACGGCGGCGGCCGGCGACGAGACAAAGAGGACAAGGTTGAAGGCGAGGAAGAGAGCTGCAATGGATGATTTGGAAGATGCCATTTCAATTCTCCCGGTAAGTGAAGAAGCGAAAAGGGCGTAGCTGTGTAGGGTTAATTATGAGATTTAGAGAGCTCTTGGTTGGTGGGTGAATTGAGGAGGAGGAACTCAGGGGGTTTATATAGATGGAGAAGGGAGAGAGTTCAGGGCAAAAGTTGTGCGGAGAAGTCCAACGTTGGTGATGATCGAGATTTGCATTAATTAGCTGTCTGCATGCACATGCAAAGGGTACCAAGTGGACGTAAAAAAAAAAAAAAGACTTTGTAAAACAAGTTGTCCTGTCGCCAAACGTACTATATATATTTTTTAGTTCCGTTTATCTTTAATTTTGTGTTGTAACTTGTAAGTGTAATTAAGGGTTAAATTGCAAGTTTGGTCACTAGCATTACTATAAAATTTCACGTTTGTCACTAAGATTAGTTTATTCCATCCATGGTCACTTGAATTAGTTTAACAGTCCAAATTTGGTCACTGGCCGTTAGTCTCCGTTAACTTTTGCTGATGTGGCAGTCAACTTTCATAGTTGACCGTTAAATAAATGATGTGGCATGATAAATAAATAAAATTAATATTTTATAATTTCCACCTCACATAATAAATGATTTTTTATGGTATAATAACAACAAATTAAGATAAATAAAACAAAAAAATATTATAACTACCAAAATTAAATACCTACATTTTTCGTCATTCTTCCAAGAACTCCAAAACCCAAAATCATCTTCCCCCACATACCGATCTAGGGATTTTGGAAATCTTTGTACAGCCACGTCGGTGGCGATGCAGTGGTCGCAACGAGAATACAGACGAAGAGGATGCCCAGTAGTCTACTCTGGCCCCGCATCGTCGCGAAAGGGACTCCCTGCGAGATGGCTCAGTCATGCTATGACGCCTTCCCTCGTTGCTACGAATCCCTCGTGTTGAATCACCAACTAGATCGGATACATCGTCGTCTCCAACGATGAGACCACCAGAACCCTCGGTCGCCGGGAATAATCGCGTGGGGCGGGACCATCGCGCGACTGACATGGATCATGGCTTTGAAGGGCTTCCTGGATCTCGTCGACCCGACCGCGGGACCCGAATGTCAGAGCAATCAGACCATCTCTCGTGAGACCCTCATTGTGCAGATCTCGGGCGACGAAAGCAATCACCAAAAATGGAGAGCTTAGTAATGGATCGGAGGGGCAGAGGATCGATACTTTGGTGGTCGGGAAGGAATATTGATCATCCTTTTCGGCGACGGCGAAGATTTCTGTTACGTCCACTTCTTCTTCTGTTACTGCGGCAATGATGTAGCGGAAGATAGAATTCCACCCGGTGAGGAAGCAATACAGCGGATTGGGGATGTCTCTGAATTTCTCGATCGAGAGGCTGAGCCCTGATTCGTCGAAGAGACCAGCTAGGTTGGAGGAGTAGACGACGACAATGTCACGGCAGGTTGTGATGTATTTTCTTTAGTTTTTTTAGGAGAGACGTGTTAGGTTGGGTCATTAGAAGAAAAGAGAAGAAATTTCTTTTATTTTTTAATGAATCTAAAAATGAGGTGGAAATTTTAAATAATAAAAAATTTATTATTATATTATTTTTTAATGCCACGTCACACATTTGACGGTCAACTATGAAAGTTGACTGCCACATCAGTAAAAGTTAACGGAGATTAACGGCCAGTGACCAAACTTGAACTGTTAAACTAATTCAAGTGACCATGGATGTAATAAACTAATCTTAGTGGCTAACGTGAAATTTTATAGTAATTCTAGTGACCAAACTTGCAATTTAGCCTGTAATTAAGGCAAGGTTTTATCACATGCAAGTGGACGTAAGAAAATTCTTTTATGCTATGGCCTGGGGTGTAAGTTTATAGCAAATTGGCATGTTTTGATAGGTACTATAATTAATGCGTGATAAGTTATATATATGGAAATTATAATTAATTAATGAGCGCAGCACCTTCCAAATTTTATGCGAATATGAGGAGTTGTATCTTTTGTGACTCAATCCAGATATAGAGGGAGAGGGACGAGTTTGAAGACTTTCTCGGAGATTTCTTCAACAAATCATTTCCAAATACTCCGATTTTCAAGAGCGGTGGCCAAAGCCAGAAAGAGAAGCAAGATCTAGCTTAAGATTGGTCTTCTTCTTCCCTCTTGTATACTTTCTCTCCCTTTCTCTTTGTTAACTAAACTCCAGTGTTGGTTAAGTGCAAGACTATTTAGATGTTTGTTAGAAATTTGTTGTATGGATTGAAGTATATATTTATACATATTGATTCGCTTTCAACTATCTATATATTCTTATTATGATGTTTGATTTTAGGGTTCCATTCATGTGATTGTGTGTTTTCCCATTAGTGTGTGGTTGATCGGATCATGGCTCCAAAAGATTTCCCCATACTCCACTATGTCTATTTAGTGATTACATGAATTGGAATTCTAGTTGAATGTATTTCGATCTCGGAGATTGACGAGGCATTCGTACACCAATCTCTAGGGTTTGAGCGGCCATTAGATAGTGTCAAACACGATCAAGAACTGAAAACTAAGAACACAAGACGAGATTTACGTGGTTTCCCTAACGTTGATAGTTAGGACTAGTCCACGGCACCAGGCAGAAACTCTTATTCTCCAGAATTCTGTACAAGACTCGGCAGCCCTTAACATCAATATATACGAGCTGCCTAAACTAGGTTAAGGACAATTATCATACTAACTCCACAAAATGGTCCTTAAGCTGCTAACACCCTCCCTCAAATTGATGGTGCTGTCGCAACATCAATTTGTGTGCTAGAAACCAATGACGAGCAGATGACACAGCTTTCGTCAATAGATCCGCAGTCTGATTCTCCGATGTAATGTATGATAATGTCACAGAACCATCAGCCACCAATTGCCGAATATAATGAACATGAACTTCAATTTGCTTCGTCCGGTCATGCAGAACTGGATTAGTGGCGATCTTGATTGCACTGGTGTTGTCTGCAAACAGACGAGCAGGAAGCAGGCACTGAACACCAAGCTCGGTCAACAAACGATGTAACCAAACTATTTCAGATGTGACCTCACTCATCGACCTGTACTCCGCCTCTGTAGAAGACTTGGAGACACGATCCTGTTTCTTGCATCGCCAAGAAACAAATGATCCACCGACCTTGACGCACCAACCGGAGGTAGACCGTCGTGTATCAAGACACCCAGCATAGTCAGCATCAGCATAGGCTTCAATAATGGGCTCCCCACCTGCCGGAAAGATTAGTCCCACATCCTGAGTACCGCGCAAATACCGTAGAATGCGTAGTACGGCAAGAAAATGAGGCTGACGAGGAGCGGACATAAATTGGCTGACCACCTGAACGGCATAAGAGATATCCGGACGAGTGTGAGTTAAGTAAATAAGACTGCCCACAATGTTGCGATACCGGGAGCCACCATCTGGAAGAAGATCGCCATCACCCTGCCGCAGCTTGAGATTTTGCTCCATGGGTGTCACTGCTGCATCACATTCGTCCATCTGCACTGTCTCCAAGAGATCCAAGATATATTTCTTTTGACCAACAAAAATACCGGCTGAGGACTGATAAACCGCGAGACCGAGAAAATAGGATAGGTCACCAAGCTCCTTAAGATTAAAAGCTGTGCGAAGGATACCCGTGAGTTCCCGTATGCCAAGAGTGTCATCCCCAGTTACTATCATATCGTCAACATAAGTCAGGAGAATAGTAAGTCCACGAGACGAGGAACACAAGAACAATGAGGGATCATTATCACTCTGTGTGAAGCCAGCCTGAAGAACAGTATCATGGAACTTCTCAAACCAGGCACGGGGTGCCTGTTTGAGACCGTAGAGTGAACGCCGAAGACGACAAACCATTGACGGATCACCCTCGGTATATCCCTTCGGTCGTTCCATATAGATAGTCTCCTGAAGATCTCCGTGGATAAATGCATTCTTCACGTCTAACTGCAGTAAGCGCCAACCCTTCATAGCTGCTACTGCTAAAATACAACGAACTGTCTGCATTTTGGCAACCGGTGCAAATGTCTGATCATAGTCCATCCCAAACTGCTGTTTAAACCCTTGCGCCACAAGTCTAGCTTTATGACGTTCGATGGAACCATCAGGAAACATTTTGATGTTGTAGACCCATTTATTTCCGATGACAGGATGAGAGATAGGGCGAGGCACAAGATCCCATGTATGCGCCGCCAACAGAGCATGGATCTCTGTCTTCATTGCATTGTCCCATACTTCTACACCACATGCCTGTTTGTACGTAGCCGGAACCTGAACATGTGAAGTAAAAAAAGCAAGAAAGTCACTATGTGAAGCTGACGGTACTCCCTTAGTGGCACGCGTTGAGCGACGCACCTGAGGAGTAACAACCTCCTCATCAAAAGTGGGAGACCCAATGGACGGTCCAGAATCACCAGCTGAAGTGGATGAATTAAGTTGGGATGATGATGCCGACGAGGAGGAAGAGCTGGCCGACGTGGACGGAGAGGAGTCTCCTTGGGACGAGGAGGAAGTGTTGGCCGACGTGGACGGAGATTGAGGAGAGAACTCACCACCCGAGGAGCTGTTAGTGTCGGCCGAGAAGCTGTTTGTGGGAGTGGTTGACAAATCCAATATTGGCGAGCCCTCCCTTGGGGATGGAAATGTCACCATCAAAAAATCCAAGGAATTATTAAGAGAGTCTGAACTGGGAGGGGGTGGAGTAGAGTAGTAGAATTGATTTTCCAAGAAAACCACGTGACATGAAATTCGGATCCGTTGGCCAGCAACATCATAACAAACATAACCCTTCTGTTTGTCGCTGTATCCCACGAATATGCACTTGGCGGCCTTCGGAGTGAGCTTTGTTCGTTCTTGACGAGCCAACAAGACATAACATACACAGTCGAAGACCCGTAGATGAGTATAATCAGGAAGTTTCCCATATAATGCTTGATATGGGCTCTTTTGCTCGAGTACTGGGGTGATTTTCCGGTTGATCAAGTACACAATAGTGTGTACAGCTTCGGCCCAGAATCGAGGAGGTACATGAGACTCGAATAAGATAGCCCGGGTAAGTTCAAGTGCATGCCGGTGCTT